GGTTGCAGTCCGCGCAAGATAAGTTCGGTCGATCCACCGGTACCCGCTCCAACTTCAAGAATTCGTAGGTCTGATTTCTGGTCCGCGTAGGCCTCTACCAGACGGCTGTAGTCGAAGCTGACTGCATCGTAGATCTTTCCTAGAGTATTCTCGCGTAGTAAGAGCTCCAGGATATCTACCTGGCCGGTGAATAGGTCTTGAATATTAGAGTAGACCCTGAAAATACCTTCTGCAAAAGATGCCATAGTAGAAGACTCCAATGCGCATTTGTATAATACCTCAATGCGAGCTTGCCGCTCTTCGGAGGATAAAGTAGCGACGTGGACAGTGTCTCTGAGAACAGGGTGCTTCCCATCAAAAGCCTCTTCGGCAACCCATTCTAACCACGCGCGATACTTCAATAAGTGATCCTTTTTGGGCGTCATATCCCTCACACGTGAAATCGAGTCGACTATACAAAGCATAGAGAATTCTTCGATAGTTTGCCTATCCTTCACACTGGTGTCTGGTGATTTAACGAGGGAAGACGTCTCCTGAAATCTGCAGTCCGGAACCCAGTGCAGACGCGCGCCGCCATGATGATCACCACGTTTGCCAATTTCAGTACTGGGAGGGGCTTCCTTGAGTCTCAATCCTTGGAGAAGAAAGCAAGATTCTCCATCAATTCCAGATGCTGATATCAAGACCGCAGAGTCTTCCTCAGAACACGAGGCTGTGCACTGCATCATCGGACTGCCCTGGAAAATTTCAAGTCTCTCAATGTGTGTAGGCATTTGCGATTGCGCAAAGTTTCTGACCAAACCTTTCGTCAGAGCAGCTAACCCAATTTGCAGACTTCCATCAATCACAGTGGGATGTACGGTGTATGCTCCGGCCCGGGCGTCCGGGGGGTGCGAGATGCATCCCACAGCAACTGTGTCGGTTGTCGAAGTCGATAGCTCTTGGACTCTGCGGAACGTCGCGCCATAGCTGAGTCCCAATCGTGCTAAAGCGGCATACCAAGCTTTTATTTCAACCTTTCGTAACAATTTGTGGTTGGATTGCTGGAGAATTTTCCGATTGTCCGACGGACCCACTTGTCCTGTGCAATGCTCTACCCATGTAGACATGCTATATGAGGAGACAGAGAAATGGAATGTGTTCTCCGAGGGGACCGCTGATTCTGATTTGCAGCGACGCAGCGAAGTTACAACTTCTACAGGCTCTTCGACGTTCAAGACCATTGCAGTGGTAACTTCCATGTGGCGAATAGAAAACCCTTGATTAATTCCACTTATCTGACGAAACGCCTCTCCAGCCATGGACGCATAACAAGCAAAGGGATAGACCACGTCGCCGGTCACTTTATGGTCAACGAGCCATGGGACGGCTTCTACGCTTAACATTACTCGCCAGACGGGATCAATGTCTGTAGTTGATGTTACACGTAATCCGAGTAGTTCGTGATGGCCGAACCGTCTACTTTTCCATGATTTACTAAGTCTGCTTTCGTACCAAAACCTTTTCGAATGATTCCAAGGATAAGGTGAAATGTCTGTAAGAACGGAGCGCTTTGGGATGATTCTATCCCAATTGATATCTATGCCGTGCTGAAAAAGAGTTCCGAGTGCTGTCAGAAGACGGTGCATGCCGCTAGAATGCCGGTTGAGTGTCGAACAGTACTGGAACGTTATGTTCTGATGGGAACATATTTCGCGAAGAGGCCCACGTAAGGTTGAATGTGGACCAATCTCTACAAGTAAACTCTGATTGTGTGCACGGAGAGCTTGTTTGATGGCAGACTCGAATTTCACTGGCGACAACAGGTTGGCAACCCAGTACTCAGGCGTTAGAACCTCAACTGTGACACTGTCCTCTGGTTTGACACTTGAGTACATGGACGTCAACAGCTTTTTTCGATCAAGGTTCCGGTGCTTCAGTTCACAATTCAGTAGATTCAGATACGTCGGTGCCAGGTTGTCAAGATAGTGTGAATGATAGGGTACATCGACCTTGAGTGTCCGAGCCATTATGGCTTCGTTTCCATTCGTGAGATCTTCAACAATTTCCAATATCGTCTGGCGATCTCCAGAAATGGTCGTAGAATTCGGGCTATTCTCGCAGGCAATGTTCACGCCGGGCCTAAGAAGCCCGTATGTTTGAGTGGCACCAAGTCCGATAGCCGCCATGGCTCCCTTTGGCCCATAGTTCTTGAGGATAAATCCCCGATAGTAGGCAGTGATAATCGATTCTTCCTTTGAGATGGCACCTGATGCATAAGCTGCAGCAATCTCGCCACTTGAATGACCCACGACCCCATTAGGTTTCACCCCTACTGAAGCCAACATGTCAATCAATGCAATCTGCAACGCGGTGCAAATCGGCTGCGAAATCTCTGCCTCATTGATCATGCTGACCTCGTGTGCTGCTTGTAACTGATGTTTAATAGACCATTGCGGCGGATGTATCAAGGTTTTCAATATGCTGTCCATGGCCTCGATTGATTCGTTGAAAACCGGGTTATTGAGAAGGTCCAGACCCATTTGTGCCCACTGCGCCCCTTGTCCACTGAAGACCATTGTTATGCTCAGACCCTTGGGGGGAATTTTCAACACAGGAGCCGCCCGGAATTCAAGGTCATTCCCTTGAACCGCAAAAGTTCTCAATCGATGATGTTCTCGGTGGTGAATTAGCGTGTATTCCAAATCCGATAGCAAGCCTGGGTGGATTTGCGCATAATCTTGGACATGATGGATACTGTCATGGAGAGCAGACGATGTGGCGGCGGACATCAACAGAAGTCTTGGTGTCTCCATTAGGGAGCGTGGTATCTCTTGAAATTCAGCAACATAGCTAAAGGGATGCTCAACAATAACATGAGCATTGGTCCCACCGATCCCGAAAGAATTGATAGAAATGCGGAAGTCGCGATTCCGAGGCCAAGGATCTGGTCGTTGGGGTACTTGCAGCTTGTATCTTTGAAAGTCGATCTTCGGGTTGGGCATCTCGAATTTGATATTGGGGACAATCATACTTTTCTCGAGCATGACGATACTTTTGATAAGAGAGCTGAGGCCCGAACAGCCCTCCGAATGGCCAAAATTAGGTTTCAATGAGCCTATCATCACGCCCTGTGTACCGAAAACCTCGCCAACAGCCGTGACCTCGATAGGATCTCCAGTCGGGGTCCCGGTGCCATGACATTCCACGTATGCAGTACGATCGGGATTCAAATCGATGTCGGCATAAACTCTTCGAATCAGTTCAGCCTGAGCGTTCATGTTGGGTTGAAGGATGCTGGCACTTTTGCCATTGGAATTTACACCCGTATTAGCAATAACGGCTCGGATGGGCAAATTTTCTTGGACAGCACGATCCAATGTCGTGATATAAACAGCTACTACTGCTTCGCCTCTGGCAAATCCATCCGCCTCTGCCGAAAAGCTTTTGCATGATCCTTCCGGCGAAAGAATTCCTTCCGAGGCCATGGCAGCTGTTAAAGTTGGTCCAAGAATAAGATTTGATCCTGCAACGAGGGCACCGGAACAATCACCAAGCTGAAGTGCTCTGCATGCTTCATGAAGAGCAACTAGGGTGGCCGAGCAACCTGTTTTGATGACCATGCTGGGTCCATGGAGGTCGTACTCATATGAGACTCTGTTCGCCAGCATCAAGTCAGCTTGACCACCCAGAATATAGCCACCGCTGTGTTGATCTTCTTTCGCCTGCGAATACAGCCAATCTTCACCAAAGGTTCCAATGTAGGTTCCAGTCGTAGACCCTCGGTATCTAGTAAGGCCCGAGTTTTCAAAGCATTCATACGCTATCTCCAGAAGAAGTCGCTGCTGAGGATCCGTCCTCTGGGCTTCTTCTTCTGTCAGAGACAACATAGATGTATCGAAGCATCCAGGGTCTTCCTCCAGAAAATACCCGTGCTGAGACTTTATAGCACCCTTTTCACCCAATGCATCGCCAAAACCCTCGTGATTATATCGGCTCTTTGGGACTGGGCCACGCATATCGCGGCCGTCTCGAAGTGCTTCCCACAACTTCTCTGCGCTGTTGACATTGCCCGGAAGCCTCAATGCAACGCCGCATATGGCGATTGGTTTTCGGGTTTGGCTCATCCCGTTACGAATGTTGAGTTGAATGAACTCTGGGTCGGTTTACTGGTGGTTGAGCGATTCAGATCAGATTAACGTGTTTTGAGAGACCTGTTCTATGATGAAACCGTTGGCACCAGATACTACAGAATAAAGTAGCGCGATTGCGTCCAGCACGATGTTTCAGGTATCTGGAATCTGGTACGTTCCACGAATTGTACTTAGATTTGATATACTCTACACAACACTGGTCGACGAATTGCTCAATATTATATCTCAGGTGCATGGGTATATCGTGTTACCTTGTGTTGACCAAGTGCAGAAAACCATCATTGGCTGCGATATGTTACAATACCCTATCCCCACATATTCAAATAGTTGAGTAACATTTGGCGCCAAAAGGCAACCTTTTGCCTTTATTCGTGAAACGATAAGCAGTCGCCTATTTACCTGGAATGTAATCATCTAGCTACCTACGTGGGCATTGGCCATGCATAGATTAAACTGCAGCGAAGTGCGTGGGCGCGTCAGCAATGTGCACCCATCCCAATCATTTGCCATACACACCAACTTGTGTCATCGGACACCGAGGTGAACACCAATCAGCCTGAGCATGACCTGGTGTGACTTCGAGCCGTACCGTACCTATTATCGCAACGCTGCCTCTCTCATCGCGGCGACTCCATCTTCACAACGGCGCGATGGCAAGCAAAAACTCTTCGTTTAGCCCATATGCGATTGCTGCAGGGAAACTTCCTCCCAATATCTCGCACCATGATCGTTATTCATCCTACAATGGTGTGCCGATGACAGCAGTCCTGGCCGTTATAGCGGCCTTCGCCATCATCTTTTACGGCATTCGTCTTCATGTTAGGTTCAATATTATGAAGAAACTAGGATGGGATGACTGTGAGTCTTTCGTACCGAGTGCGACACTGCCAGCCTGGAAAATTGTTACTGATGTCCACAGTGGTGTGCACATTCGCACTGGTGACTGCTTTGCCCTTTCTTTTAGCCATAAGAGGAATTATCTAACTTTCAAAAGATTGGAGTCCTCATGAATCTTTCATGCTTTGGGATAGGTGCATGACACGACAGCCTTCAAACAATCGCCCAGCTGACCTCTTTACAGCCAGCGTATCTGGACCTCTTGGGAAACACATGTGGAATATAACACTGGCAGACTTCCTCGGTAACAACTTCGTCGTTGTAAGGAGTTCCACCGAAGCTCGATATCTTGACGCTGGCTGACCATCGCATAGACGAGCTACATCATGCAGGTCACCATGACTCCAACCATGGGTCTTATTAAGCTCGCGATCTTTCTCTGTTACTACGAGTTTTTCTGGGCCTTGGATTGGTGTCGCATAGCCATCTATACCTTTGCTTCTCTCAGCAGCGCATTCTATCTTTCTCTCACAGTCGTACAATTTTACTTCATGACGGCTCGCAAGGGGGAAACATTGGCCAAACATTTTGCAGGAGATATGGCCGCTCGCGTAACGCATATTGCGATCCCGACCACCGCCGCCGGGCTTGCGATTGACATAATCCTCCTACTGATCCCGCTAGTAGCCATTTTCCAGGTTCAAATGCCCAAGAAACAGAAGATCCGGTCGGCCTCAGTCTTTTTGGTCGGTATAGTGTAGGTTTATAGGTGCTTAAAACTATACTGGAAGATACTGAACCCGAGTAGAGCTATAATAGGTTCCATATTAAGTCTGGTGTTCAAACTCAAGACTTACGGAAACCTCGATCTAACCTACCACCTCATACTGGTAAATTTCTTCATGTACGCTCCTCGTTCTTCCGGCTTCATGCTCTATTCTAGTTTATTACTAACTAAATACAGATGCTCTGAGATGAGCTTAGGCATTTGTATTGCATCAATGCCCTTCTTCTTCCGCGCGTTGAAGCATCACAAAGCCAGATTGAGCTCCATGGCAATTAGCTTCCCATCGGTACGGCCACAGTTCATGACAAGACATCCGTCACAATCGGATCCCGCGAGTTCAGGACGAAGTTCAGAATCAGAGGAGAAAAAAGAAATCGTTAAAACTTCTGAGGTATGAGCAGATGCTCAGAATACCATTAGTAGTTCGTTGTGGAGACAGGCCAGGTGCTAGAGATTGAAGATGGAGAATTACAGATTCTATCGAGCCTATAATGGCAATATCCAATTACAATTGACACGTTTATGGATATGCCTAGATGCTATCATTATCTACAGTATTACGGGAACCGTATTTTCGGACTTTTGTCTGTAGCCGATTCACCAATTTGTTAACACCACAGTTCCTGTGCATATGCTATGTTAAGATTGTAGTATTTCTGACATACGTTCTATGTACGATGCAATAGAATCGATTGAGGCTAATTTTGCATTGTTTTTTCCCATTGTCGTATGCGCAATGGATAATTTCTATTCTAGTCAAGTCGGGCTGTGCATTGCCTTATCCTACAGGGGCTGATTGTTTTCAGTTTCCGGCCACCGACCAGCATTTCCAAAAATTGGACATCCCTGTTGATTATATACGCTAACCTGAAGGGTAGAATGGAATGCGCCGTTCGAGTAGGCGGGTATCGCAGTAGTCATATAAATAATTGATGAAGATTCTCAAGAACTCCTCCAATATACTCCAAAGATCTATGGCTCCCCGCTTTCTCTTGATAGCCCGCGCTTTGATTCTCGCAGAGATGATGGCCTATAGTGTTGGTGGAACCTTGATTTCGGGACTACAGGCGTTGAATCTGTCTTCGGGCACACAAATTGAACTCCCATCGAATCGTACAGAGAGATGGTCAAGGTACCGCGCACCGAGCTACAGTGCTATTGTCAAACCTTCTACAGATGAGGACGTTGCTGCGATAGTAGGTGTGCTTCTTTTTCAAGAGCTCCGTGACTGAAATGCGTCTGATCTACCGTCTAACAAGTAGATTTCCACAGATCAAGTACGCCACAAATACCAAAACTCCATTTCTTACGACTGGTGGGGGCCATGGTTTCAGCACCACTCTAGAACGACTGCGTGATGGTATCAGCATCGATCTGTCTAACTTCCGAGATGTTGAGCTGGATACCGTCAGAAATACATTGACCATTGGTGGTGCAGTCCGCTTTGAAGATGTCATAGGACCGCTGGGCGATGGCAAGAAACAACTTCGTATGTTTTGCAATTGATATTGGGAAAAATAAATATGGTTGCTAACTCTATGAAGCCATCGGATCAGAGAATTGTGTAGGCATGGTGAGTAACCTTGCATGCCACAAAACATGTGGATGAATTACTGACGCTCATCAAACCTCAAGGTAGGAGCAGCACTTGGAGGGGGCGTCAGTCGATACAACGGTCTGCATGGCATGTTATTGGACACGCTTTTGAGCGTTAAAATGGTTACAGCTTCTGGTGAGATCATCTACGTATCAAATACTACCAACGCAGATCTCTTTTGGGGACTACGTGGCGCTGGCTTCCACTTCGGGACGATTCTGGAGGCAACCTTTTCAGTTTTTGACCAATCCCCGGAACAGGTGCTGCTTGCAGATTTTCTCTTTGCACCGAATGCTAGTAAAACCATTCTCGATTATTACAAGACGTTCGACAATGTATTACCGGCAGAGCTGTCCTTTGTCTCGCTCTCACTCAATGCTCCTACACTTGGTGGGGTGAGTAGACCATTTCTTCATCCCGGAACATTGCTCATTCTATTCAGTCGATTATTCTTGTCAATGCCGTGTATACGGGGCCCCGCGAAGAAGGCGAAAGATATCTGCAGCCTCTTTTGCAAGCATCGCCTTTAAGACAGAATCTGACCATGGTTCCCTGGGCATCCGTCAATGCTGCTTCATTCTTCGCGATTGAGGGTCCGGGGTTTCATTGCCCAACAGGAAACGTGCACAATGTCTATGGCAGTGCCATCCATACTTTCGACGTTCCAACATTTCAGACTTTCTATGAAAACTACGACGCATTGATCCAATCTCCAGAGCTAGCAGGCACTGTTTACTTTATCGAGATGTTCCCGAAACAGGCCGTTGAGCAAGTTCCTCCTGAAGCTACAGCATATCCATGGCGCAACATCACAACCCACCTGTACGTCACCTCGCGGTCGCCAATGATGTATGTTGACAAAGAGTCAGGCTATTTAATTTCGCATACAACATGACTGCGGAACTTGATGAAAGAATCAACGCCTTTGCTAGGCAGGCGCGCGACAATTTCACAGCAGTGAGTGGGTTCGACCCACCGCAATTATATGTTTTATACGGCCACGGCGATGAAGATCCTACCACCCTGTATTCTGCCGCAAATTTGCCACGTCTCAGAGACTTGAAGGCCAAGTGGGACCCGTCAAATGCGTATGGATACAATTATCCACTACACGATATCTGAGAAGCAGTCTTGGTCGGAGCGGAGATGAGAGATGGTTGCTTCCAAATGTTAGTCTTCAACAATAGCATTAAAGGGCATATGGTGACCATTGTGTGGCGGATAGATACAATGGTGGCTATAGCTAAATCCAAGTAACACATATATTGTTGTGCATCTGAGCAATGCCTACGAGGTACATACGAGAGTCCACCAATCATTATTCCATAGGAGCATAGTCTTCTGCTTTTAGTATGCTCGATCCGATCTTCTGAAGATCGTTTCCCCACAGTGTTTCCTGGCTGACACCGCTCAAGCCCTGTTCAATCATAGCAGCCGCCAGCTCCGAGACATGCACCCATGGTGTGGATCCGAATTGCGCCCAGATACTCGTCAAAGCTTCGCTCTTGGGATGACCAGGCCCCTCAATTCCACCCGGCTTGGTTATAGCAATCTCTACCGCAGGTGCATGTTTTCCACCGAAATCAATAACCGCATTCTCAACGCGGCCCTGATTATTACAGTCAGAGAATGGGACAATGAGTGAATAGTAAACAACTTACGCGCATAAGGCGATAGTCTTGTAGAAATGGCAGAGTCTTGGTTTGGTCACGCTCTACAGTCACGCCTGATGTGTAGACAAAGCGGAAAGGCTTTTCGGACACAGAAGTCATGCTTTGAAGGCCATTGACGGTGTAATCGTGGCAGATCTTGGTCACCTCTTCGAAGTCCGCATCCTTGGACTTGGTGGGGGTAACTGCAAGAGTCCTAATAACAGTTGGCGTGACGCGACAAGAGTGGAATGGATTTCGCTCGACTCACCAGACACAAGCATTCACACCTTTCAGTTCCTCCAAGACTTGTTCCGGGTACGGTTGCCCCCAGTCCTCTAGAATGACAGACTTTAACTTCGACGTGTCTGCCTCGGATGCGGTGTGCTTGGGTACTGGAACCTCTTTGCGAGCAAGTGCCACGACTGAAGTGATAGACTTGTTCTGTAGAGCCAGTCGAATGACTTCCTGCCCAACAAATCCGGTAGCTCCTGTGACTACGAGCTTCATCTTTGATGATTGTAGGTGGCTTGAGTCTGACAGTGGTAAGGTCGGGCTCCAGGTGTTGCGCAGATATAAGTGAATTGTAGAAGTAGATGGTTCTGCGTAGGCTACACTTGAAAACAGTCACACGGAATTCTAGTAGGCTAGAATGGCAAACAAGGCAATAATTTCTCGGGCAAGCGTTCGACCCGCTTCCCGTTTGCAGCCACGCCGCAGCCGTGCTTACTGCCTATGCAATATGTAGGGAAATTGTGAGCCGATCGACAATAACGTAGGGTTACACGGTGACGTCAGGTCCGACCTCAAAAGGCAAGACTACGCAACATAGCAACGGAGCAAGAAGGCAAGAAGAAAACAAGGCAAACAAGCCACGATAAGGATCATGCACAGTTGTATTGGTTTGGTATCAGGACGTTGAGTGGAGCCAGTAAAGTAGGAGTACAAGCAGTAAGACACACAGCCTGGTATGAGAATGCTGCAGTTATTTAACCATGCACACATTAGTACAGAAACGGTGTAATAGATACAGGGCTGATAATTTGCTTATTTACTTTGCTTGAGCTTGCACGGCCCTAGCTTTTGCCTCCTGTCCTACTGTTTATCTGCTGTGTTTACCTCTTTTACAATTAAATCCAACATGCCATCAAGCGAGCAAAATGAGGCCCTCCAACAAGCTGGAACATTTGATGCCAAAGTCTTCTACCCCGCCGAATTCCCACCTGACGTGCCTACAATCGCTCTGGCGAAGTTCTCACTCGCTCTTTTGCTCAACAATGACAAGGATGAAGCACAAAGGCTATTCAACACATGCCGCACCACTGGGTTCTTTTATCTCGACATGCTAGATCATCCTACGGGTCGCCGCTTGTGGCGCAGTGCTTGCAACTTGCATCAAATTGGGCGAGAAAGGTTCAGAGATACACCGATTGAGAAAAAGATGGAGTATAAAACCAGGCCTGGGGTAAGGGTTTTTGATCGTGGGTGAGTTCAACCGGCCAACCAACCAGTTCCCAATAGATAACAGCGCTGATCATATAATCTAAGATATTTGATGCGCAGCGCCTACGCTGGACAGCAAAACGCTGACTTGGAAATTGTGAACATCCCTCAAAGTGAATTTTTCGGGACAAAGGACGATGCCGGTGCGGGACTTCCGGGGTGGTTCTCTGAAGAGGATCAGAGCGATTTCAAAACAGCGATGGAGTGCGGAAATTCTGTCGCGCGCGGAATCCTTTCGGTCCTCGAGAAGAAACTCGATATACCTCGTGATTCTCTCGCCAGCCTCCATAGCCTCACGGACGATTCTGGAGACTTCGTTCGCATTCTTCGTTACGGCGGCGTACCCCCTTCTACTGTCGACGAGCCAGAAGGCTTTCCACCTCACCGAGACGCAATGAGCATAGCGATACTGTTCAACTGGCTCGGTGGGCTGCAGATACCGAGTCCGGAAGCCGAGGTCAATGGCTACGTTGTCAAAGACGAGGACTGGCGCTGGGTCAAGCCGGAAGCTGGATATGCAATCGTTAATCTTGGGGACGCCATGGCTATTTTCTCGAATAACCTTCTAAAGTCCCAAATTCATCGTGTGGTGAAAGCCCCGGGGGATCAGCGACAACATGATAGACTGAGTATCATTGTTGCAACGCGTCCCAAAAATACGTGTTTGATGATGCCGTTCGAGAGCTCCATTATACCACCCAACGAGAGCACCGAGGTGCCGATTACAAGTTTGGAATGGGGGTACAATGTGGTCTCAAAGATACGACAACGAGCTGTTGCAAGAGGTGCTACTGATTTAGACAACATTGTCAATCCTGGAAACGGGGGGAAATAGTAGCTTCATCATACGGTATACAGGTGGAATCCAACTATTGGACGCTATGAGAAGAACGAGAATCTAAACTCACTCCTTCTTTTATAAATCTCCAGTCTGCTTGATACTTATGCTAGATCATATATGCAACTACCAGCAGGTTTACCACAAGCTCCTGAACGATTAAGGCTTATATGCACTCGTTTACAGCACAATGACCTCTCTACAACATCTAATTGAAGTGCAAAGTGTGAAGCGACGACCTTGTGAGATAATTTGGAATGACAGCGCGCCAGGGCTTTGTGAATGTGCTAGCTCTTCTTGCTAAAGTTTAGGGTGAGATGAAACAGATTACCAGATTCAAGTACGAGAGGTTGTGAATGTAGTTTCTAGGAGCTGTGGTAGCTTACAAAAAAGGCAGATGCACCCGAAATGTCTGATAGCAGAAGTACTTCATTGTCACCCTCCGGCTTTGGGCTCTTTGCGCTTCACCATGCAGCTCTAGGAAAGACGCCAGGAAATTGTTCTTACCAATGGGATGCCTAATCTGCCTCATCTTTCCGATGACCCAATCTGAACCTTCTTTCGTGTAGCTTTCGAGCCCGTACATGAATAACGGCCGAGTATACCCAGGATTGATGGAGCCATTAGCGGAGACATTCCAATCTCCCTCGATGATGCGCCGAATCTGCGCAAGCGCTTCCGTTGCTTCAGGCGAAGGGAAAGGCGGGTCTCCAAGGATTCTGCCAATTGAAATGATCTCAGTGTGAAAAGCAGCAAGGCAGATTCCGCACAAGGCCACAATCTGGTCTGCTAGATTGGCAGACATGTGTTCACGTATAGCATTTGGCTGAAGTTGAAGCAGCGCAGGACGATGCTCCCAAAGACGAGATAGATCGGCTTTCACATTTGCAAGAATCTCTGTCACCTCTTCTTGGTCCGCCGAAGTCGTTCGCGAGCGACGATAGTGTGTCACGTCTGCAACTCGGTTCGATATTGCTTGTACGCTCAAGTAGAAGTTGAAGACTGGCGTTGCAAGAGTGTCGAGTAGAAGAGACTCCTGCTGAGCATCGGAATTGAGGGTAGCAAGGCTGGGCACCTCCTTCACATGCTCGTAAAGCAGATCCAAGACTCTTGAGGGGAGAAGTCCTTGGTATCCTGGCCGCTTTGTGGTAATGTTAAGTAGCTGTAGCCATGCACAAATGCGCAATGAGATGGCGGATCGGCTCTTGCCTGCCAACCAAACCTCAAGTCTTCCCACGAAGTCCCCATCAAGGACCGTCAAAGGAGGGCTGTCGTCGTTAGGAAAGGTGACGGCGCAAAGGCACAGGAGCAAAGCCACAGCGAGAATGACGTCAAAGTCTATTGCATGATCACCTGATATTGAACCGAAAGTTGTCAGTGCATTCCTATAGATGGACGTAGCGTGGGACATTGACAAACGGTCCGCCTGTGCTCTGTATACTGCCTGAGCGACAAGAAGCGATTCGGCCACGGGAAAATGGGTGATACCAAGAGTGGTGATATGGCGCTTGACCCAAGTCCAGTTCAATGGATCAAATGATGAGAGGAGGGGGTAGTCGAATGTATCGAGGAAGTATGAGTATGATTCAAGGGCGGGTCCCTCCGAAGCTGCTCTCCAATCCATGATGGTCGTCAGGTAAATGAGTTGCGAGGCGGCATGGTATCGGTCCACAGAATCATTGGACGCGAAGTGGTGCTCGGACGTAGTGGACCTGCTGTTCACTTCATGAAACGGCGATCCAAATGATCCAGGATATGAGTAGATTGTCCCAGGTGTATTCGTCTGCTGCTCCAAAGAACTTGTCATGTCTATGCCGCCCCAATGCGAGTTTGAGTCTGGACCAGCAGGCTCGTCATGGTTGAAGAAGTCTCTGTTCGAACCCAGGGGCCTATCGTGGCCCGGAAAGTCGCTTGGTCCATGATTTGTCTCACACTGGCCGCCCTGTTGCGGCTCATCTCGCGACGTAGCTCGTCCTATGGGTGCTTGATATTCGCAAATTCTGTTCAATCGGAGACATTTTTGACAACTTGGCCGCTGTTCGTCGCATTTCACTTTGCGAGCTCTGCACACCAAGCAGCCCGTACGTACACGATATTTAGTAGATGGACCTGGGGTGGCTGCTTGAGCGTCATGCTCGGAGTTTGTTGTACCATTCTCTCCGGACGTAGAGGATTCCATCTGCTGTAATGGAAGGTTGGTGCCGGCCTCGTGGGAAGCGATCGGGTCTCAGTGACGCAACACTGTCATTGTTCTTTATCAACATGGACAATTTACGCCTGCAAGCTGCGAGGTACCAGCAACAAGGTCTTGTGAAATATGTTGCGCAGAAAAGGATTATGGTGTTTTATTTGCCTGCCAGGACGTAATTGATTGTACAAGCCGGCTAGAGTTCTCTGCCACTATGCTGAGAATTTCATCTTCCCCGCTAATTTGAGAATCCGGGCCTGGCTCAGTTTACACCCGATATGTTCTAGTCCAGGATGACGAACACAACACTAGCAATTAAAGTCTCCTAATCATTCTTTACAAGCACAAAGGGGTGTATACTCTGCACAGTATGTAACATTCAAGGAGGCAAGAACAATGTACGACGGAGAAGAAGTGCTCTGGCAAGAAATTGAGACTATGCATTATGCGACCATTAGGCCGCTAGGGTGTGAATGTCTATCATGAGCGTGCTTTCGCGAATGCAATCATCTCTGTGCATCGACGATGATTCTGACAACCTGTTCCACATCATCACTGATCAATTGATCCATCAATCCTTCCCTAATCCACTCCGCAACCTGTGCCTCGACATCCACTCCATATGACTTCTGTGACTCTAGCCTAGAAGGAGCAGGCACATGCAGGAACACAGCGAAACCTGCCTCATGAAGCTGTGCGGCTTCTCCACTTGGAAAGTGTTGTATCTCGAGATTCATGGCGTCAACGTTCGCCTCTCTCGCGACCGAAGCAGGGTCGATCAACCTGGAATGAGAGATCGCCACCGTAGGTACTTCGGGAATGATCTTCTTGACCTCTCGGAGTTGTAAGAAATCGAAAGACGAGAATTGAAGGAGATCGGCACATTGAAGCTCGTCTATCAGCGCTCTCAACTTCGGGAATATCTCGTCGTTGCGGTCGTAGATCTTCAATTCGAGCTGATATATGATGCCGACCTCTCGCGCCAACTGTATTGCATCCCTCAGCAAGGGGATGGGCTCGCCTGCGAAGGACTTATCGAACCAGGAGCCCGCATCGAGCTGCGAGATCTCCGCGTAGGTCATGCAACTCACAGGCCCTCTCCCATTGGTGGTGCGGTCGACCGTCTCATCATGTATCAAGATCATTTCGCCGTCTTTGGTGAGGGCGAGGTCGGTTTCGCAGGTGACATTTTCGCCGCCGACTTCACGGGCTTTGCGAAACGCTGCGAGGGTGTTCTCTGGTGCGCAAGAACAGTAGCCACGATGGCCGGCCACTCTTGGCTTTTGTGCACTTGTTCGTAGAGGATTCTTCATGGTGGGATGTGTGCGACGATCTGCTTTACCATGATTCAGCTGAAAGGATGACGACTATTTAAGAATGGCTCTTAGTGAAACACGTGGGATCTCTCGCCCATCGGCATAGTAACAATGCAAAGTCTCGAATAGCTCCATAGGAACTTAAGAAGCTCGCTCTTCGAGATGGAAGAGATCTCGCTTATATCGGCTAATGTGGGGCTCAAGGCTTGCCGATTGAAGCGAGCTCCTACGGGGTAATCAACTCAGGACCAATCTTAACGTAGCCAAAGCTGCTTCATCTTCGGCTACTGACAACTGTGAAGTACTCTCAAGCTTGTTGTATAGTCACAAGCCCGTTCATATCCCAACGAGCAGCTGGCCGCTAATCTTGCGATAGGTTCAATGGTATTCTTTAATGCGGGATGACTAGGATGTTTGATCAGTGCGATGAACGGATGTTTTTCATCCTTGGATGCATTGCTTCGTCTTCGAGAGTCGCCGCGTTTAAGTCGTGGATATCTCCATGCGTGCGCTCCATGGACTTTTTTTTCATGACTTCCCACTAGTACTTTGAGTTGCGGAAGGCCTACTCCTTTCAAAAGATCAAGATTCACATCATCATGGCAGTCTATAACTACGAACGTGAACGACAAGTTGCCGAGCGTGCAGTTCTGTGGGCCTCTATCCTCACAAAGCAAGTTCAATCCAGCGTCAGACACACCTTCAAAAGCGACAGTTCGGTAGTCACAATCGCCGATTTTGCTGTCCAAGCTATGATCATAGCAATGCTACGGGATGCTTTTCCAGGCGACAGGTTCCTGGGCGAGGAAGATTCCGGCCCTCTTAGAGCCAACGAAGGATTGTGTCAGGCGGTTTGGGGCCTTTTAAAAGTCGCGAGCAAGGACGGGATTCTGCCAAACAGTCAATCGAATGGACCAACATCGATAGAAGAGATGCTGGAGTTGATCGACCTTGGAGGACAAGAAGAAGGCGGCAGTGACGGCCGTATCTGGGTTATGGATCCGATTGATGGTACAGCTACATTCCTCAAGGGTCAGCAATACGCCGTGTCGCTGACGCTCCTTGATCACGGCGAGGAAGCAGTTGGCGTTCTAGGATGCCCCAATATCAGCAGCGACATGACACAGATCTCGGAAGAGAACATCAACGACGACGACTTTGGTGTAATGTTGACGGCAGTTCGAAATCAAGGTGCGACAATGCAGACCATGTCACCCACAGGCCTCGAGAACTTGTGTCTATTGAAGCCCATCGCCAGCAACAAGCCCAGCAAGGTCCGCATCGTCGATTGCGCTGACTGCAAAGTTACCCGGCACGATGCCACTCGGAGGCTGGCGAACAACTACAACACCCGCTTCCCACATACCGAATTGTGGTCAGCTCACATGCGCTACGCTGCGTTGATTCTTGGCATGGCCAACGTTTTGTTCTGGGTTCCTGCTGAAGCGGAATCAAAAGTGCACATTTGGGATCATGCTGGGTCGCAACTCATCTTCAGAGAGGTCGGGGGGAAGATAACAGACTTGGACGGGAAGCCTGTCGATCTTGGGGCGGGGAGAGACCTCAATCGAAATAGAGGACTGGTTGCTGCAAGGGCGGATATTCATCAGGATCTCTTCCTGGCTATGCGCAATGCTCTGGCACATTGTGACCGCAATGACTCGGATTAACGGTTTTTGTTAGTACTCGACAATGAGTTAGCAATATCAATTTTTTCTTTGCTCTAGAATACAAAATTCTTAATCTCATCCAAGCGATATCTTCAATAAAAGTAGCACAACGTCTCAGCGGCCGAGTTGAGAGTGTTAACATGCAAATCCCCCATCCAAGGAACGGGAGATGCGAATCAATTTGAATTTTGGTGCTAAGCACTCATCAACCTCGCCATCCACAGGCGAGCCTCGCTGAATTCGAGGAGTTTCTTACAGCAAAAGTTCGCGCGGGCATTAACTGATCTGTAGAATAATTACATTAATCCAAGCCGCGCTGTACACTCGGACATGAGTCGTACTCTAGAAAATGATGCTGCATGGTCTCTTGCGGGGCAAGGCTCGTCGGCAGGCTCGCTTAAAGTGGGCCACTAACCCTGCTTAACAGCGGCATGTCGAACGAGAGGATTTCTCGCTCGGAGTAGACTCCTACCAAATGCTCGCTCGTGGTCGAGTCTGAAATATCAATTGGCCATATCGCCCTGCGCTCGAGCAAACACCATCGATGGCCGGCACTGAAGCCGCGATGGAATGTCGAGACAATGACTACTTAAAGAGTTGAACAATACCCGCCAGAATAAGGACTCACCAGTCAAGACGATAACCCACCAACAGCGAGGTCAACCACCGACCAAAGCCAGTCTCTGATAATTATCTCGCCATTCTCAACATCTCAATCCCGACTTCATCATGGAGAAGACCATCTCGATAGAGAAGCCCGTTGTAACAGGAGCCGAGACAAACCCCAGCCAGTACTTGGAAGATGCCGAAGCCGCCGTCGCGTGGGAGCACTCACTGACGCCACGACGAGCGTTGAGGCTCTATTCCAGGGCCGTCAAGTTCGCCGCCTTCGTTTCCCTCATCCTCGTTATGGAGGGATTCGACACCAAAGTCCTTGGCAGTCTGTACGCGGTGCCTGCGTTCAAGAGAGACTTCGGCCAATTGACGTCCAAGGGAAAGTATGAGGTCTCTGCACCTTGGCAGAGCGGCATGAGCGGTATCCAAGGCGTGACGATGATCGGCGGCATGTTCTTGGGCGGATACGTTACTGAGAAATTCGGCTTTCGCAAGACGATGATGTGGACGCTGCTGTCTATTGCTCCGATCAATTTCGCCTTCTTTTTCGCTCCGAGCATCGAGGTGTTGGCCGTGGCCGTGTTTTTGTTCTGTAAGTCTTATGCTCGCATTTTCATCTCAGAGAGCCTAACAATATCTAGCGATTCCCCTGGGAATCTTCCAAACCATAACCACGGTTTATGTTACTGAGATCATGCCTTCATGTCTGAGGCCATATCTGACAAGCTGCTACTCACTCTCGTGGGCAGGTTCGCCATATTATTATTCCAAAACCGGCACTGACATGAATCCAGGCCTTTGGTCAACTTCTCAATGCGGTCGTCTTTCGTGGCACTCTTACTCTGCCTAGCCCATGGACATACCGAGTCCCGTTTGCCCTTCAGTGAGTTGTCAGATGACTTACGCTTCTGCTGTTCGGACCTAACAAGTGGTCAGATGGTTCTGGCCGGTCCTCATCATCGGTGGCATCTACCTCGCGCCAGAATCACCCTGGTGGCTGGTTCGCCAGGGCCGCGTTGAAGAGGCCGAGGCAATCGTTGCTAACTTGACAACCGATGACTTGGACATCGAGGTTAAGAAGATCGTCGCACTAATGGCATTCACGACTGAGCATGAACGGAGCGTCCATGACGGCACGAGCTACATCGCCTGCTTCAAGGGAGCAAACCTCCGCAGAACCGTCATCGTCATGGGAGTCTACATCATGCAGGTCCTTTCTGGCGCACCTCTACGCGCGTGGATGACCTACTTCTTCTTACAAGGCGGTCTTGCGGCCGATCAGTCATTCAACATGACTATTGTTGTACTGTGCCTTTCGGTCGCTGGTGTCTTGGGCGCAGTAGGTGCATTTCGGAAGTACTCACAGTGTCTTGCTAACAGACTTCTAGTGGGTCGTCTTGACCTTTGTTGGTCGCAGGCGCATGTATCTTGCCGGAAACCTCGTCGGCATGCTCCTCTTCATAGCAATCGGCTGCATGGGCATCGGAATCAAGACCTCGGGGGCCTCTAACCTCGCCTGGGGTATCGGCTCTCTCCTCGCCATCGATGGTTTCGTCGCCAATCTGCTCATTCTGCCCATCACATTCGTGCTGGTCTCCGAGATCCCAAGCTCCCTCCTCCGTACCAAGTCCGTGGTGCTCGCGCGAAACACTTACTCCGTCGTCAACATCGTTGCCGGTACCATCACGCCGTACATGCTCAACCCTACTGCCTGGAATTGGGGCGCGCTGACGGGCTTTTTCTGGGCTGGAGCGGCCTTGATTGGGTTTGTCTTCACTTTCACGATGATTCCGGAGTCAAAGGGTAAGACGGTTGCGGAAATGGATTATTTGTTCGAGCAGAAAACGCCGGTTCGCAAGTTCAAGAAGGCTCAAGTTTCGCTTTCCAATGGCGACATAGAACAGTCGATTTGAGTTTTGTTGAAACCTTACTGCTGAAGCTAGTTAGGATATAACCCTACTTGCGAGCATTTGTGGCTCCCAGACTGGAAATTCCGATGATTCGAGCTGCTTCTATCTAGCCATTACTTTGACCAGTAGTAACCATGCTCTGGCATTGTTGTGTAAAATTGGAACATTCTATTTTAAAATTTAGTATTATTAGAACAAAAAGAATTAACAAGTACATAATGCAATATAGGATTACCTTCTCGAATAACTATGTCTTGTTTCTCTATGAGAACAATACTATTACTTATGTATCTATTATTAATGTACAACTTAATTACATTGTAAACTAGACTCTCTATCGAGATTTATATAAATTAGAACAAATTCCGTCAGAGTAATAAGACCAACAACCTACAAATATTCTACCTCAGAAATTTTATACAATTAAGCGTTTGTAAAGAAATTTACTGCCAACTCAGAGTGCCTAGATCTCCTGTAGTTAATCTTTTGAGGACAAAATGGTTCTCGATGACATGAGTAGTATCGACAAACAGCCAGAAGAGGACAGTTTGAGCGAAGACGACGAGGAGCAAGATTCAATTAGGCTGCTGGCAACCAAATGTAACGACCTCTTTGACAGCAGTCTAGCACGAACTGCCGGCTCTGATCGAGCACTTCCTCCCCTAGCTCTGCGCTTCTTCGGCGACTATAAGCGACGTTTCCAAGGTTGGTGTTGGTTCATGTGTGTCATAACGGAGCACGAGAATGAGTCTCTCGACTATCGCCTGCGAAACGACGCCTGGTTACATGATGTGATCATGCGGTACCTTGACATCCTCCTAGATAATTTACTATTTGTGGACCGCTCCCAATTACAGGGTAATGACTACGACTCTTGCAATAACGAAACCGAATTACCGTCCGTTTTGCAAGTGGGGTTCACTGGAATCAGGGAGTCTGTCGATCGTCTCAACAAACTTGGTGTCAATAGGATGACTTCCTCGAGATCTATTTTCGTCGCAAGCGCAAGGAGATTTGCTACTCAGTAAGTACCTAATTACTATTTTGTCTGCATTCTGATTTTAGGGGAAATTTATCTCGAGAGGAATGCGTGCCGTTTCATCTTATGCAATGTTTGGTTTACATTTACTGATAACCTTTCACTTCCTCCCAGGCACCCCGACCTTGTTCGATTGTCCGATTTCGAGCTTCGAGCATACATTGCTGTCTACAATCTCTACCCTAGTGCTCCTGAAAGCCTGCGACAGCAGCTCTCGGATTCGATGACAGACAGATATGCCAAACTTTGCTACGAAGCAAACATAACAAGAAGGTTCCAACCACCTAGCTCTTCAAAGGTCGAGTCTCGGCAGCAACAGAACGACAAAGACGATGTCCAACCTAACGAATAAAGCACAACGCCCTCGAGAGGACCAAAATCACTAGCTGGAAAGAGGGGTACGTGTTATTAGTTCGATGTCATTTGCAGTACATTCAACTACTTGCTTGCTAACGAGCGTGTTATATTTAGGAAAGCTCCGAGAGCCGCAACTGCCAAATCTCGGAGGTGAATACCAATCCAAGTGCGAGTGGTGTCATCGTTTCAATGAGCCGTCTTGGGTGCGGCTTAGTCTCATGCGCAAATGCCCTATACAGTGGACTGCTGAAGGACGGAAACATTACCAGCAGGACCTTGAGCCCTACGTATGCCTTTCCGAAGCTTGTTACATGGCACGACCGTCGTTTGCGTTCTCGGACGAGTGGTTCAGCCACATGAAGTCTAACCACTCGGAAGCATGGTCTTCAAAGATTCACTCGCGGCCTCTATGGACTTGCAACGCAATGACAGAGGAAGGAGACTTGGTGCACGAAAATGACACGGTTTATGCGTTCTCTACCAAGACGGAACTCATGATTCACTTCAAGCGCCACCACCCGCAATTATTACCCAAGCCCAATCAGTCCAACGATAGCAATAATGAAGGGGATATCTCTCAACCTGGAATGCAACATCACTGGTCACGAAGCGCGCGCGCAGTGTCTTCTTGTCCCCTGTGCTCATTCCGCGAGGAGCTCAAAAACGAGCCAGACGACGAAACGATCATCACGTCCAAAACGATGGGGTCGCACATTGCCGACCATCTACATCACCTTATGATGGTAACACTGCAGATCATGAAAGCTATGGAACCTATGAGCAAGGACGCTCCGGATCTTGCGAGCGGGCCCAGTAGCGACCTCTCGGAGCCATGCTCAGAGCTCGAGGACGATGAGATTCGAGATAGGCGCGATGATAGGCTAGAAAGACTACTACTGGAGCTAAGAGAGACTTATCAAGTGCAACTGACTGTTCTTAAATCTCTTTACCCACGATGGACGGACAAAGATTTACTATGGGTCATTGATGATGCCAAAGGGGACCTCGAAGCGAGCAAACAGCGACTCTCCATCACGGAGGCCGATCGCAACGAGGCGGAGAATGCCAACCAGTCGGGAGGCCAAGCTTTGTCCATTCACAATCTATATATGTTTGAATTGGATGATGGCAATGATCAGTCGCTCCCTCAATCACCTAGGGACCGGACGGTCTCTGAAGAAGGTGACAATTCAGAGAAAGATAGAGACAGAGATCTCGTCTTCAAGTTCAAAGAGACGACGTTGGCCAACACTTACCTTAACCACGAGTAGGTATTACGTATCTTAACTATTTACGGTACAGGTTAATTAGAACAAAAGCGCTTCAAAAACAGATTGATAGTTCCGAGATATAGAGTAAAATGACCATCCTTTCCTAGATAATTATAAGAATGATTCATATGTAGCCCATACAGCTTTGCGCAGTGTGAAGATCACTATTCTCGACACGGTCATCGCAAAAAGGGCCCCAGTCCCGCTTTCAATCAGCCTCAGTAACAGCCCAATGAAGGTTGGAAATACCCTTGACAAGGCACTTCCACCAAACGGAGAGACCGACGGTGTGTCACTCACACGGCTGGTTTGATTCTTCAAGTTTGCTTACGCGCGGATCTTTAGTTGTATCGCGTTCTGGAGGACGATGAAGAATGAGTAAGGAGTATGAAAGTGGAGCTGTCAGTGATGTCATTCACCAGAAAAGGGTGGATAGTATGTATTTTAGTAAATAATATATTCTAGCTCTAAAGCTTTGCCGTACCTATATTATTAAGGAATCTTTTAGAACTTGCACTTCGTGAATATGAGCTCGTTCAGTGCCAGGCGAAACATGACAGTTAGTGTACTTTTTAGTATAGGGTCAGGTAAGGCAAACTGGATTAACTAGCTTGATATTGCAGTGATCAGAGAAAATCTGTATCGCCATGCGCGCGTTAAAAAAGACCTTCGTTGCTGCACTAGTCTTAAGGAAACTTTTCAAAGCAAACGCGCCTCCTTGGCCTTTGTGTAGGGCTCCGACAAGATATGGAAGACTGACGACGTTGACTGTACTGATCGGAGCAACGTAAATGATCAGACTGTGAAGGTTCATTGTGAGATAGAAAGATGGAGGGTTTTTTGGTAGTCTGTTGAAGCTTTGTACAAGCTTGTTGAACGCCTCTGGGGTTGCGATACGCTCCATTAAAATTACGTGAGAGGTAGTTATAGCCATTGTTTTTCAAGACGCGTCCGAAATATATATAGTCGTCAAACCGCTACTCTAGAGACATGTTTAGAGAGACCTTAAGCCTACCTCTACACCTATTTGTGCTTGTGACGATGTATAGCAAGGCCTGACCAAATTTGACAAGGAATTCATGAGATAAGTTTGCTGTTAGGTATGTAAGGAAGGTAGCCAGAGATATGGTGTTGCCTGATCGGCTTGTGTTGGTAAGATGGGCACGAAATAGACATGGACACACAATGTAAGGGATGCTTGAGAATGTGATGACTCAAAAACCTGTGGAGCTTGTAAAACGTGTAAGTTGCATCTCGTCGCCGGAGAGGGTGAATCTATTTACATACATGAGCTGTGCAGATTGGCGCCATAGAGAACAATTCCGAATTCCGCCCACTGAAGATCTAAGGTAGATATTGACAGGTAGCAGAGGAGTGGCGTTGAATGTATTGCAGATATCGGAAGGCTTCTGGTCGTACCCAAGTAACGTTACCAGAGTCAGAGGGACAGCAAAGCTGAGGAATCATAGTATAGATGCCCTTCTTTCCCTAAACCTTGTATTCACTTTCCTTGCGGAAGATTGGTTCTAATTTCTTTAGTAATATATTCTTATAACAGTAATTGAATAACCTTTATCTAAACCTAATTTACTACCTTATAAGACCCTTGTCTCTTACTAGAATTATCTTCTGCAGTTTAGTTTCTAAATAATCTTAGTAGATGTTAAGAGATATATATTATCCATTACCCTTAAGACAATGTCAGCTGTCTGCCAAGCTAGCTAGGCTTAGGTAGGCATAGAAGCAGATTCAGCACCGCTGAACCTGAGGTAACTCTCTACACAGCCTGTGTCAACTTGCCCTGTCAACTGATAGAAGTCCTAGTCCTCCTTTAGAAGCAGTCCTATTCAGGCTATAGTTTTCCACCACAATCTCTCCTAAACGCTGCTTATCGATATGATTTGTGTCATATGTACAAAGATCAAGATCGACACGCAGACACTTCCTCATCACCAGACCTGCCAGTCCTTCAAGAACTCGGTGGACTTGGGATGCTACATCTGCAATCGCCTCTGGGCAGTTCTAACGCTTAATGAACGATGCGCTGTTTCGTCTTCGGCTGAGTCAACGTCGAACCTCATCAGCGATGCAACTGAAGTCTCGATTTGTAACAAACAGATCCGTTCTATCCAAAATTGTGTTACTACGTCTTGGTCTCAGGAAGGTAGTATATACGGCCATCCGGGATGCTACTTATTGTCCCTCTCTTTCGACGCAAGCAAAGCGTTTCCTCAAAAAGTAGTGCCAGCGACATACTGGCGTGCATCATTCTTGTTGCAGCCTCTTAATGGTAAGACTCAGCCCGATTATAATTGAACCATGCGAAATGCCTTTGTTCATTCCCTTATTCCACGTTGATCTGCTCTTCCTAAATCACTCTTTGATTGACCAACCCTTAGACCTACTGCTGTGCAATCCCAGGGAGAGACTTGCTGGCACCACGAAATCGGCTCAAGCCTTGTCTACTGCAAAGAGTTGGGTAACCGAATGTGTGACCAAACATCAGCATTGCAAAAGTTTCTCCAGTGAGAGGCTTTGGTATCCAACGCGCCTTCTTGACTGCGGATCTCTCAGAAGCTCAGAAACATCTTGTCGGTTAATCGAGACCAACAAAACATCTCTCGATGAGCCATACATGACACTCAGTCATTGTTGGGGACATACCAACTGTCTAAAGCTGACCACTAGCAACCATGCCCAACTCCTCGATGCGATCCCGTTGTCTCTTCTTCCTCAGTTGTACCAGGACGCTGTGTACATCACTCGTTATCTAGGTATAAGATATCTATGGATCGATTCTCTCTGTATAATACAGGAAGGAGATGGACTCTTGGACTGGCTGAAAGAAGCAGAGGTTATGGGACAGGTCTATTCGAATTCATACTGCAATATCTCTGCCGCAAATGCACCAGACAGCGACCATACTCTCTTCTGCATCCGAAACCCAGAAGCCTTTCTTCCACAGACCATTGGCATCACTGTAGATGGCTGCACACATCGTTATCATGTATCCGATTATCGTTTTTGGGAAACCGAAGTGTCTCAGGCTTTGATTAATACTCGAGGCTGGGTCCTCCAAGAGCGACTCTTGTCTCCGCGCGTCCTGCACTTTGGCGAGCGCCAGCTATTCTGGGAATGTCGACAGAAAGATGCCGCTGAAGTTTCTCCAGGCGGCTTGTCTCATAAGAGTTCTCGGTGTCCTCGCTTGAAAGACCTTGCCCCTCATGGTGTTATCGTGAACGACGAAACCAACAGCGACGCTACGGCATACAATTATTGGGTCCAAATTGTACGTACGTACACAGCGTGTCAGCTTTCCTATCCTAATGATAAACTGGTTGCTCTTTCAGCCATCGCGAAAGTGATGAGAGATATCTTGCGAGATGAGTATGTTGCTGGCATGTGGCGTCGCTATCTGGGTTTCGAGCTCCTTTGGTCAGTAAGAGGAGACCTCACACGGTTTGCATCACGGCCCCAAAAGTATCGTTGTCCAAGTTGGTCATGGGCGGCGGTAGATGGCGGTATCAACCCTGGCCTTCCAGATGTTGATACGGCAAGTTTATTAATCGAAGTAGTCGATTTCAAAGTAGATTATTTGACAAACGACAACACGAGCTTGGTTCAAGATGGATGGCTGCATTTGCGGGGTGTATTGAAACAGTTGAAATTGATACGACACGGCCCGTTGAAAACACGTGGCTATGGAGATTGGAATATGCTCGTGAATGGGCAGCATATTAGCGTGTTGACGGACTCTGCATACAAGGAGCCACAACCTCATGTGAAGCTCGACGCTTTTTATGACCAGTTCGAAGAGCAAAATGCGAAGGAAACTTTGTACTGTATGCCGGCGAGAGTACGCCCCGGCGCCGATGGGAGCATATATGCTTTGATATTGGAGGTAGAAGACCCGCAGAGGGGCGTATATCGTCGCATTGGACTAGCTCGTGGATGGGGTGAAGAGATGAAAGGGAAAATGTTGGCTTGTAGTGGAGAGGAGGACCAATTCCCATGTGAACAGTTTCACAATGGTCTCCACATGATACGTATCATTTAACGGGCAGTAGCAACCCTGAATGTAAGTCGCATTCAGCAGAAGGAACGCGCAAGAAATTGTTCTTTATAGCTAAGTTCATGGCTGATTAAGCGCATCGAAATTCAGTTTCCAACTATCCTCTCCGCCAAGATACGAATAACGATCGAAAAAGTCGCCCAAGAAAAAGGAGGGTCTATATCTCATGGGCATCTTGCAGATCTCGTGAAACAACGAGTGATGTGCATTTTTCAAGGCCCTCAGCGTATCGATCTGCTGTCGAACATTGTGCCACACCTTTGTCAGACTTTCAAGCTGTGTCATCTCTCTGCTCAGAAGTTCGGGCGACTTTTCGTACACTTTGAATTGCTCGGAGACGCCTTTGGTGTCCTTGTAGTAATAACTCCCATGCATATGGACGGTAGCAGCAGTGCATAGGCAGTAACTCACGAACGCTGGCCAATGGATACTGCGATTGGTATTCGCAATTTCTACAATCTCTGTTATTGCGTTTGCATGCGAGAAACAGAGGAACGTTGCTTTGGTGCGCCAGGGTTGGTACAACCCGGGGTTGGTCAGTTCTGTCAGTTCGATTGGTAGGAACGGTCTATAGATGGAGCAGTAGATGACGTGGTATATCAATTTACTCATAAGCAATGGCATCGAATCGGGTCGTCCAATCAGACTTTCGACAGTAGTGAATTCTTTCCCAGCGCTCGAGATCCATTTGTTGAGGTATTGTTGTATGTCAGAGAGCTTAGACTGTGGGCTCCATGGATATTCCGTGTCTCCATCCAACCCACCAGAGGCTAGGTACTTCGTTGTGAGACCGAGTATTCTCGTGATCTTGATCAGCAGTGCAACTCTGCTCTCCGATGCTTCCGATGTCTCTTGGCAAACAAAGCGTCTCAATTCGACGGGAAGTAAACCCAGCTCTCTGTTCGTATCTTGGGATTTGGCAGGAAGATCCGGGAATCGAAGTATGATGGCTTCGTCGTTGATTAGCGGGATGCGGCTTGAATCGCAACTGAAGAACCGATCCAATAAGTAACAAGTCCAGAATGTCCGACGCCTACTCTCCCTGTCGCCGTCCGTCAGACTAGAGTTCCCTTTGTCCTCGCGGTGTAACCCTCTGAAAAGTACTGCACCAATCGCTCTCGCTGACTTGAACGTTAATTATAGCAAATTATAATATACAATGGAATCGAACGTACCTAAGAGCATGTATGCACTTTCATTGTCACCTTCTGCAGAAAATGCCAGGACAAGCAGGAGCAGCGCCTGGATCGCATCAATCGAGGTATCATCGACTTCAATCTCGGCTCTCGCACGTAATGCAAGGTTGTAGCTCTGTTGATTGTCGCTCTTCCAGCGACCGAGTAATGGCGTGTCCCTGTCGGTAAAGAATGAGAAGAAGTTCATTGAAGTGAATTCTGCATGACACACCTGATTGCAAGTGCAAATATCGCGCAAGAGAAGAAGCCAGGTAGATCATTGTGCCTCAGACGTTCGCGAATGGTAGATTTATCAAGCATGTAGTACGTTCTGCCATGGAATCTTTCAAAAAATACATCGAGGAGAATTTCGCCCTAGAGCGCACATTAGTGTTAATACCGTGATGATCATGTAGACGGATGAAATACGTTTGATGAAAGTGAAGCATCATGCCCCTGTCTAGTCTCCTTCACCTCACGTTGTTTCACTCTCGTACGTCTTTGGTGTTTGGGCTGCGCATTGCGACTTTCAATCGTTGGTTCTCTCGTGTCAGTCTTCTTTGCACGTCGTTTTGCGGGCTTCTCGGCCAAATTTGCTTTACCTGCCCGCTTTTTGCTTGGTCTTTGCTCGGGCTCTGACTCGATATGAAATGTTGGAGTAGGGATGGATGGCGATTCTTCAAGAATTTGTTACTACGGCGCGGGGGACTAATTTGACAATCAGAATTGAGACCGCGAAGACATACCTGTAGAAGACTTGCTGGAGAAGTCTAGAGCAGGCTCTTTGGGCACAGGCAACTCTTCGTGGTCTAGCTAATTGGCCGTGAACATGATTAATGGGAGGGTACGTTAGAATCTATAAAGTATACTGCTTACCATAAAAGAAGGAGGTGAGCTTGGTCCGTCCATAACGAAGTCCTCGAAATTGAAAGATCCATCGATTGTAACATTGTCGCCAATTTGATGCGACATTGTGGATTATCAGATTAATGATTGGAAAAGGAATGATGAAGACGCAATCGTCACGACCTTTGCGAATCTTCATAAGACATACTGGACTCAATGCTAGGATGAGCTATTAATTAGAGGTAATGCTACAGCTGAATATTCTCTCTTCGACATTCTCATTCGTAGAATTCGTGGCCATATTGACGAAATCGAGAACCCCACTCGCCCCCACGGGGACCGTCCAGTCTAGGATGACTGTTCCCCGCAACAACAAGAAAACGTTTGGCCTAGTAGTGGTGTTCATGCATGGGAGGTGGTGCATTGTTGAATGAATAAGTATCATGCGCGCTGGAGGGAGAATCGAGCTAGTCATGCGAACAAAGGGATGGCCAATGATCGTGGGAGTAGAGCTTGCCAATGCGTTGAGTGAACCCCCAAGAGCTGTTCCTCACCCCCAACGTGTGCCTAGATTATAGGTCGGTCAACATTGGGGGTTACCATCAGATCGTGTACAACATGGCTTCCGCGGACAGCGGTAGTAAATTTCATACTTGCAATGTACGCCCGTACCGGCCAGGAGAGAACAAGATGAATCGGATGGGTCGGATGTATGTGGAGGTCGAGAGATGGCACCAAGCAAGTTGCATGTTCTCATCCCGAGCACGTCGATCATGGTGCTGAGACAATGGGTGAGTGCTACTAGCGTTTCCTAGAATATACGGGTCAAAATTGGAGGAGTATGGTGTTTGGCAATCGTCGTTGAATAGTCTCTTCCTCAAAGTGAGACGGTAGACAAGCTTGTGCTTGAATGCACACGAAATGTAGCCTCTGGAATATGGTGATTGGCGAAATATAATTGAGGCAAGGCTTCTTGACATGTTGTTTGAGTGATTTCTTTCGAATACGTACCGATGGAGTCGGAAACAAAAAGGGCAATGCTGATGTTGATGGCTATCCTATAGTGAGTTGCATTGGGGAGTTTTGGAAACATTGATCAAAGTACAATGTCATTACAAAGAAGTAGATTGGAAAATTAAGAGGAATGATATAACATTAGACTAAGACGACTACAGTTTACTCGCAATGTTGTCTTTCTCGGGAAATTTATTCACAACATGAGCAATCGCATATTCATATCCAGCCGCACCGCAACCGACCTATTTGATTAATTAGCCACGTCTACGCTTCGCATGAAGGCAAGACAATAACTCACAATGATCGCTTTTGCCTTGTCCGAAAAATAGGAATGATGCCGCCACTCCTCCCTTGCATGAATGTTCGCGACATGCAACTCGATGAACGGCACAGACACACCCAAAAGAGCATCCCGGATAGCAACAGAGGTGTGTGTGAAGCCGCCGGGATTGATCACGATGCCGTCTGTCCCATCGGTCCTAGCCTCTTGGATCTTGTCGACTATTGCCCCTTCCCAGTTACTGTGAAGGCTTCGGTTAGTAATTCTTCTTTTTCTTTGAATCATGGTGTCTTGTTTTAGAAGTACCATGGAGAAGGAGTTTACCTTTGGAAGAAGCTGACATTGGCATTTAGCTGCTCGCCCTGCTTCTGACCTGCGTTCTCGACATCACTGAGGGTTTCGTGACCGTAGAGATGAGGTTCACGGGTACCGAGCAGATTCAGGTTTGGGCCGTTGATGACCAGTACTGTCTTCTTGCCGTCGCGCATCGTGATGGGTGATTTGTGATTGAGTATATGCAGGCCAAAAGAATGACAACCTTGTAAAGGACCAAGCACACTCGTGTGTAATATTGGAAAGCAATGGATGAATGAGCTTTCTGGCTGTGAGCCTTGGCCTAATTATACTTACAGTAGAAAGACAATACTTCGTAGTTCGTGGAGACTGCCAAACTCTGGGGAGAAGTTGGGGTGCATCCATCCCGTCGCCATCACTCCGGAAATCTAGTCCGATGGGTTGACCCCGCAAAGCGCCATTGGGGGCGACCACCCCCACCCCCAACCTCCAACCCCCAGCCTGACGTGCCGATCCCCGGGCTGCATCGAAGTCAAAAGCTGGAGAAAAGAGAAAGTATAGATGATTAATAAGTCCAAGAGATCTCCAAGAATCAAGACAATCCTCTTCAAACTCACTCGTCGTTCATTCGTTTACGGGATCTACTTCATCTCTATCTGCATTCATAGCTACGTTACAATCCCAACATGTCGACGCCCAAGACCCACCACGTCGGAATCGTCATGAATGGCGTTACCGGGCGCATGGGTACGAACCAGCACTTGATCCGTTCCATCTGCGCCATAAGAAAGCAAGGAGGCGTCAAGACCGCAAAGGGCGATATCATCATCCCCAATCCAATTCTCGTCGGGCGCAACGCCAACAAGTTGGAAGAGCTGGCCAAAGCACAAGGCATTGAGAATTGGACCACGGATCTGGATGCCGCATTGGATGATCCAGCCAACACCATCTACTTTGATGCCCAAACAACGGGCCGACGGTGCGATGCTGTCAAGAAGGCCATCAAGAAAGGCATGCATGTGTATTGTGAGAAGCCAACCGCTGTCAATTCAGCCGCCGCTCTGGACTTGTACAACACTGCCAAAGCCGCCGGTGTGAAAAATGGAGTCGTCCAAGACAAACTCTGGCTTCCCGGTCTTGTCAGGTTGCAGTCGTTGATAGACACCGGATTCTTTGGAGAGATCCTTTCGGTGCGCGGCGAGTTCGGGTACTGGGTATTTGACGGCAAGGGCCCGGTTGTCCCGCAACGCCCAAGCTGGAACTACAAGAAAGAGGAGGATGGTGGCATCATCTCCGACATGCTCTGCCATTGGCAATACGTCATTCAGAACTTGTTTGGGGATATCAAGTCGCTTACCTGTCTCGGAGCTACGCATGTCAAGGAGCGGGTTGATGAGAATGGAAACGTCTACAAGTGCACGGCCGACGATTCTGCATATGCTACTTTTGAATTGACGAACGGGGTGGTCGTGCACTTCAATTCGTCGTGGACGACTCGTGTTCACCGTGATGAATTGTTGACGATTCAAGTCGATGGAACCAAGGGCAGTGCCGTTGCTGGCTTGAGGTAAGTCGTTCCGTATCCTAAGCTCCAAAAGTCGTTGTTCGGATTCAACTTCCTTATCGGTCTAATTTTCAGGACTAACCAATATCATAGAGATTGCACTACACAACACGAAAGTCAAACACCCAGGCCGACATGGAATCCCGATATCGAATCTCCGATCAAGTTCCTTGATGGCTGGTCCAAGACCCCAGACTGGCAGATTTTCGACAACGCTTTCAAGGTTCAATGGGAGCTTTTCCTCAAGCATGTCGTTGCAGACGAGCCTTTCGTGTGGACCCTTCTTGAGGGCGCGAAAGGTGTTCAGTTGACCGAGCTTGCTGAACAGAGTTGGCAAAAGAGAGCTTGGGTAGATGTTAAGCCTTTAGTATAGATGTAATTATAGAATTATTGTTGATCTATTGAACTTTTCCCTCAGTCAATGATGTGTATGCAAGTGTGGGTACTGCTTGAGTTGTCAAAGAATTCGTGCCGTGTAAGTCTTCAAGAACTCTATGGACAAATGCTATCTAGTCTTGGATGAAAGATTTCAATTGTCGAAGATCTCTGATACTTCTCCTTAATAGATATTGAACGAAGTAGCTATGGTTCCTAATTCCGCTCGTCATCTCTGCTTGTCTCCAACTATGATCAAAGACAATGTGGATGATGCCTGAACAATTGATTCAATTCCTCGGCCTGCACGGCGACTTTCATGTTGTCAATTGGCGCGTTCTTAGAATTTCCAAAGCGCGGAAGTGTTACTTTCATGTTGTAATTCATTGAAATGCTCGATCTATATGATGATGAAGATACGAAATTACAAATCTTAGCTCGCCATCTGCCCACCATCTACAACAAGGATTTCTCCAGTAATATACTGACTCGCATCGCTACATAAGAAAAGAGCAGGTCCCGCAAAATCAGCTGGTGCACCCCATCGCCTCGAAGGGCAACGCGCAACACGCGCCGCATACTGTACAGGATCTGACCTCAGATCCGTATTGCTGTAGTTTAGAGTCAGGAAAAGGTTTCATTGCAGACGGGCGGGGGAACTTACATGTCTGTCGCAATTGAGCCCGGTGCAAGGGCATTCACTTGGATATTGTACTTTGCCCATTCGTTGCTCAATGCCTTTGTGACCTGCGAGACGGCGCCTTTGGAGGCAGCGTAGGATGCGACGCGATCACCACCGATGAAGGAGTTCAGAGACGCGACGTTCAAGATCTTGCCTTGTCTCCGTGGAATCATGTGGCGACCAGCTGCTTGGCAAATGAAGAACAAAGCCTTCAAGTTAATGTCGAGAATCTTGACTTGTTAGTAACAGTTGAGACGCGAACGCTGGAGCCAACATACGTTATCCCAATCCTCTTCCGTAATGTCCACAGAATCTTTCCTTTGCAGTAAACCGCCACAATTTACCACGACATCGATGCGATTATCCATGACTTCAAGAGCCTGTGGAAATATTGCCTTCACTTGCTCCATATCCCTCAAATTACATTTCAGGATTGTAGCCTTCCGACCCAATTTCCTCACGGCATCTGCTGTCGCAGTATTTGTCGTGTCGGACTGGGCGAGGCAGATGGACGCACCAGCCTGTGCGAGCGCAATGGCCATAGCTGCACCAATTCCCCGCGAGCCGCCAGTGATGAAGACATTCTTATTGGCAAGGGAAAAGAGTTGGAGAGACGAAACAATGGGAGTTGCTATTGACTCTAGCGGTGCGTCTCCATTCAATGCCATAGAACCCATTGTGAATGAATGTTTGTCCCAGAACGACTGTAAAAGGGTATTGCAAATGTAGAAAGATTGGAAAGATAATCAAAGATACCGATGGGAAAAGAGGTCCTTCGGCCTCGAAGACTTGGCTTCCACGCTTTTATTAGAGCGGACAGCTTACAGAGGACAACATTGGGGGTTCGCGCATCCCGTTTTGCATTTCCCCAGCCAAGCTAGGCTTTAATGTGCAACTAATTCCTGGGGAATTGTGCTGTGCGGATTCGTACCTCGTACATCTGCTGCCCCCAACGTGGCGCATTTGGGGGTTCCCTCCCCACTTCGATTTGCGGGGTCTGGGGAAAACGGACTAGGGGTTAGTCCCAAAGTGAAAGGCTCATGAGAGCTTGGTCATGGTGACCTCTCACACAGAAGAACGAATCTCTGTGGAAATGATATATAGTCTTCTTTGTGTCCTGGAGCCGGGATAGATTCTCGATATCAACTCTCTAATCTCCAACTATTATTTACTTTTCATGCAACACGACCAAGGCGTTGATGCAAACATGGGATCTTATACCGAAGATGCCAAAGTCCCGGTTCAGGGCATTCACCAAGCAGACGCCTCCCACACAAAGATGGGGGTGGGTGAATACCTGGCCACTCGCTTCAGCAGCTTGAAACCACCAATGACCCCGGTGGGCAACCCTTTCAAACAGCTGAGGCTGCTGAATGGGGAGCAATGGAACTTTTTCGCTGTACGTTATCTATTCGCAGACTTCATAACTGGACACAGCTAATGCCATCTTAGGTCGCTTGGTGTGGTTGGGTATGGGATGCCTTCGACTTCTTCACAGTCAGCATGACCATCACTCAGCTTGCAAAAGACTTTGGCAAAAAGAACTCCGACATCACCTGGGGTATCACTTTGGTCTTGATGCTTCGGTCTATAGGATCGTTCATCTTTGGCCTGTGGTCTGATCGCTCTGGCCGAAAGTGGCCGTTCATCTTCAACAACATCCTCTTCATCGTGCTAGAACTCGCTACTGGTTTCTGCAAGACCTATGAGCAATTTCTTGCCTGCCGTGCTCTCTTTGGCATCGCCATGGGTGGTCTTTACGGTAATGCCGTGTCCACTGCTCTAGAAGACAGCCCTCCAGAAGCACGAGGCATTCTTTCGGGTCTCTTCCAGGCTGGTTATCCTGCGGGATATCTCCTCGCGACGGCATTCTCGCGAGCGCTGGTCGATACGACTCCTCACGGCTGGCGACCACTCTTCTGGTTCGGTGCCTGCCCGCCCGTGTTGATCATCATATGGCGAATGATGATGCCAGAGAATAGGAGTTGGAGAGAGCGAGAATCAGCCTCTGCCACACGAACGACGGCGTCCAGTTTCCTTCGGGAAGCGAGGACTGCAGTGACCACTTATTGGAAAACAATCATCTACATGGTGGTTCTGATGGCTGGATTCAACTTTATGGTGAGTTTCTGGTCCTTACACATTGCAAACGAAGCTAACAAAATCTTTCAGGCCCACGGGTCCCAGGACTTTTACCCAACGATGCTCATCAATCAATACCAATTCACGCCCAATAGACTCACCGTCGTCCAAATCATGGCCAATCTAGGAGCCATGTCGGGAGCCGTGACGGTTGGACATCTGTCTGAAGTCTTCGGAAGACGCTTGACAATCATGGTCTCCTGTTTTCTCGGAGGGGTACTCCTATACCCCTATACATTCGTGTCATCGAACGCCGTCATCGCGTCTGCCTTCTTTCTCCAATTTTTTATGCAAGGAGCTTTCGGCGTTGTCCCTACCTATCTCATTGAGTTGTCCCCCGACGCGCTGAGAGCTTTCATCGTCGGTACTGCCTATCAATTGGGCAACCTCGCTTCCAGTCCTGCAGCAACGATTCAGGCTACTATCGGAGAGAAGTATTATCCTCTGTCTCCGACAGCCAAGGGAGTCAAAAGATACGACTATGCCATCGTTATCTGTGCCTTCTTAGGTGCCTGTTTCGCTTTAGTAATCATCCTAGCGTTCTTGGGTCCTGAGAAGAAAGGGCGTGAGCTCCGTGGAGTGGCAGGTGATGATTTGGGGGATATGCCAGAGAAGGAATTGTCAAGCTCTCATCAAGAGAAAGTGTAATCGTAGTGAAAGCTTCAACCAGCCGGTATTTGCAATGGCAATAGGGGATGCGGTATCGGATTAGTAGATTTCGGTTGATCATCTAAATTGTAATTGCGGTATAATTCCGCCGAAGGGATAGGATCTAGGAGCTTCGGATCTACAAATATCTCTCGGGATAAGGCAGTTTAGGGTGTCTCTTGACGAGATCTGAAAGAATTGGCCGATTAATTGTTGTGATTAAAAAGCTCTACTAGTTTCTTCTCGTGTAATAATCAAAGCCAACGTTCCATAATGGTCCGCAATTACGATCCCGTGTGTACATATTTTGCAAACTCTAGATATTGCCCGAGAATTAGAAGCAGCCGTGTTTTACCCCAGGGTTTTCTGGAGAAGACGTCATAGCGGCATGCATGTGTTCTTGCGGGGCCCCGGAATTGGGCACAAAGAATTGTGCGGAGGATGTCTGGATCTGGAATATAAAATCTCCCCCTCCCTCCACACTTTTGGGATACATCCAATTCACCATTGATCAACCAATATCCTAAAAAGATGAAGTCGATTCTCAATTGGTCCTGGGTAGCTCTTCTACCTGCGGCAGTGCTCGCAAAGCAATGGAATAATACAGGCAAAGGCTCTATCGTTTTTGAGGAATGTTTCAGTTTGCCCTATCCTGAGCTTGATAAGACGGTGTGAGTTTTGAGGGTACGAATATTCTACAAAGTACTGATTTCGCTCCAGGGCCGCGCCTATACTTGGTCAGCATCATTTTACAGTTACGGCCTTACCAAGTACTAATTGATGCAGGCTATACTTATCAAGATTTGCTGAATAACCTCGAAGACATTCACGGCCAGCGCATACGTTACATGGACGAGGCTGGTGTGGATTACATGATCCTTTCTCTGGCTTCTCCAGGAATCCAGGGCATCTCGGATCCCGCGGTAGCCGAAGAACTGGCTACAAGAGCTAATAATGATATCGCCGATGCAATCGCAAACAACACTCTTCGCTTTGGAGCCTTTGCCGCGCTGTCTATGCATAACGCCAGTCAGGCGGCATGCGAACTTCGTCGAGCCGTTCAGGACTTGGGCTTCCATGGCGCGCTTCTCAATGACTACCAGCAGTCTGGTCCCGACAATGGTCAGTCATACATCAAATACGTATTACGTTTGCAAAGGCTGATATGAAGTCCAGCTACTCTGCTTTACTATGATAGTCCAGCCTATGATGATTTCTGGAAGACTGTCGTAGATTTAGATGTCCCGGTCTATCTACACCCCAGATCACCCATTTCGCAACAAAACAAGCTCGATTTCGCGCACGCACCATGGGTGATTGGCGCACCTCACCAATTTGCAGTGCAGTTGTCTACTCATATTGTTGGTCTCTGTACCAATGGAGTGTTCGAGTACGTCTCCATTAAGATCAGACCCCTAGAGACTATCCTAACCTTTGACCAGCCGTTTTCCATCCTTGAAATTGATCGTTGGGCACTTGGGAGAACGCCTTCCAAGTGATTTCTGGCGAATTGACGAAAGTAAGATCCTTTAATCGTTCACCAATTCGTTTCTTCACAGCCCGTGTCGCTAACACGCAGGATTGACAGTGCTCGCCCGCAAGAAACCAGCCGGTATGCCAATGAAGAGAGACTTTTCATCGTACTGGCAAACGAACATCTACGAAACCGCGACTGGTAATTTCTGGACTGAGCTTCTTGACTTTCACCGTACTCTTCTGCCAGAGGATCACATCTTGTACTCGGTGGACTATCCGTTTAACTTGCTAGAAGAAGGGGCATCGTGGGTCAAGACTCTGCCCTATGACGAGAAGACTGTGCTGGACTTTATTCGCAATCATGCCATTAAACTCTTCAAACTTGATGAGTAGATAGTGTCGCTGGAGATTTGTACTTTGAACTAGTTCTTGAACTCAATTCTCGAATGAAATTCTTAAAACTCTACAAATTCTTGTCTCTTTTACGTCCACACTCCTACCGTCAATGCTTGGTAAACAGTGATTTATGCATTTATGCAACTGGTAGAGCTGTGAAAATCATATAGGAGGTCTTCGGGAGTCGGCCATGCTTGTCTGTGATTGGCGCTTCAAACAATTGCGACCTCGGACAAGTTGCCGTGGCGCGTGACTTTTCACCCCCAAACCGCCTAGATGACTACTGGCGCCCCCAACCTCTATTTAGGTACCCCCAACCCCCGATTCCGACTCTGAGGAACTTGGGGGATGGCGATTGTTCTGCATTCAACCCCCATCGCCACGTCCGGACACCTACAACTCACCAAGATCAATGCCCCCAAGGACTGGTCTCTAGCGTCTGCCCTGGAGCATGGCCAGTCCGGGGAATTCCTCTTCGACGGTGGGACGTCGCAAGAGACCTCAAAGGGCGCGCCCAACGGGCAGGAAATATGCATGCACCTACGATGGTTGTGGGAGGTTCTATTCACGTGCAGAACACTTGCAGAGACACCAACTCAACCGTAAGCCTCCGCGCGTTAGATATGATAATCTTTGCTTCCCGAGAATATCCCAGATTCTGTTCACCATATTCACGGCTGGCTATTAACACCCTCGTACAGATGCTCCCAAAGAATTGTTCGTTTGCCCAGTCGAAGGTTGCGCGTTGTCGTTCGTTCGTAGAGACTTGTATCTTCGGCATAAAGCCCGGCATGAGCAGCACTCCCAGGGCTCTGGATCTGAGGATCCTGATTTAACAATGTCCAACCCATGTGGGCAGACTGCAGAACCCCCAACCGATAGAGTCTATACACGTACAGGCCTGGACGCCCTCGAGCTGGCCTCCGTAAATGATGCCCGGCAGCAGGAGGCTGCATTACAATCGAGAGAACATGTTCAGTCAGCGGATCACCTTATCCACCCTGGCCAATTCCAACAAGGTTCCCAAAGACCCTATGTACCTCAAGAGACTCTTGGATTCCCTACGAACAATTCGCTCCATGGAGACTTGCCTGCCATTGTCGTGAACGATGGTCCGACGAGTGCTTCACCTTCCAGCGTGGATGAGTTTGCAGCATGGCTGTTCGAAGGCCATACAGCTGTACAGGGACAACCGAACTTCTTGGATATGGGTATGAACGCTGGGTACTATCCAGATGACATGCAGAGCTTCCAAATCAACTATCCCAACAATCTGCCTGATTTGATAGACGACGATTCCCAAATCTCCAATCCTCAGCAGCCAGCCCCGACGAGAGAACGAGCGGACAACAGTCTCCCTACTGGTCTGGCCATATCACCCGAAAAATGGAAACAGTTGATCAATATCGTTACTTCGAAATTGCTAGATACCTCGGACGACGCCATCAGAGCACCCCAGCATAATGTCGAAGACGATACAGACCCGCTGAGTCCCTCATCGATGCAAAGTTACCTCGAAAGCTTCTGGCAGTTCTTCAATGAGACCCTGCCCATACTCCACCGACCCACCTTTTCGCCGGAGAATGCTCATATCTATCTTTTAATGGCCGTGTTGATCATAGGCTCGTCCATGCTTACAAGACAGCCGGGCTGTTCGCATCAAGGCATGCAGAGTACTAACCTCATGGCTTGGAACTTGCGAGGGCATGTCCTCCTTCACGTGGACGCCAGCCCACCTGGCCGGCTTTGGGTTTTTCAAACGCTTCTGCTACTAGAAGTGTACGACAAGCTGCTCGCATCATCTGCCCTGCATGAGCGCGCTCTCGTCTATTTCCCCACCACGCTGAACCTGATGCGCCAGAGCAGCACGTTATTTGGTAGACAAGTACCAAAGGCACCGACGACGACTCATCCCGCGGAGAACGGGAGCAGAAACGGAACGACACAACCAGAGCTGAGCGTGGGATTCTTCGCTCCCAAGCGAGCATCTCCTTCGCCACCGGAGTCGTGGTGGGAGCACTGGATACTGCAGGAGTCGATTCGACGCGCCGCATTCGCCGCCTTCGTCCTCGACGTAACTCATTCCGTGATGTTCGGACACAGCCAGACGCTGGTGTTCCACGAAATTCATCTCTATCTCCCAAGCGATCGTCTCTTGTGGTCGTCTCACTCGCCTAGCGAAATCGCTGCAGTCGAGTCTAGCCTGTACGCAAGCGGTGTCGAGCAACTGTCCTTTCTCGATGGGCTGAGAAAGATGATCAATCGCAAGCCGTGCCGGACCAATCCATTCGGATGGCAGGTGCTTCTTGCCGGACTGTTGTCCATCATCGGCCACATGCAACAGCGAGACATCCTCACGTCCAGCCTGAAAGACGACCTCTCCCCCTCCTCCTCCGACAAGTGGCAGCCTAGATTGATCAACTCTCTATTGTGGTGGAAACAAGAGTACGAAAGCACTCTTCGACACCTTCGAGGAGCCGTTCTGGACTGGCAGAAATCCACGCTCACCGATGAGAATAGAAAGGGTCTGGGCAACGATCTCGCGATGAATCATATCCTCTACCACCTAGGCCATATCCACATTTACGTCACAATGTCGGACTTGGCTGTTGTTGCTGGGGCAAGCAAGATTCTTGGTCGTCCCGTGTCACCATTCGAGAAGAGAATGGTCAAGGAGAAAACGGCACGCTGGGCTGGTTCGTTAGGGGCGATCCACGCCGTGTATCACGCCTTTGAACTCGTACACCTCGTACTACATCCCACGGGGGCAGGGAACCGGGCGAGAAATCCCAAAAATCAATTTCAAAGTTCCCAAAATGAGACGCTCTATACAGCGTCTCACGAAAAACTACCGAACCGCAGCTGGGGCCTCTACTATGCAACCCTCGTAATCTGGGCCTACGGCTTCCATCAAGACGGCCATCTAGATCCCTTCCCTCACCATTTACAATACCCCCACATGACGAATTCGAGCGGTCAAACCTCCGCTCAAAGTAGGGATACCGCAGAGACATCCTCTCAAGCATCCACCTCACCAAATGTACCAGATCAATCACAGACCTTGGCATCTGGTATTCCCCACCTGGACGCTCGCTATGGAGACACCCAGGAATTCCTCGACTACATGTTCCCATCCTCAATCCAGTCGGTCGGAGACTTTGACAGGCATATGAAGAATCTCAACGGTGGTCGAAACCGGCTTGTCGGCCTCCTCAGCGTCGTTGATCAGGCACTCGCAGGGTCAAGCTGGGAATTACTTGACGAGGCGAAACAGAGATTGGCGAATGCCGCATTTCTTCTAAGTCAGTCCAGTGTAGGTTGAAAGGGGATTGTAATTAAGGGTTTATCATTACCCAAGTAGCTGCTCTTGGGTCAAGATAACTTCACAACGCTGAAGAGACAGATGACTCATTCGATAAAAAGATAAAACAAAGTGAAACGGGAAAATACGAGAAACGATCATCATTCAATAAAAATACTCTTGATCTAGCTACTTGAATAACTTCTGGACTTTTGCAGTCCTCTCACCAGTACGGGAAATCAAACGCGAGGCTGTACGCTTTAACTGTGCGGTAGGCCTTACTTCTTTTGATATCTTTTTCTGTCGCTCCAACTGATCCATAGTGAGCAATTTGTGAGCGGGAACAAGGTCCTCGAAGTTTACGTTACTGGCGGTCTTTGTTTTTGATGTATTCGAGGTTGCCATGGTTATCGTTTGCAAGATGTTCCTGTACTGAAAGAACTGTATAATAATTCCATCTCCTGGCCCTGAATCCTATCTGAATTTATATCGTCTCGATCCTACATCTTCTGCATTTCAATCGCATTGTACATTAACAATGAATGAATTACAGACATGGACGACATTGAAGAATGCAATCCCTACGAAACCAACTCGACTTCGTATATGCACCAGATCCAACCTGCTGGATCGTATTATCAAATTTCAATGTGTAATGTCACTCGACGTGACCTGATCGCCTGTTGGAATGAAGTTGGTATCAGTTATTGCCTCACGCTAGGTTTCCGTAGACCTAGTATTTTCTGCTCCATCGCTCTCTGTGGATTCTCTATGGTAATCCAACATCTGATTATTGCTAGCGCCGAGATCGGCTTAGACGCATGGACCTGTCAATGTACGGTCAGTTCGTATTCATTGTCCTAACGTCCATGCAGGGCGCACGGGCTATGTCATAATATCCACTGATCACCAGGATGTTTTCCAAGAAAAGTCCTTGATAGCTACGCATGATAGCTCATGCCCTGGTTATCTGCATTTCGATCTAATCAGATTCTGATTTGCCCCTGTCCATCTCCAGAAAGTCTCCGTCGAGCACCACAAATTCACGCGAAGAAACTTCGCGATACGAGCCGCCTGTGGAACCTCATCATGGCCGAAAGAGGAAATGTGAAAAGTATATAAGGCGGTATGAATTCAAGCAAATGTCAAATCCTCATCACAACAATCAGTCAAATCATCAAGCCAACACTCTTCTCAAACCAACTCTTTCCTCACCACCCACCATTCAAAATGCAGTTCAAGTTCCTCCTCGTCACCCTCATGGCCGGCCTCGCCGCTGCCTGCGTCTCTGACTCCGACTGCCCCACCGGTACTCACTGCGAGACCTTCTGCGACGGCCAGAACTGCATCCGCGAGTGCGGAAACTAAACAACGAAACCGCAAACCAATCTGACATCGCCAACGTCAACGCCAAACGTTTGGGCTCGGGAAGACTACATATCTCGGTACACATCTCGGCATGGAAACGAATTCTCAGGAATCAACGTACACGATATCGCGCGGTTAGGATGGACGAATGAAAATCAAATCTTTGTGGCTATAAACTGTGCTCTGATATGACAGTCTTGATGTATTGTGATAAATCGTCCAGCGTGCCCATTACCATGACAAACTTAGACTGTCATGGTAATAAACTCCAATAGACAATGTCCTTTCGATGAATACTCGTGCAAGAAAACAAAGAGAAAACAAACCTAACTACACAATTCCTTTCATCCCCCAAAGCATCCGTAATTAGGCATTCACCTCTCCGCTGAAACAATGCCAGAAGCGCCACACGACTAGGTTCCGGTACTTAAAGACTCAACAGCCAACCATGCTCCTGAAACATCAACCTACCGTTTCATCACCTTCGTCAAGATATTCACAATGCTTCCCACCACTAACAACCCAACCGCACCGCAGCACATCCACTTCGCCCCTATGCCTGCGTCTGACCATCATGTCACGAGGCCGAGTTCACGCATGCCGTCGGTGCGAAACGAGGCGGTCCGGGTCTATGGAAAACGTCGACTATTACCCTGGGCAAGCCACAGTCGGCCGCTGCAGAATCACACAGAGGAACACCACTTTCACGCGTTGAAGAAGATGGTGGAGAGAGTCACATGGAGGGTGACCTCAAGAAGAGGGAGGCTGAGCAGATCCAAAGCATGAAGACTGGATGAATTATCTATTTGAGTCCACGACCGGGGTATAGTGCTAGTATGAGCCAGAATCAAAGTCTAAATAAGGGGCGGACTCGCCCGTTCTGCTGTGTGATCAGATTTCAAAGTGACATGATGCGGTTGAGATGGCTATCGAGAACAGCCTCGCTGAACTCTTCCTCCACGGGCGATAGATCGATGAAGCTGAGATCTTCCAAGTCTTCGTAGATGTACATGGGATTGGATGACATGGGCGCCCATTTGAGGCTCGTGGAAATGGGTGCAAGGAGAATCGGACCTGGTGTGCGCTTCCTCGGGGGTCTCGGTTCTTCTGATTCTGTATGTGCAGACTTTTCGGCTGTTCCTTCGGTCGGTTCGATGGAATCGGGCTCTGAAGGCTCCCCGAGATACAACGCCATGGCGAGCATCTCGTCTGCCAGATCCTGAGCCTTCCTCGACTGCTTCTGTGCTTGTGAAGCTTGACGATCAAGATTCATCACCGACAAGATCTTCAGACTCTCGTCCATTCTTTTATTATGTTCCCTACGACGCAGCCATTGGTTTTCTTCTTGAAGGGCCTGTACGAGAGGGACGAAGGCTGTTGAGGCTTGCGCTCGCGTGATTGGAACGTCGTGATCTGCCACGGATCCAGCAGATGGATCGGCACGCTCCACGGGCTCCAGATGTTCCATGGCGACAAGCCTGTCCTCTAGACGTTCGATGGTAGCGCGTTGCTGCTTGGCGGCGACTTCGAGGCGGTCCCTATCTTCGCGCGCAGCATTGAGTTCGACTTGGAGTAGATTAAAGTCTGCGACCTTTGATGTCGCCTCCCGATGCTTGGCCTTTAGATGTTCAATCTCCAACTCCTTCGTCTCAATCTCCTGCTCACGCTCGCGGAATTGCAGCAACGTCGACTGATGTTCGTCGGTGAGGTCTCGGAACTTCCGCTCCGTCTCCACGGTGCGCTCCTTGGCAAGCTTGATATTCTCGGCCTTGACGATCCATGGCGCGGGGGCGATCTCGATCTCGACATTGTTCATCAACACGGAGGCGTGCTCGGTCCACGACTTCAACATGGACTGGATGCTGTCGAGGCGCAGGATTTCGTCTTCGGGGAAGTGCTTGCTCTTTAGGGTCCGTAGCAGCGAGCGGAGTTCGCTCCCCAGGGACTCTTCCAATTCCTCCTCGGGTGTGATGCCCTGGATCAAGTCCCTGGCGAATGCTAGAGACGACTGGGCGGTGCGCTTCAGGAACTCTTCTTGCTCAATCACCTCGTCCGATCCCTCGGAGAACTTGGGATAGAGCCCGTCGTTGCGGCGGTTCTCCAACGTTCGGGCTGTCTTGAGGGCCGCGAAGAATCCTTCCGAGGAGATCTTCGCAGTGTGGCTCATGGTGACGAGGAAGTCGTCCACGCCGTCATTCTGTTCATCGTCCGCACTTTGCATCTTCTTGACGAGTACGACGATGGCCTCAAAAGAGTTCTTGATGAGATCGAAGTGAGCGCGCATGCTCGAGACGCGGTAGATCAACTCGTTATCCGGCCGGGTCTCGAGCGTCTCCTGGTAGTCCAGCGAGATGCCGGTCAGGATGTGGTTAGAACGGCGGATGGAGTCGGAGATTTCGTCATACTTGGCTTCGTCCTTGCTGAACAGATCCAGGAAGCGATCTATGATCTTCTCGATCGTGTCCAGCTCGCGGTGTGCGGGCCCGAATGCCATGAACTGTTCCAACGTGGCAGATTTGATGGCTGCCCAGAATTGTTCTGCCTTGAACTCGAGGACGTCGAGCTGGTGCATCGTGAGGACCCGCTGCAGGTTCGTGATGGGGTCGTTGCGGGCGACGGTGTCGAAGTACTTGACGTCGTAGTCTTTCATGAACTTGGAAAGCATGCGCGCTTTGTACGCGATACGTTTCGCTCGGAAGTAGGCGCCTAGTGAATCATTCTGGTACGTGTCCTGGCTGTCGACGAGGTAGTGTCGAACAATGGCGAGCTCCTCGCTGGCTTCCTCGGCTTCCAATTGCTTGAGATTCGATTTAATGTCCTTGCCGATGGATTCGAGATTGGCCGTGCGCAGCTGTCTGTTCATCTCCATGATCTCGTCGAATCGGTTCGTGACGTCCTTGGCCTGCTCGTCGCTCATCATCTTGGAAGACTCGACGTTGGACATCTTCGACTGCAGATCCACGACGAGGTCTCGGAATTTGGTGATCAGGACTTCTTGGTCCGCGATGCTTGCATCCTGCTGGATGATCTTTTGAGCTTGTTCGGCCAGCTCGGTGTCCTTTGTCTCGACCTCGGCGCGCAGCTCTTGGGCTTGCTCTAAATGGTGAGCCTCCAACTCGTCGTTGAGCTCCTTCAGGCTCTCCAGATCCTCGATAACCATATCCTTGTCCGCGAGTTGCTGCTTAAAGTCGTGGTTCTGGGCCGAGAGTTCTTCGATCATTTCCTCGCATTCGTTGGCGGCATCGAGCTGCTGGCGTAGATTCTCGATGATGGAGTCCTTCTGGGCGAGGTCTTCCTTGAACTCGTCTCGCTCGGTGAGGATCTGCTCGGCCTGGGACTGGTCGTCTTCCAGTTCCTTGATCCGTGCCCTCAACTCTATTTCGGTGCCCTCGGTCAGATCTTTCAACATGAGCAGAGCATCGCGTAGTCGGTCGCGCTCGTTCTGGAGATGATAGTAGCCAGCAGCCTCCTTCGCCTCGTCCGACATGTTCTCGGTCAACAATTCCCGCTCCGAGTTGAGAATCTCAATCTCCAGCTCTTGCTCTTCTAAGCGTTTTCTCAAACTTTCCAGGTCGGCCTCTGCCTGCTCGGCACGCTCTTCTGCCATCTCCCGATCCAGTGTCGCCAGCTCCAATATTGATTCCGCCTCGGCCTCGCTGTTCTGAAGGCGGTCCAGTTCACTTGCCGTCTCCTTGGCCTTTGCCTTCAGCTCGGTGTTCTCCTGGTGAAAGGTTTGACATTTTCCTTGTAGCTTTTGAATGATCGTCTCGAATTTATCCTTCTCCGCCTTGGTTTGGTCTAATAGCTTCAATTTCTCCCTGTCTTCTGCACGCTGTTTCTCTAAATGCTTAATCTTTGTTTCTAGATTGTCCACGGCGGGGTCTCGCGAGGTCTTGCTCGATGGGGATGCAGTCGACGAGGTAGAGACGGTCCTTGCTCCGCCAATTGAGGGTCGAGACAATCGGTTAGCTGCCGACGCGGTGGAAACGGACGATATACTGGACTTGCGAGCCAATGGTCGGGTGGACGAAGTCGCAGGGGGCGAGGTGACGGATAGGCGATTTGACGGGGGGCCCATTGAAGTTCGCGAGGACAGCTTGGGTGTTGCGGCACCTATACTCGAAGTGCGAGAAGCTTTCGTTGTGGCCGTCCTACTGGCGGGTGTGGCCGTCTTCGAAGCTATCACCGACGACGGTCTGGACGTCGGTCTGGGAGCAGGAGATGCGGCGGTTCTGGAAGGAGGTTTCGGCGGTGCGGGAGACGCAGCGGTCCGGGGAGGAGGCTTGATAGGTGACGACGGAGCTCGCGATGGTGGCTTTATAGGTGACGATGGAGTTCTAGAGGGTGGCCTAGGCATTGGTTTAGGAGCAGGCTGTGAGATGATTCTGTCAATACCAGCGGGTCGAACAAACAATCCATGTCCTGGTGGACATTGGAAATATCTTTCCCCCTTGACAGATCCATCGTTCTTTCCAGTAGCTGTAGGAAGCTCGATTCCCAAGAAATGTCCTTCCGCTACATGTATCTCCCCAGAATACCGAATGATAGCCCTACGGCCATCGGTTGTCTCTACCGTCTGTCCAACTTTGTATTCCGCCATTGGAGTGTGATGGCGGTGCTTTTCGAAACGATCGCTCGAGGGGGTTCACTCAGTGACAGCGATTGCGAGCTATGCAGATGCCGTGATATTGCTAAGCACCCGTAGCACTGAACGGTGCCGCGAGTCCTCGATAGAGCTATACCTAGCTATAGGTAAATCCACAGGTATGGCAGGAGAAATAGCGGGGGTCAAGCTCCAACAAAAACAAAAGGAAACTTGGGTATATTGCGAAGAAATGCACACATAACAAGAAGCAGCAAGCTACTCGCAGAACGATGACCCCTCGTGACTGTTCGCATCGACAGCGTGGAAGGCGCCGAAGTCGTGGGATGCGTGTAAAGGGGAGGAAAACATTCGAGATGAGGTCGGAGTAGACGCGCAGTGTTGTCGCCTCGCCAAGCTCACGAGTGAACTCATGGTCCGAGCGTCAAATATCAAAGGCATCTCTTGAAATAATGCAAATTGTTACAAGAAATTATATGGTCAATTGATATCAGAGATTTTGAATAGTACGGTAGCATCTAATGATATTTCCAAATGCATCCACCTCAGGCTTTCCTCTTGCTCTAATCTACCAAGCGAGCTACTATAGAAAAAAATTACCGATTCGTAGTCCGTATATCGTGTGACGGAACAAATACTGATACATGTGTATTCGGTAGAGTTATAAAATAAGCTGCTACAGTCCTGACGCTCAAGAGCTCGTCAATTCGGCGATGCGCTCTTCGATGTCTGGTACAGCTCTGAGCTGCAGCTCGAGTTCTTCTCTCTCACTGTATTCAATCAGTACACATCGTGTCAAGGGATATGAAGCAACTTACTCTTCCAGTTCTAATCTTCTTTCGGCGTCTAGCTTGGTGAAGACAAATCCACCCTGTCCATCGAACTGCAGAATCTTGCTGTGATACTTCCAGAGCGACCTGCGATGGGATACAGTCATGAGCGTAATTCCCAGTCGCTTTGCCTCGTCGTACATGACGCGCTCGATCTCTAATGTCACACTCGATGTACACTCATCCAATATCGCATACTTTGGTGCGTGATAGAACAGCCTTGCCATTGCGACTCTCTGTTGGAGACCTCCCGAAAGTACGTCGGTCCATTCCTGCTCGGCATCCCAGCCGCCCGGACGATCGACGATGGATTCGATTTCGACGATTGATAGAATGTTGTACAAATCAGAGTCCGTGATACCCTTATCGCGCATCTCCCTCAATGAGTCGGGATAGATGATCTGTTGACGAAGTGAGCCCCGGGAGAGGTACGGTCTCTGGGGGATGTAGAAGATGTCCTCGAATGGAGGCTTTCGAACATTGCCACCGTAAACTGGCCAGAGTCCGCCTAGGATTCGAAAGAGACTCGACTTGCCGCATCCGTTAGGCCCGACAATGAGCAGGTGATCTCCCGGCTTGACCGTGAAGCTCAACTTTCGGACGAGCACGTCTCCGTTTGGAGATACAATGGGTACGTCGCGGAATTCGATGTCGGGGCCCTCGGTGACCTCGCCGCGACCGCGCAGCACGGCCGCATTTTCTTCTGTGTCGGCAGATGATACGAGCTTCTTCTCGAAGTGCCCTGCTTGAATGTCGTCAATCACATCTAGCAGGGTAGAGACGCGAGATGTATAACCCGCGAGTTCAGTAATCTCCTTGTATGAAAACATGACACGTCCAAAAGCGTCAGAAGACATGAGGAGCATTCGGCGGTTAGTCACGAAGCCTGGGATGGCCGTTAGCTTCGAATCATTGTCATCACAATCAAACTCACTTTCAGTCCTGTCTCCCATACTCTTGCCTTCGACGCCGGGGACTTTGAAGAACACCGGCACACTGCAGAGCAAGAGCCCCAATGCGCCCCAGAAGTACTTGATGACAAAGTCCTCCATGACTCCGTGGTAGAATCTCCGCCTCAGGATTCGATTAACGTGTTTGATGAGCGTGAAATAACCCTTGTCCAGTGTGTCCTTCTCTGCCTCGTGACCGTGATACAGCGCCACTTCCTCGCTGTAGTCGATCAACCTCGAATGCTGGAATCTGAATTCTCCCTCCAATCTCGCCTCGTCCGCGACGTATCTGCCAAAGGGCGGCGTCAGCGCCCTCATAACGTTCGCCGACAGCTGAACGAGCAGACTCATGAAGAACAGGCCCTCGCCTCCGACATTCCGCGACAATGAGTAGTTGTAGATGACCATGTCGAGCACCGGCTTCGCAATGTTGGAATACAGCTCGGCCAAGCTGTTCGAGAACTTGGCGACGTCGACCGTGATGAGCTGGTCCGCATTCTTGATCCGATCATCGAGCGCTGAGAGGGTGTAGAAGGTCATGTGGGAGAGATATCTGCTGTGGATGTAGTGCGTCAGGCGCGTCCGGTACTGCAGTGACAATTTGCACTGGTGGTACGACAGCTGCATCTCGTTAGCATACTTCCGTCTTCACCATTTTCAATCCCTACCATTGAGTTGGTGAACGTCGCCGGTACAGCGACCGCCATCCACCACACCAATCCCGTCAAGAAGTCCCGGCCCTTTCCCCTCACAAGATTGCTGACGAGCTTTCCATCCAGCTCGGCAACATACAAGCTGATCATCGTCCTCAGCACCAGGAAGATGCTGTGGCTGATCAACAGCCTAAACTCCTTGCTCCGCCATCCCGGTATGACGATCTTCAGCAGCCTCAGCAGGTTCTTGAAGAACTCGCGATTCAGCTCGACCTTCTTGCGCGACGTTGCCTCGCCCTCCGTCGAACCTGTCCCTACGTTCTTCGACCGCAGTTCGGCCTGTCGCTGCGAGGCGGCCTTCTGCTCGGCGATCGCGTTGCGGATGCGGTTGATGAGGGCGACGAAGAGCGTGAGATAGACGGCGCGCGAGATGCGCGTGCGGTGCTGGAGGTAGCGCGACGTGAGGTCGTTCAGTATGGCTTTCACGGACTGGCTGGAGGGGCGGAATGTCGAAGGCTTCGACAGCACGGCCATGGTTCACCGCGGGAGGGGCATTCGGGGTTGAGTAGTAGTTTCTGTGAGTCGATTGAGGATGGTATTTGTTAGGTCTGGGCGCAGCAGAGGATTATTTCAAAGTACAGCGATTCGGTCGTCTCATGGTGTTGACACAAGCTAGAGTCAGTAGTAGTAATGGTAGAGCTTCTTCATGTGAGTGACAAAGCGGCCTCGGCTCAAACCCCATGGGGCATTGAATTCGCTAGTCCTGATATGGAAGTTAGGTCAGAGCCTTTTTTGGCTTGTGACAATTACATCACATCTAGTTCGACAAAACAACCTCTGTCTTATATACGCGTACGACTATATGTAAATATGTATATTTATTTTATCCAAAGTCATTACTAACCGAACAAATGAACAATTAGAGTGGTTGACCTCAAAAATGGAAGAATCTTGTTCCTTACTTTTCCTAATCTAGTAGGGCTGTGGATACCACGGGCTTTTCCTAGAAAACTTTTCAAGAACTTGGAGGGCCTAAGTAGATACTTCCATCACCCATATTCAGTATTACACCTGCATTGATTAGATTGCGACAATTCTCTGCTACTAAAAACGTTTTTATTTCCGACTTCGCAAAAGCTCTCTGGTCCTCCGACGATGGCGTCGACAGAGCAGACATTCAGTTCCTACGATCGTAAACAAGGCAATGCGTACGCCAGCGCCCGTCGAGATTATCACCCTAATCTATATAAAACGGTTCTAGATTTTCACTCAGCAACCGGCGGGCAGAACAATGTTCTCGTTGACGTTGGAACCGGGCCTGGCAATGTTGCCCGCACATTGGCACAACACTTCTCCACAGTAGTTGGGCTTGATCCGTCTCAGGGAATGATTCAAACTGCTATTTCACTCGGAGGCGAAACTATGAATGCCATCCCAATCCGTTATGAGATCTCTACGGCCGAAGAGCTGGGTAGTAATCTCTCTTCTCCAATTGAATCGAATAGTGTGGACTTGATCACAGCGGCAAATGCTGCTCACTGGTTTGACATGCCACGCTTCTGGGAAAGCGCTGCTCGTATCTTGAGGCCAGGAGGAAGTGTTATCTTATGGATGTCGGGAGAAGTCAGCGCACACCCAGATATGCCGAACGCAGAAGCAGTTCAAGCTGCTTTAGACAAGCACCGATTCGAGTACCTTCGGCCCTACTATGCTCGAGGCAACCTTCTTACAAGAAGCCGCTATCGCGATCTCGAGCTTCCCTGGACGCTTGCTCAGCCGGTATCCGAGTTTGATGAAAGCAAATTTGTTCGTAAAGAAGATAATAAAGAATACTACGCGGGCAATTCAGACATAGACATGGACACACTGGAGAGAATCATGTCCACGGCAAGCCCAGTAACTCGCTGGCGCCAGGCCAATCCAGAACTTGTTGGCACCAGCAAGGATGTATTAGCTGTGCTTCGGAGAGAGATTGAACAGTTGTTACAGCAGGCCGGTGTAGAAAAGGGACACGAAAGGGTAAAGGGTAGTGTCCGAGGCGCCCTCCTCGTTGTAAAGAAGAAGATATGATTGCCACAACCCTAATTTCTGTTTTGCGAACCAGCAAGGGTAAGTGCTTTCATGTAGCAACAGCGAGTTCTACGATCAAAGTCCAACGAGCGCGCAGCCGGCGTATAAAGTACTTCATTGAATTACGAGCCATTTTTCACCGAACCCGATTTAGTATTGACCGGGAAGAACCCCTACTCGTAACACAGGGAGACATAAAGTATGTGACAATTACATCCGTCGTTAGCAATTGCTGCATATTATATCACTGCGCTACCGGGTTAAGTTACATTTTTCATGAACGAAGGTATTTCACTATTATGATAAAACCATTTCACCTAGTCCTTTAACAATTCTGGAAACAGAGGCAATTGTAGATCACACTTTTCATTCCTTCCTGAAGGGGCCGCGTAATCGTTCAGGATCAATTACACCTTTCAAACTCCATATAACGTTCGTGACCAGTTGTGCCCTCTGCGAGTAGGAGCATGACCTCTTCCTTGGTCATAGACTCTGTGAGACGGTAGGGCCAGAGCTCCATGATTGTGTTTTCTGACTTGATCCTCACCCCATGTTGGCGAGCCACGTCTGACATAGAGATGCCCTTCTCTGACCCCACTTGATCCAGAAATCTTTTGAAATACGTATCGAAGTCGCCACATAGATCTAAAAGTCCTGTGACCAGGTAGAAATCTGGGGATAGCATGTGTTTGAAGCTACTCATATCCCCTTTTCCCATGATAGCGTCGATCAGAGTTTGTTCGACGTCAAGGTATTCCCTGACAACACGGTTGAAAAGTGCTGTTGTCTTCGTATTGAAAGCGCCTCCGCAGTACCTTTCTTCTTCGCGGACAGCATTTAAGAATAGCATGAGAAGCGTGGCCCGGGGACTTTTAGACTTCGCCTTCAACATCGAAGAGAAAGTGGCGAGTGTGGTGGAGGGACCCAGGTAACCACGATCACATATGTTCGAAACCTGAGTTGCGTTAGATGCTTTGCTGAAATCTTTCTGCTGGTAACATACTTCGATGCGGTCGAACTGCTGAGAGTTGAGATAGCGCGGCAGATCAACAGCATTAACAGCCAAAAGCTGGAACGACACACTAACAGAGTGGACACGTGTACAAAATTCAAGCAGGAGGTCGCGCAGATAGAAGAAGAAGGCCCCGTACACATCGTTCCTGGCTATCCTGAGGCTCTTGATGTACTCGTCGTAGGACCAATCATCGAGAGGATCGGCATCATCTTTCATAGGCCATTGGCCTTGTGCATTGAAGAATGTACTGTGTTGGATTATTAGCGACTCGATCTGAAGTATTGGGGAGATACTAACGGATTTGGCACAGTAAAGTCCTTGCGTGATGCGCCAAATGGTAGCAAAACACCATGTTGGCGAAAGTCCATTGCTCCGGCGCGGCGACCAGGCGACATTTTATAGATATGGCGATCTACATGATCCACTCTAGCCAGAGTGACCGCGCGGCGGATTGACTGAGCTTGATTTGCGTCCAATCCTACCGGTACTCTAAACATGTTTGCAAAGGCCATCCACTCCTGCTGCTTGAGCAACAGGCGTAATGTCCTTCCGCCAAGATCGAACGTTTTTGCCTGAAGTGACTGTGGAGGCTTATCTTTGATCTTGGTACACACATCTTGGATGAGTGTCAAAACGCCGTTACGTAGCGCTTGGAAAATTGGCTCCGGGATCATTGCCGAGTACCAGAGATGAAGCATTACGGGAGCAGCAATTTCGGGCTCGAAATGAAGAGCTACTAACAATAGCATGGCGTTTCGTGCGGTGATGACAGTGTTCATGTCATTCAGAACAACTGTGCAGTTACCAGCGAAGGTTCTAGGGAGTCCAACTATAGTCTTCACAACATTGCGCAAGTCGCCCGAGGCTGCGAAGAGCAAGGCAACATCTCGCCCCATGATCACTTCCTCACCTTCGTTGTCTTTGATCTTGAGGATATCCACAGCAGGAACATTGCCCCAAAGATATTGGAGCGAGCCAAATGTCGCGAGGGGCGGACCGGAAACAAAAGCTGGCACGCGGTTCTCTACCACCCACCCGGGGAGGTAGGGATCGTTGAGGAATTTGGACCTGCATACACCTTTATGGTGCTTCCAGTCGGCAGTTTGGCATTCTTTGCAGCAATACTGTCTGCAGTCAGCAATTATTCCAATGGACTACAGGAGGTTTTCCAATTCCTGCGCGAAAAGGACATGCCTGAACCAGCTTGCATTTGGCACAGATGAATCCCGCCTCATTGCGGCAAGGCATAATTTCTCCATTGATCTTTCGTTGTGTGTTCGCACAAAGTGCTGGATCGAGAAAAAGGGACGTTTTCGACACTTCCTATAATAGCGATTAAACGATTAGATCCGTGTATGTGGCTGAGTATGAGGAGGATCAAGGGCGAAAGGTATGGATTGTGGAAAAGAATATGGACGAATATTGGCTTCGTGGAAGTAGAGGAACATTGTTGCCTGCTCCGCTCTGTTTGTTGCTTACCCTGCAATCTTGTTTAAGCTTCTGTGGCTTCTCCCTCCTCCAGAGCCAGTCCTCAAAGTCGTTCCTTTCAAGTCCCTGTGGGACCTGATCTATGGATGATTTCCACTCCATAGACAGACCATACAGCTGGAGCGAAGCGGGATTCTGTACAAGGAAGCTGTACTCAGCCACCTCTTTGCTGTCACTGCCATGAGACGTTCGCCATCCTTCCACTGCCCTCTCAGCTAAGATGCGTCCTCTCGCCAAGTCACCATTGGCAATAACAATTTGAGCCGCATCGAGGTACGCGCGGGACAGACCCGAGTTGCCTGATCCTTGTTTGTTATAAAGACAGATCATTTCATCGACATAGCGAAGGGTTCGTAGTTGAAAATTCATCTGCATGCCGTCATGACCGATAAGATCATCCAGCTGCTTGATTCTCTCCAATCGTTTGTCATTCTCCTGGCTCTGTTCTATCGGTAAGGAGCACACAGTGCAGGAACATAGGAATCCAAACTTCTCCTGCAGTTTCTTTTGGCGGATTGTGCGGCTGCTATCGAGAACGAGATAATATATTGTGATCTCCTCGCCCTTGGAAATATCTCTCAAAGCATGGACAGTATGCCGCTTGATGTTCTGGTTCCAGTGTTTTTGTGCATTGTTATCGCAGGAGTGGTTGATGCGACAGGCTTCAAGGAAAACCCCTCCTACGATTCCGTTAGCCTCAATGGGCAGACCATTCGTTCGAATGATGCCAAGAGACTTCTCAGCAGCATTTTGGTATGGATAGAGATTGTGCATCGAGAAGAAACATTGCCGCTGGGGTTCAGTAAGGGAATCGACTTGACGGGATATGTGCCCCTTCAGCCACTCGCTGTCCCGTTGCTGTTCGGGTATTGTGACGACTGGCTGCTCGGAAAGTATTCGCGTGCCTCTGGGGATATTCTGAGTCGCGACGAGACCTCTACCCTTCCCTGGAAAATCCTTCAAGGCATAGATGGAGCTGCTGTCGATGCTCGTCATGTCGAACTGCGTTCTAGCTCTCGCTATATGGTCCAAACTGCGCTTTAGGAAGCAAGTCTGCAGTTGTAGCACTTATTCAATTGAAGGCCAACACAGCTAGTTTATTTGGTTGACTACAGTAGTAGTATAAGTGGAGATTTGAATCTTTTGATCCAATCAATTTCTCGTCCTAAGTGGATGCCTAATTGTGTAACAATAGTTCTCGACATTCACCAATAGATCTCAACTACGTGCTTAGGTCCTTTTCTTGACCTGCTTCAGACCCACAAAACTTTCTTTATAGAGAGCAATTAGGAACTGGGACAGAGGCACCCACATTCCGCATGGTTGATTGGAAATTGGAGAATTGTGATGTCTGTAAACCATTGTGCATTTCTTGCAGTAACTATCATTATTATATTGCGCCGCTATTACAAGCAATGAGGTAAGTGGCCTTAGCTAATCTATGCTTGTCGTGGATTATCAAATAAGATTTTCTTCAAGAATATGAGGGCAGTATCAGGGAGCTATCATATAAACGATTGAAATACCACTTCACATTCGACCTAGTGGATCACGAACTATGACCTTACCTACTTATTCCCAACACGGCAGTACTAATCAGTGATTCTACAAAGGTAATAATAGCTTTTATACCAATCTCAGCAATCTTGTCTCCATCGCCCAGGTTTGGATTGAAAGAACACACTGTCAGCGAAACCGGCATGGCCTTTTGTGGTATAAGCTTTGTGCACTTCAACAAATCGTCTTCAAACAGCCCGCCCTTGCTCTCGAACCCGTTCACCTTGCCAACACTTTCATCTAGCACATCAAGATCGAGGTGCACTAACGCCGGTGACAATTGAGACTGTTCGAGAGCTTGCGTCAGCTCCATAGCGTAGTCTACGTGCTTGTCCGCGTTTCCCCAAATGACTTTCGCTCCAGCATCCAGAACCGTCTTCCGCTGGTCGTTCGTCACGTCTCTCAGTCCGATATACAACATCTTGTCATACTTTACCGGCCCATAACCCGGTATTGTGCTCGTCAGGTAGTGCCAACTCTTACCTGCCAACATCGACAACCCCATTGCATCGAGATATCCATTCCAGTTCGTCGAAGGTGTATCCATATCATCATGTGCGTCGAAATATATGAATCCTGGCTCATTCATACCGAGACCGCATGCGACACCGACAGTACTCATACAGTTTCCGGAGAGCACGAGTGGGAAGGAGTTTTGGGATCGCGCTTGTGAGACAGCGATCGAAGTTCGTCGAAGGACCTCAAAACTTCTCCCGATTTCGCCCTCAAAGTCATCGACAGGCCCGATTTCGTGGAAGTGAATTTCGACACCGAGTTCTTCGAGTTGTGGGATAAGGCCGAGTTTGCAGATACGGTTTGGTCCGTCGCCAACGCGATGGTCCCGGAGTCCAACATGATAGGGAGAGAAAATGATGGTGATAGATGAAGCAGTCATACTGTATTGTATTACAAGCAGATGACTAGGTACTTAGGGATAAGAGCAGCCATGACGGTACTGGAAAAGGCCGCGAGAGAAGTTCAGCACTAGTCACGTGATGTGTTTAGTATGCTTAATAATGTACCAATTGCCAAGCACATGAAGGAAGACATAATGCTATAAACAATGCTATAAGTACTCGGTATAAAATATTAAAAGAGAGCTAAGGGCAGTTAGAATAGTTTTGTTTTTCAATCCTAGTGTTAGTTCTACCTGCACTTGCAAATAGTACTCCGTATATAGCTCAGCAATACAACTGTTAAACTAGATAATAATAACAATTATGCTGTAGCTCTAAACCTTCTCTATAGGACCTTCTTTTTAACCCTTAAACTGTGTTTATTAACTTGGCAAGCAGAGATATTAAGTTTTTGTTTATGTTTAGATTTTCTTATTACTGCATACTACACCACTCATGCTTCACCACTCATCGGGCTTCACCACTACTCATGCTTCATTCTCTCGCTTGATTTCTTGGCAAATTCCTCTGCCTTTTACGTGAGATATTTCCTTTACCAATCTCTCCCCTTCTCCCTTTCTCTCTACCACCTTCTGGGATAACAGAGACGTATCCCGTTTAATCTTTGATCTCTTCTCTTCTTATTTAATCTCTCCTCTTGTTACATATTAGGGGCGGAGAATAGCTTCTCTCTTAATGCTTCTCTCTTAATGCTTCTCTCTTAATGCTTCTCTCTTAATGCTTCCACTCTCTTAACTCTTATTACCATCACTATTAGGAACCCCTGCTAACTCAGAAGCTCTAAGGAGGGTGAGATTGGCGAAGGCTAACCTCAGGTTGAGCTCAAGAAGGGGCCCCCCTAGGCTTAATGATCTCTCCGTTCCCACCTTTGAGCAGTTTTTTCTGCCGATGATCGTCTCGTCGTCCGCTGCGCCCGCTCTGCCTCGTCCCCGCCACTACGAGAGAGACGAAGACGACTTTGCTATCCGTCACAAGAAGCCAGCAAGCCCCCGTTTGCCCTGGGGATTACCCTCGAGCCTCAGTGGCACCCATTCGCATAAGTGTGAGCTGTTGGCTCCGTGGGATCACCTCTCTCGAGTTCGCCGAGAGAGATATTTCCGAGGTGGAATTGGTGGAATTTCTGCAGGCCATTCTTGACTTTGATGGCGAGTTCTTTGGCCCGGTTTTCCAGAGCCCAGTCAAGATCCCAAGATAAATTACGTGTAGATAGACCGACAGTGATTTCTTTCCATCGTCAATGGAGGCTACCATAGTAATACACAAACTTTGAGATACATTGCGGATTGATGGGTTGGCTACGTGACTTCATGTGATCTTTATCTCCAGATAAAATTGTTCTTCTCACTCAGCCTGCTATTCTGGAGTGATTCAAGTATACGTTTGCGACATGCATTTGCCATCTGCTATGTCTTTAAAGCTCCCTACCTTTTCCCACTTTTTGGCTCATGACGAAATCAAGCATTGCACAAGGGAAACCTCAAATTTGTCTGTGTGATGAATGAGAGGCCATGTATACAACACTGCATGCTGAGTATTATGGTATCCTATCAAGCTTTGCCAGTCTAATCGTACTATATAAAGTATCATGAATGTTAGTTGAATAAATTAATCTTGCATATATTGATAGGATATAAATAGCATATACTGGGCAACAAGTAATAGTCAGTGCACATTAACCTTGCATCAAAGAGACTAAATGAACGATATGTTCTCGCTCTGAACGAACGAGATAAGAGTGAGTTTTCACTCAGTACCTAAAACAATGAAAGGCACTCTTTGGTGCTTATGGGTCTGGTACCTGCATGCTACAACAGCATTTTCGCACTGTATGTCCACGTTAGAAGAAACGGTTGCTTACTTTCACTCGCTAATCAGTAGTAAAATAGACGTTTTTGCCCATGTGTCGCACAATGGGGGGCCATTGAGCAAGGCATGGCAATTCATTCGGTACGATGATCCACAGTAATTCAGTAATGATTCTCAAACCGGCTAGAAAAATTGAGCCCGGGTGGGCGCAATGCGAGCGATGCGGATCAGGCGAATATAACCCATACTTCGACATCTACGACAACAATTTTCGGTGTGGGCGTGGGGCTGCCACGTCGGGGCGGGGCGTTGAGACTTTGACAGTCAATGCCGGCGATCATCTCGCTTTCTTTTCGACACTTACAAGCACCGATATCGAGATATTTCACGAAGGGCCTGGCCTAGCATATCTCTCTAAGCCAGACTCGGGTGAGTTGGAGGACTATTCGGGAGATGGAGACTGGTTCAAAATACAAGCGCATGTAGCAAACAAGGCTGGGAAATGGGCGTTGCAGGGACAGAAATCGGTAGGATAACTTTCCATTCTGAATTCAAACGCAATGCTAATAAACTTGGAGATGAACTTTACGATTCCGAAGTCGACCCCTCCAGGAAAATATCTCATGAGAGTTGAGCACATCTATCCCTACGACGCGACGTTTAATTCGACACAGTTCTATCTGAGCTGTGCACACATTGATATCAAGGGACCGGGAGGTGGTACACCAAAACCGACGGTGAAGTTTCCGGGTGCATACGACCTATGGGAGCCTGGTATGTACCCCTTCCTTCGCATAATCAGCGTGATGACAGTCTATTTTATATTGATTTGTTATAGCACTATGGGTGCCATATCGCTTCACTTCATTCCCAGTCGCTGCGAAAGATGTTTCTGGTTACGTTCCACCGGGCCCGCCAGTTTGGAACGGATGAATTTTCAAGGAAACCGATCGTTGGTTGACTCTTTGAATGGCAATTCATAACAATACAAATCACTTCTGTGCAATTGAATAGATGCTCTGTGAGATTGAAGCACTGATCGAACAATCTGAATATTGAATAGGGTTCGAAATTGAGGGAGTCAGATTATGACCTATAAATACATGCCCGCTTACGCCCGTTAAGCGATTATCATATCTATAAAGTACGGGGTTCGTGTTCCGGGCTAGACCTGCATCTAGCCAGGCTGAATACGACGGATCACTTCGTGTTCACCCACATAATAGAAGCTTTGATTAGCTACATATTAATGAACTGAGATCGTGGACTTTCAAATGTTGGATGTCAGACCCTAAGTTTGTAAGGAGGGCCTTTCAGATTCGCACTCCCAATTATCAATTTGAAGTATCCGAATTCTGTATTCCTACTCACTATAATGCATCTTCTGGTACAATTATGGGTTGCCGTTTGGGTTACTATGCTTTCGTCCTCCAGACAAACTGTTGGCGCAGCTCCCACTAGTGGATGGATTGATCAGCCCACTCGAGTGTATCATTGTCCCTTCAATGTCCAGGCCAATCTGCTTGAGGACCTCTCAAAGTTGCAGATTATCTATTCTGCAATAGCACCGAACGAAAGTCTTTTCACTTCACACGATGTCATTTGTTTTGTCCGTGTCGCATTCACATACAGGCCATTATACAGTAATGCTGTAGGGGTAGAGAAGATACACTACTCGTACAATGGAGACAAAAACAGTACATCGAGTTTCATCGACACAAAATTAGCATGGGATGGAAATTGGAGCCCCGTATGTTCTATCAATCAGATAACTTGCTTCTAACTTTGTCTAATTGAGTATACCAGACGAAGTACCAAACTGTCAATATTGCCTCGTCAGAATCGACCGCTGCCAATACAAGTGCAGTTACCCTCTCGAATTGCGGCATCGGCGGTTTGCATCAACCACACGAGGGGGCTGAACTTAATGTACAGACGACATTTCGGGCATCACTTCTTGGTCCGTTGAAGAGTAACTTCACTATGGCCTTGAGGCAAGATCTGGAACTTTGGTGGACTGGCGAGTGCGCATTTCGATACGACCATTTTTGTAGATGGTTCGATGTGGAAGGAAACGCTTACGATAAGACTTATTGCAAACAACAAGGGCTATCTTGAAGTAGAACAGAATGAGACAGTTTATTCAGACAGATGCAGAGCTGTAAGCACGGCTTCTGCATGTCTAGATAATTATGAAACATTGTTTACCCGGTTTACGAATAATAACATCAAAGAAGTTACAATGTTATCGAAACATCGAAACATCGAAATGCAGCGACACTCAGACATTAAAACACCCAAATACTAAGTGGTTTGAGGAGTAGGCTGGAAAATTAGACCTTGGTGTTGAGAGACGTCGCATGGCATCGGCGCTGCCCCGGAATTATAGATTGCTGGCGGGATGGAATTTTGTCGCACTCTGAATAGACGAGTGAGGCGAACTTATTGGTGTGACCGGGTTTCTTGATGCAGGTAATGATGGCCAATGAGGTCAAAATGAGAGCCGAGAGAAGCGAGTGACAGTATCATCATCGTCAAAGGGCAGAGCGGGAATCTAGTCGGGCGCGACGCGTTCAACCGCGCGGGGTTTGGAGAGACCGAGTCAAGAGTCGAGAGTATATATTAGTCGTCGCCAAGTTATGAAGGATGTTCGTTCGGCTTCTGGTCAGCACAAAGTCTCTTATGGGTCTGATCCTCTTCGAAATCCTCATTGACGAGCTCGCCCAGCTTGCGCTTTAAGGTGGCGATGAGAGACAGGTTTTCTGCTTCAGACTTAGCTGCCAGATATAAGGCATGCTTGTCCTGAATCTGTTCGTTCTTCTCCTCAATTCGCTTGTCCTTTTCCTCCAGTCTCTTCTCCATTTCCTGAATTCGCCTGTCCTTCTCTTTGATCAGGACTTCCTTCTCCTCCAGAGTGGCTTTCAGAGCGGCCAGCTCAATTCTCAAGTCGTGGTTTTTCACTAACAACTGAGCGTCTAACTCCTCAAGATCCGGAAACCCTAGGCTCGCCTCGAGTGCCTCTACGTCGAGTGGTACAAGCCTAGGGGGAGACGACGACATCTTCTTCGGGGTGGGATTGACAATCTGCAGAAAAAGATCAGCGGCTTCTGCTCGAGTCAAGGGGGGGGGCGGAGCGGAGATGGGATGGGATGTAACAGGTTTGTAGCTGTTTTGATGTGTAGGTGTGTAGAGGGGTAGGTGTAGTTCAATTGATGTATAATCACAGGGGGCAAAGATGAGCCAGCTGCGTGTCTGTCAACTGAAAGTGGGTGAAGAGAGAAAGAAGAAAGGAAGAATATTTTGATGAGCCGTGGGGGCCTTCATGTATGTGTGCGTGTGTGGGGATGGTATCGCCTATCTAAAGAGGAAGTTGCGATGGCTTCACTGATAATACCGGTAGGTGTACCCCGCTTGATCTCCGCACGATGGATGTCGAAATGAAAAAAGGCAGGGCATAGATAGATTGTTTCCAATTCCACCTGAATACTGCGAGTCTCGACCCAAAACCATCAGTAGCTTTCGTGTTGTACGGTTTATCTGAGCATTCATGCACAGCTTGATCTCATCTTGTGGAGGCAGAAATGACGGAAGGATGTAGGAAGAGAGATAGAGAAGATGTGAATTGAACGAATTGACCATAGAAGCAATATTCAATGTAGTCATGTGTAGTAGTGTAATACAAAATCCAGCCTTGTGTATTCCATTCCCAGCCTTATATAGCCTACAGTCTCCCAGTATGCACCGCGCCTCCACCGCAAAGCATTTCCTTATCCCAATCCGGCAGTTTATAGGTTTCATGCAGTCATGTTTTCGATTCTACCACTGAACGCTGCCTTGAAGCGAAGCTGCGTGAATAGTGGTAGATTGGAGAACCACGGCCACATGGTCGACCAGCCAATGAATGGCACTCCACTCGTAGGTATTGTGAATTTCGAAAGCTGAAATGAAGAATGCCCAGATATCACCCCCGCACCAGTGCAGGGATTCATTGCGCCAGACTCCCACAATCACATAGCATCGGTATCAAGTGAGGGATAAGCCGGTTGCGACCGGCCCGAGGAGCATGTCGAAAGGGCAGCCTTCTACGACATGAAAACGCCGCGTCATTCGTTTATTGCTGCCTGGCATGAGGAAAGATAGATCCACGAGGTCACCAGTAGAAAAGAGACGTTTCGGTTCCCATACGATCGATCTTACTGACGCAGTGTCGTAATGCGCTTTCAGACCGAGACGAGTGACAATCTCGAGGGAGATGAAATTGTCTTGAACCCTTTGGGGGAAAAGAACGCAAAAGGTGGCTGGCTCTCCAGTTGCATTAGAAATAATCGTTACATTCTGCTTCTGTTTTCGTAGAGTCGATATCTCAGCTGAGCTAACCTTGCGCATGGTCAGTAACAATCGCCTTGAATGGTATTATCAACTAACAGTATTGCGAGTAACGGGACGATTCACGAGGGATAAATTACGAGGCTCGACATGTACGAAAGGGACTACTCTTGTCCCAGTATCTGGTCTTAGGACTAGACTATCACAGTGGATAATGATGTACTTTCTGGGATGGGTTTAGACGTGTTCTTGCGCCGAGTAGAGGGTTGATCCGCTCACGGGTTGAAATTATTGATCGTGTCTATTATGTGTCCATTGATTTGTAGAGCACTATCGCAGGCTCTGTTCCCAATGACGGCAGACAGCTGCCCAACTCGTTTCGAGCCTACAATCCGGTCGACGGCTGATCCTGCTATTGCTGCTCGGCCATTATCGAAAAAACGAGTGAATAGACTGAGATCGCTTCCGATGATGCTGGTCATGATTCAAAGCGCTGGCATCAAGAAGGCGTAAAGAACGAGTGGGGAAGTCGTGAAGCTGTTAGGCTGGATTGGGCTTCATATGAAGCCTGGCCGACCCGCTCGGCTCATACTCGTGCCGGATGGGCGACGATGCTTGATTTCAGTACCCGTGATTTCGAAAGTAGAAGTACAAGTACATTGTTATTGGCTTGTCCACAAGTACGATAGGATTCGCGATTTGCCGCGTCGCAGCCGGTCAGTCGAGAGGGGCATAGCGTGTGGACAAGGACGAGTAGAATCCCTGACGTGTCTTGTCGCCCTGATGATGGTGATGTGGATGACGATCATGTTCGAGTTCCGGACCTGCCCCACTTCCTTCCTATGCCTTGCAGTAGTACGTAGGGCTCATGCGAACACTCAGATGCCCTGAGCTACATCGCAACTACACGAACCAAATCCCTACTACGAGTACCGCATTAAATTAACTCGCAGGCTCATTCACGCATCATGAACCCAAGATAGGCATCACATCAGTTGGGCGCCCACCTTAGCGCTATCCGGCGCGTTCTAAAGTCGGCTACCTACACAAGGCTACAAGTAACCCGTAATCCAGCAAGACTGTCGTCTTTGTTGCGCGTAATGAGTGATCGCGTAACCTTGGCAAAGAAGCTTGTTGACAGTTATCAACACAAGGCCCTTGAACTTCTGGTGGACTACCTACCTCCAAAATCCAGAAATTCGGACCGCAACCGAGCAGTACATAGGGCAACATGATCCATCTCCCGTAAGATTCGACACCGCGCCTCAGCATCCCATATCCCCACAGGGCCGTTCACGCAATCCCGATTCTTCACCAGTGCACACAACAGCCCGACAGCACTTCCCGGATGCCAGGAACAGCTTTCATACCCCTCTCAACAGCGCAGGCTCGGTCAAGTCTCGCGGATCGAGTCTGGCGGTTGCAGGCACGGACAGAATCTACTTGCTATCATGCGAGGACGATTGCACGGACCAGCCAGTCATATTCAGAAGTTCGCCAGTGAAACACAATCTGATTAAGAATAAAGTGGCATACGGTCGTAGCCTTGGTGCTAAGTCATATGCTGTGGATGAGCTGGTATCAGTGCCTCTCCCGTCTGGCAGTTATAGGCAGGAGAAGGTATTTAGAGCCGTAGATCTGACCTGGCGCCGGCGTGGTGAGTGCAACACAAATATGGATACATTCTACATTGTCCCAGCAGAAACGTTTGATTGTGACGTGATTCTGGCCGCTGACGGGTCCACGGAGCGTCAATTTCCATCAGGTCAGTTTCAATTCGATCTGTCTAACCTGCACCCAATTAGGCTGACGTATAGTCATCATAATTAGAAGTCCAAGAAGCACACTCACCGCAAGCACATTATCAGCGAGGCAGCCTCAGAGAAATAGAAGAACTCGGCTTGACCATTCCTCCCTCTCCTCAACAAAATACAAATATACTGCCTCAAAGAGCATACGATCGTGTTCAGAGTTACCGAGAAGCCCAAAGCATGCAAGCGGTTGCACAGTCCACCCCGATTCCTCATGCCAGCCAAACTGAGCAAGGACAAGTTCACAGAACTGCGCCTGTTGCCGCCCAAGGAACTTCGAGTGGCCATCTCCAAGTACTTGGCTTGTGGGACCAAACATTACTTCAAATGTCATTTGACCCAAATGCCCCAGGAGAAGCCTTCTATCAAGCTTTTCACCGCTGGGCAGTACGGCGGAATCGCAGTGGGGACATAGAGCGACACAGGATAACCCTATGGCTCAAGACGAGCAGAGACACACCTGATGAGACAGCCTACGAGCTTATTCTGAAGGAGGGTGACCTAGAGGATCTCTGGGGGATGGCTGTCGACTGGATACAGGGTAACAAAAACCCAAAGCCTCCGCATCTCTACGCGACCGTTGAGCTTCAAGCAGTGTGAACAGCTTGCTCATCCTAGTCGTTCACCATCCTTTCGAACAAGAATGAGTGGAGCAGGCTCGAGATTCAGCTCTGAGCACACCAGATGACAGCGCCACTGTCAGATTGTCGGGAAGAAACATCCCGCTTGGATATACAACGTGGACTTAAGCAAGATGTTAGTATTGGATTTCCATCAATTCTCACACCAGTCGTAGCTACCTGTCTTGCTACTGTAATGAGACTGGAAGTAACATCTGTTTTCTCTACCCTTTGATTGCCGTAACTTGTTTACACACCACTCAACAAATTTCAAGTAATTCAGTTCTGCGCAACAATTAAACTGTAATGCGTTTGCTAAAAGAAATCTTAGATATCATTAAATGGCGTCCAGGGTCATTCAAAGACGTCGGCGTGACCCTTGAGCTCATTTTGGACCCATCGAAATAGCTTCTCCTGCAATACACCATCTTGCGCCAGTTTAGACCCCTTTTCTACTTTCCCAACGGGGCCATAATATTGCCCAGACTGCGCTGCAGGGCTCACCGCCGCCCATATCTGAGAGATCGCCCCCTTCTCTACTGGCGTTACAAAGAATCCGACGGCGACATTGAGAAAGGGTTTAAGAAATGTGCCTGTAGAGGCGTGGTGAAGATTCGTTGCCACCATGCCGGGGTGAACGGGAATTATGCGGACGGCCTTCTCTCTTGCGGCCAGCGCTTTAGCGTAGTGTATGTCCGCCAGCTTTGACGTTGTGTACCGTGCTGTTGTATGCTTGTCTTTCATAGTCGTCTTCAGCTTGTCAAACTGGTAAGCATCCGATGGCGCCTGTGAATGCGCGGCAGAGCAGAGAATCACAGCCCGGGTCTGAGGGTTGATTCTGACCGTGTCTCGGAGCTTTGGCAAGAGGAGTTGCGTGAAAAGCGCCGTTCCGATAACATTCGTTCCAAACTGAATCTCGTAACCTTCTTTTGTCAAGCCTTCCTTGACCATCATGATGCCGGCATTATTGATGAGAATGTCGAGGCGAGACTCTTTGGCGGAAAACTCGGCAGCTGCTGCTTTGATACTGTCGAATGAAGCAAGATCGAGATTCAGGAACTCGAGTGGGCTGGCGTTTGGAACCTCCCGATCGATTGATTCGATGGCAGCGACGGCTTTATCTTTTGATCGGCAAGCGACATAGATGCGGGCTGCATTGTGTGTGCTCAGCTGTTTTACAGTCTCAAGACCAAGGCCAACGTTTGCTCCTGTCACAATGATGACTTGGCCGCTGAGATCCGAAATATCAGAAGACCGGAACGACATATTGATGTGGACAATAAGAAATGGTAAATGAATGAGTTCGGATAGAAAAAATCAAAAGCTTGCAGAAATGTTCTGCTATATATGCAATTCCAATTGACATACTGAGCAGGCGAATGACTGGCCTTTGTCCAGCCATAACTGAAGCTGTGTTCATTGTCCGTTCCTACGATTGGCAAGCTACATCCTAAAGTGGTATGAATACCATAGAATGGGGCAAGTCTATCTAACCTACTGCGGCAAAGATGCCGGGATGCCTGGATATTTCGATGTGGTGTGGTCTGCTTATCCCCCTGTTAGCTTACAATTAAGCTTAGATCTACTAATTACCATGAACAGCATAGTGCATAGGGCTAGAACTAGGGGATGAAATATTATCTCTTAATACTGTGTAGACAACTTGTTTCCAAAATCCGATAATTCCGTCCATCTATACTTGTCCGTGTTTTTCGTGTGAGCGATAAAGACCGGTTGCCACCAAAGGCCTCACACGCAGTATTCTCCAGTTTAGTCACGTTTCGTGGGAGATTCTTAGTACAACATAGCCTAAACACAAGAGAGCAGTCTTTGCAATCGTCTAGGAGGACCGGACGTGTGTTAATTGAGAATATAATCAAGCGGAAGCGCCCCGCGCTTTGCTCTCCAAGCATTTGTAACTTGCAAAATATCACTACAGCCATCCAGTAAATCCCTCCATCTATCAAAGAACTCTGAACTAAATTCCCACCCATTTTCATCCCAACAATCTCCCCAAATTATCAACACGGCGCTACCGGTAGCTGAGAGGTTGAGGAAATCGCAAACGAGTTCGTGAATCATTTCTTCCTCATCATGCTGACCACCTTGTAGGGCTAAAAGGATGTTGTCCCTGAGCTTTGGAAAGGGGAACAAATCCAGCCAGGGATGGTGCTTAATTGTTTGTTGGAGGGCTGTAGGAGAAAGACTGGTGGGCAGCGCAAGGGTAGGCTCTCGAGAATCGGAATCCAGCCGAAAAAGCGGAGAGTCATCCTCATCGCTCTCCAGACATTCAACGGGGATGTGCAAAATCTGGGCATTTCTGGCCAACACGTTGAAAGCATTCAGTCGGGTCAGGGTGGGAAGATCTTTAGGTATGGGCATGCTGATGATCCAATCGACTGCAGCCTTCTTCAAGAATTCCCGTGCCTGAGCTTGAAGTCCCGGGCACCGCAGTAGGTAGAATATTGACATGTTCTGGACTGATGCATGAGCCTGGTTTGTTCTGTCGTCCGTACTGTAGATAGGGAGAAGTGTAGCACTGGCATCATTTGCCACCGCGTCTGATGCCTGAGTTGATGCCAATGCCTTGATGTGCCTCTTCCGTCCTTGTGATCTGATTAGCATATGATGAAGGGACAAATCGATCCTTATTTCCAATGAACGCACGGTGGACTCTCTGATGCAGGCGATTTTGCCGCCTGCGCCGCTCTTTTGCATCTGTAACCTCGGTCCAATCGTCCGTCTCATCCCAAGCTTCAGGCAGCCTCGGAGGCATTACGGAGTCATAATCAAAAGACGACATTTTTTGCTGTCATGTAGGTATACAATTCTTTCTCAAAAAAGATGACTGAAAGAGTCGAAGTAGAGTCAAATAAAGGTTTCGTGGAAAAGATAGGCCTGGAAACGATTAATTAGCAGATCGCCGGATCCACTTGCTTACCCCCCTGCTAGTGCAGATGTCAACTTTGGGCTACTAAATCAGTAACTAACTAATTAAGATTAGCCATTTGTGCCATTCCATACCACTAGGCTCTGCCGAACAAGCCTCTAGCTCATACGATGTATCAGACACCGGATGTAAGCATTTCCATTCGGGGGACATCCATTTGGGAGACTTATGATGATACGTTATAGGAAGTAACGATTGTACCCTTGCCTTGGGGAATGGATATCAGCGGAAGAGCCTTGCCGTGGGTTTTGAATTCAAGAATGATACAGGTTTTGCGGTCACCCGATTTCTCTCCTCAAAATAGGCATGAACAGATATTGATCACATATGCACTCAGCCATTTCTCAGATTTGGGATCCTTTTTTGGCTTTAGTGATTGGACGTATGATATCAATGCTGAATTATGCACAGGAAAATTGATGTTCCGAATCTACTTGGAAATTTCGGGCGGAGTCATGAACTCATTCAGATCAGGCAGCCGCACGTGACGAGCCCGTCATATAAAGTACCCCTCCTCTCTTTCATCCTCCAAGTTCCACCCACCAACGACGCCCTTTCTCCACGAGCCAGCGATGGAGGAGGATTTGAAGCAGGAATCGTCTCTAGCGATGCACCTAGCCGTCTGTCGTGGAGATACATTTTCACTCCAGACTCTGATCGAAGCTGGGTTTGATGTTAACAGAGATAGTGAATATGGCGCGCCCCTTCACGTAGCCGTCATGGCTGAACAAACGGAAGCTGCCCAGATATTGGTGGGTGCTGGCGCGGACCTCGAGGTTCTATACAACTACGACATGGAAGGGCAGGATGAGCCTTGCAACCCACTTCGCCTGGCCGTACACCTAGGCTGCCGTGACATTGTCCAACTCCTCTGGAAGGCTCTTTCCGCCCGCAGGAACCCCAGAACGTATCGGCCCGGAGGACAGGCAGATCAAGGAGGTTGGGGGCAGAGTTCTCTTCTTGTAATTGCTGCCGATGATGACTATCCCGAAATCACGATGGATCTGCTAAGCTTCTCGGATGAATGGGCTCCGGATGAGAGGGCCAGTGCACTTAACTGTGCAGCCCGGGTATGGTCGGCCGGTTCAGTACGTGCTTTACTCCAGAGTGCACATTTCACTGATGACGAGATGTCTTGCTTTCTGAAATCATGCTGTTCCGGGCGACCAAAGTGCTTCAACCATTTTCCGTACCGCGGCATCTGTACCCACGAGGATTCTGTAAGGCAGGCGCAATGTGTGGAATACCTTCTCGATGCATACCCTGGGGCAGACTGTATCCGGATCCTCCACCGGGCCGCTCAAAACGCATACTGTATCGAAACACTCCGCTTTACGCTTCACCGCGGCGTGGATCCCAACTCGCTTGATGGGGAATTGAAGACGCCGTTACATCGTGCAGTAATCAGGCGCGTCATGTTCAGAGTCAACAAAGATGGAGCATTTTTGCTTCTCGAGAACGGTGCGGATCCAAATATTCCTGACGTCGACGGCATGAGGGCGTTACACCGGGCTGTAGAGCTAGGGGGAGACATTGAGGTCGTGAAAAGGTTACTCGAGGCTGGAGCCGATGCGGAAGCGCTAGACAGTGAATCTGCTACTCCGATGATCACTGCTGCGTACTCTCGGCTTTACAACATCGACGGGTGGAGAGTATTACAGATTCGAATATTGAAACTCTTACTAAGAGCAGGCAACGGTAAAGCTAGTATTGAATGGGAAGATGATCGAGGTAGGAGTGTAAAGAAATGGGCAAAGGAGAACAAAATTCCTGACCAGTGGCTGGAACTTGACGAATAGCAGGAATACCCAATTGATACGAAGAATCTGACTTTCTCTGGGTCGTTCAATATGTGCTCAGGAAATCTGGCTGCACGACCACGGGCGACGCTATGCCACACTGTAGTCATCACGATTAAGTAAGTCTTCAGGTAACTATCAAAGCCATCATAAAACATGACGCCAGAAACGATGAGTATAAATGTGTAATGAAAAGGTGCCAAGGAAATATATGTACGTCATTATCTGCAACTTGTCCTTTCTTATTCAACGAATCGCTCCAGACTTACAGTATTGGAACCCAAATCCGGGCGATGTTTTTCAGCGCACCTGTAGGCTCTCCTTTCGTCGCTTTGTTCGCTCGAGCTATAACTCGATTGATCGATTGCATTGAGGCGTAGAACCATGAGATTCTGTCTCACATCGCCGAACTTCACATATCTAGAAGGGTCGCTTAATAGGAGTAGATCTAATAGCAAAGCTAACCTAGTGAGAAGCTTCAAGAAAACAAGCAGTAACCGATGTGCATCCTAGATATCCAATAGACCTGGGTTGAACCGTCGAATGAGCGAAGAAGCATGGAGATGGTGGGCATCATGCAGCATTGCGTGGAGTATGCTCGAATGTTGTCACGATCTTGGGCTTATAACGGAGTAAGAACTATTATCAATCGATGAAGATACTGGAATGAGAATGCTGTGGCTGCAGGTCATGACACATAAATGTTCAGTTCTCATCGATCGATGCTTGCAGTCCTGATCGTGTTTGCGAGAGTTGGTAACAAACCGACTCTCACAGCTCTCAATACACATACAGATACCCAGTAGAATCAATGATCCCTTTTGAATACCATGCGTTCGAATAGCTTAGATCATTGAGACCCTAGGAGACTTCATAACAAGGGGTGATAGCCCAAGCCTTGAGCCTGCCTCAGTCTGCTTGGTATGTTTAAAGACATGCCTGGCGAAACGCCTTAGAGAGCTTATACCAACTAATACGAAAGGAAATCTTTTCTCCGGCTTGAATAGCATTCACGAATGAAGGGGGAGAAGAAAGGGTGATTGATTTACAAGACCAATATTGATCACGTGTGGTCCAAAAATGAACATACCTACGTCCTCCTGACAAATGCTCCCAAATCGAAACGCAACAAGTCAGGGAAAGCGGAGCGAGGCCATCATTATGTCTTGATAATAGACAAAGGTAATGAGACGGGAGAGAGATGAAAGCTCCTGACCCCAGCGCCAAGTTTCCGCCGTCCGCGTGCCGAGCACGACGAGTCGGGTGGACGGCATCCCACTCCACCTTTCCGCGACAGCACCAGCCACTGACGCGCGAGGGAAAAGGGTGCCTCGGAATTCGGCATTATCTGCCTGGAGAGGCTTCCTACGGATGCCCTGCCAAGAGCAGCTGTCCAGCGGAGTGGGCGGCGGGCCAAGCCTTGACCTGTCTTCGACGTCTCCTGTTCATGGTGATTTTGGAGATGCCAATATAATCGTCGATTCTTCTGCGACCGCCATGGGAATGCCTAGTATGATTTCAGACGGTCAAGAGACACTGGGGAGATTTGGATTCATTGACTTGTAGTATCGTGAGATTCGTGACCGAGGAATTCGAATAGATTCACTGTCGTCACATCATTCAATGTAAATAATCCAGGACGATATCATCTGTCCGGTCCTGCTCAGTAGCATGCAGTTCGCCAAGTTCAACAGACGAAAGACAATTCACTGCCTGATAGACACTAAATCCTGGCTCACCAAGTGCCAAGTTCCGTCTTGATGGTCACTATGCTCGTCAGTCAATACGCGGCTCTTCCCCTGCAGTCAATCATGCACATAATGGACTGGTATTCGTGGGATGTATTCCAATTTAGACTTGTTCCCGTCAAGGAAAGCCCTGTCGAGAAGAATAGCACAGGGGAAGTTGTGATCGACGGCAGCAGTTACCTCTGAGAATCCCCAAAACGCGTGGAGGGAAGCTTTTTACAAAGGTTGTATCAGATCTTATTCGGGATCCGTTTCATCCCGCGGCCTACTCTCTTTTAAAGAATACTTCTACTGCTCGTCATACCACTATACTTTCCTGCCCAACCTGCGCGATTTTCCCCAAGCTTCCGACTCCCACGACCTGTTTCCTTCATTTTGTTTTGATAGAGGAATGGCGTTGTGACCCGTCAGCTGGCCTGGCTTTTTTTTCTCCATATAGACGGGGTTTCCTTCTTCCATTTGCACTTCATACTGTTTCCATTCCCTCCAATCTTCTATGAGCCTACCGACCTGAAGCACCATCGGTTCGCCCAATCACCATGCCGACCCTCGATGTAAGCGAGCTCAACATCGTGATAGCCGTCCTCGGAGGCTACACTGTCCTCTATGGCATCATATCCGTCAAGCTCAAGCAAAAATGGTATCTCGGCGAAGCACTGCCAGCCGTCGTCGCTGGGATTGCCTTGGGGCCGATCGCTGCAAAGTTCATCGACTCTGAACGTTGGGGCGTAGCGACGGCCGGCCAGACGCCTGACATCACTCTGGTACGTCTGCCGCATCCTCTCTTCGCATCTGCTTACGTCTCAGGGACTCACCCGCGTCGTGATTGGCATCCAACTGGTGATGGCGGGATACCAGTTGCCAGCAAAGTACGTCTGGAATCGGTGGAAGGACATGGCTCTCTTGCTCATCCCCGTGATGACCATCATGTGGCTGTGCACTACCGGTTGCATCATGCTCATGATACCAAAGCTCACCCTGGTACCATCCCTCCCTTCGTATGAATCTCACCAACTGACGCCTGCAGCTCACGGCGATGGTGATTGGTTCGCTCGTCACCTCTACCGATCCAGTCCTCTCGCAGGCGATTGCCAAGGGGCCTTTTGCAGACAAGTATGTGCCTCGAGCACTGCGCGAGATCATATCTGCCGAGGCAGGATCGAACGACGGATTCGGCTTCCCGTTCCTCTTGTAAGCATCTCTCTCTCCGTCGAATCCCTTTCTAACAGCTCAGGTTGGCGACGTTCCTCATCCGCCATGCTGACGATCCCAATCTGAAGCCCGGCATTGCGGAAAACGACATTGCGCATAGATCCCTCGTCCCCCGCGCTGGTAATGTGGGACGTCTGGGTGGCGGGGCAGGAAAGGCGGTCGAGCTCTGGCTGGTCGAGGGTTGGCTCTACTTTATCCTGCTCGGCGCTGTCGTCGGTGCCGTGTGCGGAATCGCGAGCATGTATGCAGTGAGCTTCTCGCTGAAAAGGTTCGCAACCAGGCCATATCATTGACCTCCACTCACCGTTGATAGAAAATGGATCGACAGCGAGAGCCTGTTGCTCTTTCCCACTGCCCTCGGCCTGTTTGTCATCGGCATTACCGGATGCACAGGTCTTGATGACTTGCTGGCTTGTTTCTGTGCAGGTGCAGCCTTGAACTGGAACGGCGAATACCTCGCAGAGACGCTGAAGCGCCACGACGAAGTGAACAGCTGCATCGACGTCCTCTTAAACTTTGGCGGGTTCATGTACATTGGAATGATTATTCCATGGGCCGAGTTCCACCAACCTGATGTCACTGGAATTACCATCGGCAGACTGCTCAGTATGGGCCTGCTTGTTTTACTTTTGAGACGCATCCCGGCAGTCATGGTCATGTTCAAGTTCATGCCAAACACTGTCAAGACCTGGAAGGAGGCCTTGTTCATGGGATATTTCGGCCCAATAGGTGAGCGTACCGTGATCGTGACATTTCATTGCTAACTACGACAGGCATCGGCGCGGTGTTCTATGTCGAGCATGCCTTCCACCTCTTTCCCCACCTAGAGGACGCCGAAACCGAAGAAGAGGAGAATCTGCTTCGCGCCATGCGTCCGGTAGTCTACTTCCTTGTCCTCTTCTCCATCGTCGTTCACGGACTCTCCATCCCCCTGCTCGACGTCATCTATCGCTGGCAGAATGTGCAACCCATCATCGAGGAAGATCCAGTCGAAACGCGCCCGATCAGCAGCAGGTCCGCTCTTCCAAACAACGCGTTCTTGGATCCGCGTCGGGGCAGCGTCGTCCGACACAACAGATTCTCGCGAGCTCCCTCCGTCGTCAGCTTCGAGGACTTGGAGCGCACGTATGGACAGAACGACCAGTGGCCGGGTTCGAGGCCGCCGCCTACCCTTTCGCTATCTAGGAGCAGGAGGCAGTCGTTCAGCAACGAGTCGGACCATTCAAGTGATCATGTCGAAAGCGAGAAACAGCATGCGAAGAGTCTGTACGAAAGGGAACGGTCGCTGTCGATAAATCCCCGCCCCAGCGAGAGTGGCTTGACGTGGGCTGATGCTAGGAAGCCCGGTGTCGGAGTGGGTCATATCTGATGTCGGACGGACTGGCGTTAGGTTCATTAGTCACTCATTCACGGTCACTTATATATTTCTCTCAATATTGGAAAGTCTGCATTGCTAGAATCATGACACTAGAGCTTGACATCATATTGAAAGTGAATGGCAGGATAACATGGACGTAGACTGGAAGTCTGTGCTTTTTATGAGATTTGTAGGTTAAAATGAATCCATCTATAATATCGATCGAATTGATGAAAGTCTGACCTACCAGTCCAAGCCGATTGAATGTTCGGAAACTCAATCACAAACATTCGATTTTCGCCTGCGATGGGGATCGAAACCAATCGAACTTCATCTGCAACATCCGAAAGGGACAAAGTGGAGTAGGAGACATTGCTAAAACTAGCAAACGTTTCCTTCCATCTGCGCATGCATGTTGTGTTTAGAACTCCTCGTTATTGCTTCGAAGGTAGCTAAATAAGAGAATGTAAGCATGCAATTCTTCTCAAGATCCCTAATATGTCCCGGCCTACTCATATATATTGCCCAAGGCGTAGTCTATCTAACTTCCGACAGCCTCTACAGTGACAGCATGCTATGAAAAGTTATTGCTATATTCTTCTCACGGTAGCTACATAGCGATGATAACTATGCTTTGTTCGGTCAAACATGATAGACATCTCCTATTGGGACTAGATCATGCATTTTCATTGTTGCATGTTTGTCGGTGGGCAAGCTGTGTTTGTGTAGCCAAGTGGAGAGCATGCAGCAAGCATTTACAATGTAGCATGTATTAAAGGTGATGTGCAGTCCTGTCCCCCACAACATATCATTCTCTTGCACTACATCATTCCCATTGTCTATTTCTTAGACAACAATGGCTTTTACTCCTTATGAAATCTCACATCAAGTGTCTGCGGTTGGCTGTGGCCCCCCAGATCCCACTGCTGCGAACCAAAGCTGTGAATCATTGCTATACTATTTAGCTCAGAGTCTTTGCAGCATATCAACACCCAAGAACATTCCAGAAGAGCCTCGAATTTACCAGAATAGTAAGGCTTTCTCTTCGGTCTCTCCTGAAACTTCCATATCAACACTTCAAAAAATGCAATCCAACACCAATCCAGCCATCGACACGCGCGTGCCGTATCGTACAGGATGGCCAATCCTTCCCGTTCTTCCGGTAGAAGAATCCCATGCGGAAATAACCACCTATTTTCGCAACCCAGGATCCGTAGAATTGGAGATCTGCTCCATTCTGAAAAAACACTCGTTGAACCACCATGATTTCGGGCTATGCCACCGTCTGAACAAAGGCGTCCCACTGGACGGGCAGAGACCAACCATGCGCATTATTTCCGAAAAGGAGACAGACAGCAAGGAGGCAAGAATCAAGGCAGTTGAAGAGATCAAGTGTCTCTTTGAACGAGAGAACGCAGACGTCGCGGTCGAAATTATCCTCAGTGAAGCGTACGTGGGTTTCGACACAGACATCATACTTTCGACCGAACGGGATCTAATCCTGCAATGGAAGAGTCTTTGGACGAAGATCGAAAAAACGATTGCGATTCACGATTATTTGACTCTGGACCTCGTCCGCCGTGGAGAACAAAATCGTCCCACTTTTCTCATCGGAGCTCGAGACGCGAATGACGAATCGTGGTGGTCCACCACACTCCCCATGCTACGGAAAATGGTGCCTGCAGATATAGATCTGGAACTCTGCTTCTTGGACTCGGTCGAATTGACTGGTAGCGCGCGCCGTGACTCTGTGGATGATTGTTCTTACCTGTCCATCGGGGCATCGTGCGGGAATAGAGGTGGGACGCGTGCCGGAACGCTGGGCGGATTTGTGGAGCTAGAAAGAGATGGCAGGCCCTTGGGGCAATTTGGGGTCTCAAATTGCCATGTATTGGGCAAGGGCATTATACAAGGTGTATCAGACCTGTCAGTCGTCAGTCCTGCCGATAAGGATCACAACAAAGCGGTCAGTGACGCACAGCTTGATATCGACAAGAAGTACGATCGTATCAAAGACCTCATCAAGACAATAACGGATATTCCAAGCAAAATTCCTCTGTTAGAACTCCAATTGGACCGTCTACATCTGCGCATGCGTGATGCAATGACGGTACTGCATCTAAACAGGAGGATTGGAGATCTCTTTGCCTGGCAAATGCAGACAACTAAGAACGATACCTTCGACGAAAACTATCGTAAATTGCTTGAGTCGGATTCCATGCACGACGATACATACCGCTGGGCGCTTGACTGGTGTCTGGTTCGGTTGGGAATGCCACAGGAGCGGTGTATCGACAACAAAGCTCTCATGCCTGATGAGAATGGGAAATTGGGAATCTATGCTCCAGTAACCGAATACTGCGAGATGGATCCCACAGAGAATTACGATGTCGTGAAGTATGGAAGGACTTCAGGCCGCACTCTGGGTGTCGTATCTGCAGTCCCGTCGGTAGTGAGGCTGACCGCGAATACAACGGACAAATTCGGTGCACCGACTTTGTGTCGCAGCATTGTAGGCAACAAACGCCACACAAATCTGTTCCTAGAGCCCGGTGATTCGGGCTCGCTGGTGCTGCTGAATCGGAGAGGCAAGCGAAACGCGCAGATCGTTGGACTCGGGTTCGGCCGCAACTACCAGATATCGTACATGCAGCCCATGGACCTAGTGTTGCGTGCGATGGAGAAAAAGACCGGGGCCAAGGTTACTATGCCTACGTTTGCAGGTCTCGCTACATCATCTCAGGATCAAAGAAGGCCAGCAAATTCAAAGGCTTAGACCATCTACGCTGGGAGTCTCTTCTTTTATGCAATGAAGAGCACAATACATGACTGGCAAAATAGACTGATAGATTTCCTTTGACCGACTCGTACAAACAGCCATTATGTATTTATCGATATAGAAAGAAATTTGTTTTGCAATGACATGGCAGGATAGAATCCATTAACATTCTTCAAGTTTCTTAGATGAACAATGATAGCACTCTGTCTAGTGAGAAAAACAACGAACATTATACACCCTCTTCTTCTCGGGGAGCGGCGCACTTGGCTTCAGTCCGTCCAAGAATTCCGGATACAGATACCACGCCAGGTCTCTCTCTTCGAGCTGGTTGACGCTCCACCCGTTGCCCAAAAACGACAATTGGTTGACGCGTCCCTTTCCCCCGCCCGCAACAGTCCCATCAGCATCTCTATAGACATAATCGAAGTCCTCCCACCTCGGACTCCTCATACACTCGATCTGGTGCTGCGTGCTCCCCGGCCAGAGCCCCACCACGGCTCCGGTCTTCTTGCTCTTGTACCAACTGTTGCACTCCTCCGCGAAGACCGTCTTGGCAAAATACGCATCGACGTACTCTGTGAAGTCGTCCTCACGGTCCTGCTTCACGACCATGGACGCGATATTCTCTTTCTGGATCTTCCGAACGGCCTTGACGATGTAGTCGCCGACGCATTCGATCATCATCGTCAGCGAGCCGGACCCGATCGCTGCGTTGGGGCCCAGCATCGTGAACATGTTGGGGAACCCGGCTAAGCTGTGCGAGAGATACGTCGTCGCGCGGTCGTCCCATTTCCTGCGCATGGAAAGGCCGTCGATGCCCGTGACTTCGAACGGCGGGGGCGCGGAGGAATGGAAGCCCGTCGCGCACACGAGGGCATCGACTTCGTGGGTCTCGCCGTCATCGGTGTGGAGGGCCGATTCCGAGATGCTCGTTATTTTCGAAGTGACGAACGCGACGTTGGGCTGCGTAAGCGCCTCCAGATATCCGGGTCCTGGCGTCAATCTCCTGCAGCCGGGGGAGAACGACGGGACGAGCGCTTCGAAGATGTGAGGTTTCGTCGCGAGGTGCTTCTTCATGTGCTCCCTGAACATCTGCTTCCCGCCGAGATTCAAGGGCGTGCCTCGGATCGTCACGCCGTGGATGCCGTTCCCGTCTTCCTCGACCGCCAGGCGGAATTTGTGGTAGTACTCTGGGTCGGACGCGAACTTCTCCCGCATGGCCTGTGGTATGTCGAATCCTTCGAACCCGTGCTTCTCCCAGAGATGCGAACCAAAAGGCGGCGATATCCATGTCTTGCTTCGTGCGAATGTCGTGATGTGAGTGCCGGGGAGCCGTTGCAGCGATGGAACAATCTGTATGGCAGATGAGCCGGAGCCTATGACACCGATGCGTTTGTTGCTGAAATCGTATCTGCGATGCAATCAGCGTCAATCCTCTTTCCATAGTGACATGCACCTACTTCTCGTTCCACCTCGCCGAATGCATCAACTCCCCCTTGAACGTCTCCAACCCTTCGATCTCGGGCCAGGCAGGATTGTTCAGGTTCCCTCTGGCGCAGATTAATACATGAGCCGTATCATCCATGGTCTCTCCGGTTTGGAGGTTCTTGACCTTGACGTGCCACTTTGCGCTCGCCTCGTCCCATCGACAGTCGGTGATTTCGTGGCTCAACTTGATGAATCGATCTGCGGAGTACTTCTTGGAGACGCCCTCGAGATATGCTTGGATCTCTCTCGCAGGTGCATACAGCGATGACCAGTTGTAGTTTGGTTCGAACGAATACTGGTAAGAGTGTGCTGGCCGGATTCAGAATTCATGCATTCAAAATTAACGATACCTGACAAGATCTGTCTGCTTACCAGGTATATCGCATGCGCAGCCTAGATATCTAGTAAACATCAGCGGTGATCTTATCTGGCCCACCTTTGGCAGATACGTCCTTCGAGGCGCCTACCTATTCTCGTACCATGTCCCGCCCACTCCAGCATTCTTCTCGTATATCACCAGCTCGACGTTTCTGAGCTTCTCGGGTATCCTAATCCCGCAGTATATACCAGAGTATCCTGCGCCAATCACGATGACCTTCAATGGGCGAGTATTTTCTATCGGCGCATCGCGCAGCGCAAAGGGAGAAGAACCGACAAATCCATTCGTCGTGGCATTCACGCGGTCATGTCGCAGATCTTCGGGGAGGTTAGGCACGGCAGACATGGTGACGTTTAGATGTGACACGGGGGTTGGACTCGCTACGAGGAGAGAAAGACAGTACAGCTATTCTTTTCCCAACAGCTAATTAGACTTTACAAGGCTATATGTACACTCGAATACAAGAAGGAACCTCGGCGCACAGGGGAGGTCAATCGCTTATTTAAAAAGGTTGCAAGCCTGCATTATGTGCGAGTGTCAGGCAGGTCTTGCTTTTCCCTACCAGGCCTGCAACAGCTGGGATGCTGGCCATCTACACAAGTGCCGAACGAAGTGTACGGCAATAGCGCGGTTAGAAGGAGATTCATGGCAAGCGAGCGGACACCAAAGGTTAGGGGAAGGACGTAAACGTTTTGGCAATGACGAGCCACTTGGGACCGGTAGACGACGACGACTCCTCCATCGGGAGAAGGCGTCTCCGCAATTTAGCATGCGCGCCACATGGTAGATACTCCGCACATGGGATGATTGCCCCGCATTGACCATACACGTGACCCGAGACCAGGATAACGAGCGGAATGGTATCCGCACAGTACGAGCACTGACTGGACGACCTCGCCGTTTCTCGATGGTGAATCGGCAATCGTCACCATGTGTCGGTGGATGGTGGTCGAAACCATTGGCCGTAGCTGGAAGTCCGAATTGTGTAGTTATCGGATTGGCAGCTTCGTCAGTGCGATTACCTGGGAATTGATATGACCGCAATCTGTACATAGTTAGTTCACTGCCGAGACGTGTCTTCGCAGGTACGACTTACCTGGTTTCCGAGGGCGATCGACAGGCTGGTTCCATCAGGGTTCCACCCAAGGCTGAAATCGCCGTCCACGCTGCCGTTCCACTGATCGTCATTTACATCCTGCGCCCGCCATGTGGCCAAGGGCACATCTCGCTTCTGCAGATCCCATACCGTCACTGCATCAGGGCCAGCGGCAGCCAGAAGCTTCCCATCTGGCGAGTAGGCGATGCTGTGCGCGGGAGATTCGTCCACCATGACCAGGCGTTTGAGACACTTGAATGGCTGGTTTGCGTCCCAGATTCGCACCGACCCGGAAGCGGTACATGTTGCCAAGTGGACGACTGGTGAAGGAGATGGCGGATACTCGATCGAGGATATGCCGAGGGCGTTTGGTTTCGTTGAAGATTGAAAGTCGATGTCGGTAAGGAATGGATCTGGATACTCTTGTACCTGCAGGTTCCCTGGGTCGCTTGGGTGCAGAATGCCGAGACAATACCTCTGGCCGTCGACTCCCATGATCGCGACGATGCCGGAAGAAGGCTCAAACTTGATCTTCTCCCACGTGATGCGCGTTTCGATGGTCCGTTGACACGTCAATGACTCGCCGATTTCGTAGACTTGCAGTATATCGATACCGCAGACGACAAAGGTAGAGTCGCTGGTCCAAACGGCTTCGTAGATGGCCGTTTCCGTGAAGGTGGTCCATGCCGGAATCTGTTCATCGCCGGGGTTCTTCCAGATCTTGATAGACCCCTTCTTGCCGTCGCTTGAAATGGCCAAGAGCAGCTGCTTCGCTTCGTTCCACCTCAACGTTATGACCAGGCCTGCAGTCGAAGAAACAACCTGGTAGTCCGAACCGCCGTCGACGAGTTTGAGCAGTTTGTCGGCCTTCATGACTTCGCCAATCTCGTTGACGAGCTCCTCCCGGGCGGACACCGTCATTTCGCCGTGGGAATTCCAGCAGACAGCGGTGATTTCGAAGCTAGTAAGCGGCAAGGGAATGTCCATTATTTTAGGAGACCCTTTCGACTCTGCGTCCGTGGGCTGGTTAATCAGATGCAGGCGGAGCAGCGACTTGCCTGCTGCGACGAGCAGAGGCGCAGATGGAGGGCCCCACAGGGTCTGGGTGACCAGTTTCTCTTGCTCCTTGACGGTGCACGTGAAGAGGGTATCCGAGGCCAGCTGTATTATCGGTTCCGTCTGCTCGCCAATGCTATTTCCGATGCTCAACGTGGATATGGGCAGCTCGGCGACGGTGGGCGATTCTGCCTCCGACGCCATCGCCTCGGACTCGGCGCGCACGCTATTCGTGACGTGGGTGCTCCCGTTCTGGTCAATCTCCATAGCCTCGCCATTGACCTGATGATTCATCCTAGAATCGATGCCGTTGACCTTTCCTTTCTTCTTGCGAGACTGCTTCTTGGACGGCGGCGGCTCCTGCACGACGATCGTCCCGGGTCCATTCGCCTCTTCGGCAAGTTCGTGGGCCGGAATGCCTTTGTCCAGTGTGAGTAGGGTGCCGTTGCGGACAGAGTAGGGTCGCCCATGGTCGCGCCCAAAGTTATACCGATGGTGGCCCTGCTAGAGTCAGAGATTGTCGCTGTCAGAAATGGGTGGCCACTGAGCGCACATTGCCAGCCTCCGCCTGGAGCTTGTCAAACCACAGACCGTCCTGGAGCAGATTTATAAGAGTGTGCTGCGAGACATTCTTCGCGAAGGGCAGGCTCTCGGGGTCCCGGTTCCAGCATCGCGACAGCTGGAGAGCGGCGTTTCCGTATCCTGGCGATGATGAGCGATGCGCCGCAGTAGAAGGGAACGGGCCATGGCTTACCTGCTTCCTGCAAATATCTCCAGACAAGGTAGTTCACCACATTGGATGAGAGTGCTTCAACTGTCATGGCGCATGGTCGCCGCACGGAACGCGCGCGATCGTTGGTGACGGGAGGAGAGGAGTGGGAGGTGAAGCAGATTGGGGTTGGCGATCCGCGTGTACGATGAACAATGCGCAGATGGGTGGGCAGAGTGGTGATTGTGGGGAATCGCGGCAGTAGAGAGGAGATGGTAGACGGAGGACGTCGTTCGTCCAAGAGAAGAACAAGAACCAAGCGTCGACGGTGGACGGTGGACGGACGTGAGCGTGGATGCTCGGATGGAAAGGGAATGGTGCCTTTCCTGTTCGCGCTAGCCGGCGGGATCGACGCCACGACCAGTAAAAAGGCCGCGCCAGTACGAATACGAGGAACGGATGCCAAGACCATGCACCTCTCTTCCTCGCTCCGGCTCTCTCTTAATACATTCCTACATATCTATCAACTACTACACTTCACAGCTTCCGGTGACAGTCCAGGTGGAAAGGGAACCGCTTGCGACAAGCTCCGACATACAGCAAACAGGTCCAACTTTATCTCCAGGTCCAGGCAAACTCCACACATCGGCCCGTTCTCGGGTTCTTCCTACCTCAACAACACCCCGCCCAACGACACTGTCTTTCTTCATTTTCGAGGCTGAATAGTCCACTTCGTCCCACGCCATGGCACGCATAAATCTTCCGCCGTTGACGCGCAGCCTGCTCGCCTCCGTCATCGTCTTCACCATCTTCAATGCTGTATTGCGCCCACAGACCAGCTGGCTCGAGAAGGCCGAGAAGCCGTTGGTGAGCGTGGGCGATGGTGTGCCCTACCTGGCCATTGTCCCGGGCGTCTCCATCATATACCCCTGGGTGTTCTTGCTGGCCACGGCAGTGGAACAGAACCTGCTGGGACTTCTAGTGACCGGACTCACCGTCTTCTACGGAGGACGATATCTGGAACGCGCGTGGGGTTCCACCGAGTTTACGAAATTCATTCTCTTCGTGGCCCTGATACCCAACATCCTGAGCTTCCTGCTCTATGTCTTTGGCTATGTCCTGTCCAGGAATTCGAACACTCTGTATGTATACTTCCACAGGTTTTCCATTTCGAGATGAATCGCTAACGAGAATGATCATTCAGAAATACCACCATATCTGGAGGCATCGCCATCCAAGCCGGGTTCCTCGTCTCCTTCAAGCAACTCGTTCCCGAACACACCGTCTCCATCGCCAAAGGTCTCGTCCGCATGCGCGTTAAACATTTCCCAGCAATCTTCCTCCTCGCCAACACCATCTCCGGCATCGCATTGGGCACAGAGACAGCCATGTTCCTGGCCTGGTTCGGGTTCTTCACTGCCTGGGTGTACCTCCGTTTCTACCGGATCAGCCCTTCCATGTCTTCCGCCAGCACCGGAGACGGCTCCGTGATCAAGGGCGACGCATCAGACACCTTCTCCTTTGCTCACTTCTTCCCCGAACCCATCCAGACGCCCGTCGGACAGCTGGGAGACCAGGTCTACAACACCCTGACTGCGTTGAGTGTGTGCACGCCCTTCTCGGCCGAGGACATCGACGCTGGAAACGAGCAGGCGAGCGCACGCGCGGAAGGGGGTCTTCCCAGCATCATGAACCCCAACAGCCGGGGAGGAAAGGGTGGAGCGACTCGGGCAGAGGCGGAAAGGCGACGGGCACTCGCTCTCAAAGCGCTGGACCAACGGTTGCATGCTGCGGCTGCTCGGGGCCCTGCACCTACGCCCGCGGCGCCCGCAGCCACGGCCCCGTCCGCCATTCTCGGAGAGACAAATTACGAACCTGAACGACATGACGAACCGGTGAAGTCGGCGTCATGAGATAGCACGGCCAATGTACCATCTACCAGTAATCCTGAAAGGGCAGGATGTTTTTCCCCTACTTAACGACAGGGTTGGGCGTGAATCATTAGCATATGGCGCCAAGCCGGATCATCGTTTGGACTGAGTTACGCAGAGATACCACTTATTTGACTCGCCTTTGTATTTTGTATATTGATCCTCTCTTCCATAGACACGAAACAGAGCACGAAGCGATTTGAAAATATAGTTCCTTTCCCGTACCACTCCATCGCCTTTGCACTGCCATTAGCCGGCGCTCTGCGCAGTTCTTCCCAGCCTAATGACGTATCCGGCACTCTTGGGTGTTACATGCAAGACAACTGACAGCTTCGGCCGTTGCACAATGCTGGAAACCCTTCCCGTCCCCAGGTTTAGGCGGTCGTAATCCGGAGACGAAAACCTCGATGCGACGTTTGAACGACCGTGGCTTGAGACGGAACTTTGATTTTGTTGCTTGTATTCACGCTCATCGGTCTCTCCGCCTTTGCCATTATGTCGTTGGCTCTGCAGGCCTTTTTAGTCGATCCCGCCAAGGTATTGTGGCCACTCTCATTGCATTGAGGTTGTGCGACCAAGGCACACAAATCGACCATCGCATCCCTTACCAGTATCTGGTTACCAGCACGACACAACAAAACAAACCGGTTCCCACCACAAAACAATCACTTGACCGGATGAGGACTGGATGTACCGCGCCTTGCTTTCATACAATGTCTACGACAGGTCTCAGATGCATATAAAGAGGAGGCAAGATCATGGCATTCCGAACTTCCCAACCACCGCACACTTCTATTAAAGTGGTCCTATCCATTGAGTGAGCTCGCACATCGATCCATCTCTATCAATTTAGTCGTTCACAATGATTTGCGCAATCACAATCATCTATCTTTTCCTCTCCGCGGTCGCCATCATTGCCGCTCCCAATCCAAGGCCTCACCGCCAGGACGATCCTACAACATTACTCTCCTCCCTCAAACCGACCACAGTCCCAGGAACAACCTGGGCTGGGCCAGGAACTGGAGTCCCCTCGGTGACGGGAACTACCGTGGCGCTGCCTTCAGCCTCGCCAAGCATATCGGCAACGGAGACGACTGTGGCCTCCCCTTCGGCCTCGCCAAGCCCAGTGCTAGGGGAAAAAGCGGGTGTACGTTAATTCTCGTCCTGTTCAGCTTTCCATCGAAATCAACACTTACCGATCTGTTAGGTGTTTGCGTGTGAGCACGTTGTATGGGGTGGCAAGTGCCAGCTATTCAACAATCCCATCGGCGGGGCCCCGGAGCAGTGCACCGTGATTCCTGAAGATTTCAAGATCTCTTCTGTCGGGCCTGACAAGGGATGGAAGTGTCTGTTCTACAAGTAAGTCATGCCTCCCTCCTCCGCGTACAGCGCGGGTATCCTTGAGGCTGATCATGTTTAAGATCTGCAATCTGCCGCGATGTCGCATCGCCCCCTTCGGGGATCCTGACACTCACGTGGCCTGGTAACGACCGCTTGACAGAAGCCAACGACGCGAATGGCGTAACTTGGAATGACAATATCAGAAGCTATCAATGTTTCAAGGAGACTGCCGAGTAGCTACTGTAGCATTCTAGCTGCATACGACCATTATCTGGGTAGCTCGGTCACCGCATTGCTAGAGTAAATGGACCGCGAATCAGGCTGGTCATTGAAAGAATACAGAAGGATTAGTATATACCAACTTTATAGTTATATTCAACCAATAATGAGGGACATTGCAATAAGAGCACAAGTGCCGAAACGTGACTGTCCTCTTGTACTCCAGTCCCGTCAAGAACTCCAGAGTATTGACGTAACGTAAGACCGATCCACATTTGACATCGTGATGGTCACACCCAAGCTTCTCTTACGGCCGTGTCTACTGTGAAGTCACCACAAAGTCGTCGTTGGTACGAACTGAAGTCGTCTCAAGCCCAAAATAGTATACAACTAGCGGCATCTCGTTCCGCGACCTATCAATTGAAGACTCTCTCCATTGGCTACGGCAATGCATCAACGTTTAACCGTCTGGCTGCACACTTTGGCCGCGCGTTGTTGCATGATGGGAATCGGCAGGGCGCTGCAACACTTCCTCAATGGTCAGACTGTGCACAGCGCATTTGATTATTCTCTACAATCCTTCCGTACCTGACGGAACAGAATTGTACAACGCTGTGCCGGAAAGGGTAGCAATATGGCGTCGCTAGGGGTGGGACCGCAACGACATAGATGACAAAGCTACGTTTCAGGTATAGCGCAGCTCAGCCTCTTTGACTATACGCGTTGCACTTCAGCCAACTACGCTCGACAATGACGTTCGAAGCATGTTCGGTTTAAAAGGGAAAGCCTTAGGATAGTTTCTTGACCAGCCATGCCACTTGCTGCTTCCTATAACACATCTCCATGATGGGACGAAGGACTCTCCAGGAGCTCGTCCAAGACGCAGGAATCAATCCTGTCCAGACTCGCCAGCCTTGCCTCCCAGCGCCAACCCAGCCTGCCATCATCGCCAGCGAGGAGGACCACAGTCACGCTCGGAATCTGCTCGTGGAGCAGAGGCGCAATGACCCAGGCTACAAGGAGCCCGGGAAGCAATTGAAAAGAATTTTCCGATCCTCCAAGACGAACGAGAAGCTGCAGGACGTTGGTCAATGGGAATTCACCCAGCACGAACTCGACCAGGCCCTGTCGGCAGTAATCGATAAGCAGACGGCGAGCGTGGGCCTCGTTCAAGCTTTCATTAGCCTGGGTGCCAAGGTGAATTTCGTCGAGCCTGCTGACCCGAAGAACAAGATTGGGAAGCAGCCGACTGTCTCGAACATCTCTGCTCGAAGGAGGAGTACGGTGTTGCAGAGGGCTGCCACGCTGAGGAAGGCCGATTCTGTGAGTCTGCTGGCGAGCTCTGGTGCGGATCAGACTACGCTCGACGAGGCATTGCGAGCAGCGCTTGCGGCGAACGACCATTCGTGTGTACAGGAGTTGCTCCGCCATGGAGCGAATGTCAACGTCATCCCGCAGGCACTCGCAGATGCAGTTCGATCAAACGACCAGAATCTCGTGAGACTGCTTTTGAGGGCACCGAAGGCATTGAGACCTGAGGTCATATCGTCGTGTCTCCCAGCTGCAGTCCAAGCGAAGAGTGAAAACGTGCTGTCGCTGCTCACGAGCTATGGCGCCGACCCAAACTTCAACGAGGCCAGCGCCTTGAAGATGGCAATCTCAGCACGCGAGTACCGCCTGGCTATCATTCTAGTTGCGGGGCCAATTCGTATGATGCCAGCGTCTCTGCAATACGCTCTCGATCCCGCGTTGCGAGCACCGACTGTGCAAGAAATACATCAATTCATTCAGCTACTATTAACTTGCGGCTTGCCATCCAACACTTCAGGACTCCCCGGTCTCCTGATCTCGGCTTGCAAGCGGAACGACACCCCACTCGCGCATTTACTGCTCGAGCACGGAGTCCCAACGTCAGTGAACGAAGCCGAATGTCTTCGTTGCGCCATCTCCAACGCGAACTGGCCACTGGTCGATGCCATCTTGAGAACGCCAGTCTCGTCCTCCCAAGCATCTGCAGCACTCGCAGCCCTACCAGACAGCATCCCCAAACACGAAAGATCACGCATCGTGGGCGCCCTACTACAAAAGGGCGCCAACGGGCCTCCACTGGGTCGATGGCTCGTCAAAGCCGTTGAAGAAGCCGACGCCGAACTTACAGATCTCCTCCTCCACGCTGGAGCTCCCCTTGCATCGGACAACAACCGAGCGTTACAACTAGCTGTGATGAGGAAAGACTCCGCAAGCCTCCAACGCCTCCTCGGCGCAAAGCCGTCTCCCGAATCCCTCTCCGCCCTGTTTCCCCTCCTCCGCCAGGGACACTCGCCCAAGGAACGGCTGGAGACCACGCGCTTGCTGCTTGAGCATGGAGCTCGCGGAAAGCAAGTCGACGTCGCGCTGCTGAAGGCAGTGGAAGACGTATCGAACACGCGGGACCTCCGCCTGATCACGGAGCTGGTCCGCTCCGGTGCAGATGTCAACCACGACAGTGGGAAATGCATCCACCTGGCAGCCTCTCAAGGCGACGTCCCCATCCTCCAGCTGCTCTACAAGGCTAAGCCGTCACTCGCAACGACCTCATCTGCACTTCCAAAGGCATTCAACGCCAATCGCAGACGCCGGGCCGAGACGTCCAAGGTCCTCGACATCCTCCTCGCGAACGGGGTGGAGGAGAAGTCGGGCAGTGAGACTGTTTGCATAGCAGTGCAGGGAGGACCCGAGAACCTCGACATCATCACCCGACTGATTGGCGCCGACAAACGACTCCTGGGCCCGGCTTTCGATGGCGCCATCCAACTCGACGATGCACGTGCAAAGGCATCAGTATTGAGACACCTCCTGGGCATGGGGATATCTCAGGTCGTTCTCGACGAAGCTCTCATCTCAGAGTCGGAGAGAGCTGTCGGTGCCAGAGGCGATGCGTCCACGTTGGAACTGCTGCTCGAGAAAGGCGCTTCGGTAGATTATAAGCAGGGCATGGCTCTGTGTACAGTGGTGGCGTCAGGGTCTAGTGGACTAACGAAGCTTCTGTTGGATTCTAAGAATAAAGTGTCACCCCAGACTGTCTCAGTGGCTTTTGACAGATTGATCGATGGGTTTGGTAACTTCAGGACCTCTATGGACCTGGGTGGTATAGTAGATATCGTACAGAGCTTGCTCGTGCAAGGGGTAAGCAAGGACAGCATCGACTCGGCGCTTCCAAAGACAATCACTATGAGGAAACACCACGCTGGCTTCGTCGATATCATCAAACTATTGCTAGACTACGGGGCCGATCCAAACCATGACGAGTCAGCCTCCTTCCTCATGGCTGCGAAGAGCGAAGACCTCGGCCTCTTCACCAGTCTATTGGCCTATACGCCTGACTTTGCCACTCTAATTCCACTGCTCGCTAGCTCTAACCTCAGAGAGGACGTGCTGGCCGGCACGCTTCAGGCATGCTTCGAGAATGGATGCACGTCGGACCACCTCGAAGTGTCTCCCAGTAAGCAAAAGGCCACTCGAGCACCGCTGTGCTCCATCATAGAAGACTTCCCACGCTCCGAACGCCTCGTGAAAGTCCTGCTGGACCACGGGTTCAACCCTGACGTGACCACGGAAGGCACTGTTGATCCAAGCGTAGGGGCTGAGACTGTGACGGCTCTCGTCTTCGCGCTGGCGCTACCGCAGAAGAAGGTGGCCAGCTCGGTGATCCTTGCCCTTATCCATGCGGGAGCGTCTCCCTCCAGAGCATCTTCCGTCTCCGAGGTCTCTCCCATCTCACTGGCTGCCCGCGAGGGGCGTGGGGATATTGTTGAAGAACTGTTGAACAGGGGCGCTGACGCCTCGGCACGGGACAAGTGGAATCGATCAGCGCTGTTTTACGCCAGCAGCACCTCCGTCCTGCCCACTGTCCAATTACTAGCTGCGTCTGCTCTTCGAGATGATGGCAGCCTGCAGGAGGCCGCGAGATGCCTGCAGTTGGAAGCTGCAACGGCCCTCGTCAAGCAAGGTCACAAGCCCAACTTTCCGTCACGGCTTCACCGCGGGCGCACCGCCCTAGGGGAGCTCTGCCTCAATGCAGAGATCTCCAGCGGTGGCCAACGAAGCAGGGCCCGTCAGTTGATTAGGCTATTCCTCGACCACGGGGCCAATCCGTACTTCAAGGCCCGGAACGAGAGATCTGCGCTCGTCCTGGCCCTGGACAACGTCCACGACAGCCTGGAGGTCACCGAGGCACTGCTCGAGACCGAGGTGTGCGAGGACATCAACAACGAGAAACACATGTTCTGTGACGAAAAGGGGCTCTGGTACTCCCCGATCAAGTACGTCGAGCTCGTGCCGTCCCACAGCAGGACGCAGCATAGGCAGGCGCTGCTGGAGCTGCTCCAGGACAAAGGCTGCGAGCCCAAATATTACTCTGAGCACGCCGAGCAGCCCAGTGGAGCCGTGGGGATGCCTGCGGCCATCCAGAAGCTGGCCGATCGGCAGAAGGAGCACGAACTCAGCATGAAGCTGGCGAACGAATCCAACGAGCACGCTCGAATGCTCGCCGAGACTAATCACAGGGATATGCTCCGCCGCGAGCGAGAGCAGCAGGAATTCCAGCAGGCCGCCGCCGTCCAGTCGCAGAGCCACTGGCAGACGCTCGAGCAGCAGAAGCACGACTTCGAGATGGAGCGCGTGCGCCAGGCCGAGCGAATGAAGCGCTCCGAGAAGGTTGCGTGGCACAACCTCATGGTGGAGCAGGAGCGCAACACTGCCGCTGAGCGCCTGGCGATTGAGGACCGCAAGGCCAGCGCGCAGTTCGCCCACGAGCAGAGGCTGATCAAGGAGCGGCAGTCAGAGACCGAGCACAGGGCGAACGTGGAGCGGAGAGCGCTGAAGGAAAAGGAGGATCTGTACGAGAGGAACATGAAGAGGCAGAAGGAAATCACGCAGCGGTTGGATGAGAGTGCCCAACTGCATGCCAGACTGAGGCAGGAGAGGCCTGCAATCGATGGCCCCCAGCAGTGGGGAACCGTAGATTGAGCACATTGTTGAGGCGGGCGAAATCCGTACTGTAGATACATACCCCTCCCATCGTCGCCGTTCGGGCGACGTGGTGTTCTTTTTTCTTTTTCTGCTCGATTTCGGTCTCTGGTCGTTGGATGCAATAGATCATAGCAGTGGGACGCAGTGCATAGGCCCCTGTTTTCGAACCAGCATTTCGGTTGCAATAACGACTTTTGAATTAGTAACATTTTAGTTTTCTCTGGAGTATGCTCGCCTAGAATGGGTATTTACAGACTTTGCCGCTGCTCCTCGCTGAGCCCCAAGTTGCCCTTTGTTCATTCTGCCGCCAATGCCGTGGCAGATGCAGATCGCTGGATACGGCAATACGCAATATTACCAAAGAGAGAAAGAAAAAATGTTCAGACTGTCTCGCTCCTGACGATTACGAACTGTGCATGCAAGCTCGACGAATCCAGAGGACGCGATTTGTCTCGGTTTTTCGGCCCTATTCCGCAGGTGAATGGCAATGATTGAACCGCTGCAACCGCTGCACATTAGGTGTAGACGTACCGAATCTCCAATCTCTCGATTCCATGTGATTGGCAATAGTGTCAGAATCAAGATATCTGGAGATACGGCGAGCGATGGATGGTAAGCGAAACTCAAATCGCGAGCGATACTTGCCAATTACAAGAAAACTTGCGAGAAACTTGCAAGCCGTGTCTGAAGATCTCCCAGAGTCGAGGAATACGCAATCAGCGATTCCATGCATCGTGGTAAAACGCTCATTCCCGTCTTTCTGGTCGTCCGTCCGCGAATGAGGGGCCTCATTTTCAAGCAGACGAGCGGCGCACCGAGGAAGCGACATTATCGCCAGCTGCCTCCAATCTTCCCAGTTGATCTTTTTCCTCGTACATCCCACTAAACGACCTCGTACCAGTACATCCCGCTCACCGCATCCTTTGACCATTACCACCATTCCATTGCTGGCAGCTGGTAAGTCCTCGTCGATGTACGAGTTGATTACCGTCCCCGCTCAAAGCGAGTATCCGCTGGATGATAATGATGATGGTCGATCGGGCGTGTGTGTGTGAAGAATCAGAATGTCGTACCATGTCGGTATGTTGTTCTGGTACTCGCTGCAATGTTGGTTATCTAGACTGGTCGAACTAGTGTTTTGAGCGAATACGCCGTAATCTGCAAACCTGCGATCATTGGCATTACCACATTGCAGTACATTGCAGCATGTCCAATTCTCGTTTGGGATGCATGGGCATTATTGCTTTGCGACGGGTATGGGATTGGGAATATCCGTTCTTCCGACGAACCAGGGCCTCGGGGCCGAAGCTACCAGCAGTGGGAATCGTACGAGCCAATGCGATCCAGACGCTCCAGGTCAAGCAAAAGAGTGCAGGGGACTTCGGGAGTCCGTTCGAGTCTGCCAGTCTGCCAGTCTGCCTGCACCTCTGAGCATACTGAATCAAGGTCGAGGCCAATGTGGAGTACAACGGAGACGGAGTCCTGCTTGGCCCGGCCTTCTCGCGAAAGACTACTGGCTAAACCGTACTCGTCTCTAGCTCTCATTCTGTCGCTGTTTGATCATCTCGTCGACCAACTACTTCATCCAGCATATGCTTGTTCTAGAAAGAAAGATTGTCAGCTCCGTCTTCCATTGTAATTGCGCTACACGCAGATTGCAGCATCTTGGGGATCCTCCCAGACTCCAGTGCTACGACCAATGCGCGATAGGGAGACAGTATGGGCCCGTCTCGAATCTCGACATCGATGGCCTGGTGGAAGGGATCGTAGACCAAGTTGCAAAGCGACCTATCCGCCTATTCGGTGACTTACCTGTCGTAAGATGACCCTCATGGCCGACCCGCGCCTGTCGCATCATCGCAGCACGTTCAGGATCGATTAAACGCCTGCGACGTTGGTTGTTGTGAGATCATGGGGACGATCATTCCTCATTGTAGTTCGTTCGCAATGTACTCCGTAGATGATCTAGAGATTTACCATAACAAACAATCTCTAACCACCATCCATGCCTGTGGAGACGTCGACGAACAATCAAGGGCTTTGGTTAGTCGTGCGCGAGATGCAGAGTCGCGAGCCTTAATAACAGAATGCACGGAATGAACTAGGGATCCCTCTATCTAATTCTGGGTATGATACACGATCGAGCAGTTGTGCTTTTTCTTCCTCAGCACGAGGTCCAATGCTCACGCCATTCTCACACATGGTGGTGCTTGTGCCTTCGGAGGGCACCGCGCATCGCCAAATCGCCCACCCGGAAAAGGACCAGAACCACGTGCACTGCAGAATTGGGTAATGCACGAGAACAACAAACAATAAAAGCAATAGAGGGCACCTCGGATCAGACCGGGTTGGGGAGCAGAACCAGCAGAATCTTCCTCAGCCCTGTGGGAAATCGCATGTCGCAGGCCTTTGCAGCATCCGCGTTCCGCCCGCGACGGAGGACCCCGTCCGGAGATCTCTATAGAGCACAATGACTTACCTACCTAGGTACACCGTACCTATTATCGAACAGACAGAGCCTGCGCAGAGTCTTGGCCATATCACCCCATCATCTGGTTGACAGCGGCACGATTCAATACGAGAATAGGATCCCATCGATCTAAACGGGCCTGACTCATCATTAGGTGCCTCGAAATTCCATCTTCCTCCCTCGCACACGAACGAAAACGTACGTTGTCCATGTGTCTGTAGGATTGCGACAAAGACTGGCCTTCGCCGCAAACAGCCAGTGTTTCCCTTAGCTCCAGGGAGTTGGAGGGGGAGGGGGTGAGACGCAGAGACAAAGAATTTTTCCATCCTGCGCTCTGTGTGGGAAACAATACGCGACTATTCCCAGAGTCGTCTTGGGATTCGCGCAAGGCACGAATGGATCAGCCTGCAGCGGCCGCGACGGTGCAGGTCGACAGTTGCCAATCGATCCTCAATGCGTGTCTTCCATTGCCATTTGCACAGTGCAGAGTCTTACAGAACGAGCAAAACGATCCGACTTGGGAAGCATCCATCCAGGAAGGGCCTTGCACGGCCAGAGGGCTAGCCCCCGACCACGTGGAATGGATCGAGACACAGAAGGCTTTGGCGAGCACGCTTTTCCGTGGAGGAAGACAACGCTGTGGCTTGTGGTTGTCCCCTGCGCTGCCCTGCGCTGCCAGTGCCAGTACCGTATATACCGGTACGGGCTTCTGGGGCGAGCAGGCGTCCACTCGTCTTTTCGGTCGCTCGGATGAATGGCATTGCAGATTTTCTTGTGGACCCTGAATCTGTCTCCCTGGTAGACGCTCGTAACGCTCCGACATGTTGAATTTAAAAATATCGCACCAATTGCATACAACTCGTATTGGCAGTATGCGTGCCAGGGGAGATGGAGATGGATGGAGACTCCAGGCCAGACCTGCTGTCGAGCCCGTAAACGCAGTCCAACTGCAGTTCGAGCACGATAAGGAAGGTGAGGGGAAGGCTATGGAGAGGAGAGTCGAACGCGTGGAATTTCGGCATGTCAGGATGGAATCGGCGCGGCATGTGGCACAGTCGGTGTTGTGGGTAACTTTGCGGTGCCCTTGGTGTACAATCTCAATATTGGCCTTACCTATGCTAGTAGACCGTCTCTCAGGACTCAGATCGACTGGACAGCGACCAGTAGCAACAGCAGTGGCGGCAGTTGTTCAACTGCTGTTAGTAGTAGTGCCAAACCGAATGAAAGCCCAGCACGAGGAAGTGCAGGGAAGCGCAGAGAGTGCATCGTAATCGGTCCGACGGTTCTTCAGTGCATGGGACTAGCAAAGTCCCAAGGTCTCCACCGGATGCTACCGACATGAGCTGTTAATCGAACGACAATTGCTTCCCTCCCGGGGACCCAAGCCTCGCTTCCTCCTGTACAGTCCCATGAACTTGTAACCGGGGTACCATATCAGTCATCGTCGATTATGGCAGGGCGGGACGCGGAATTAGACGAATTGCTAACCCTTTTCGCAGGTCACTACAGGAAGCTACAGGAAGCTACTGGCGGCGTAATGATGGCATAAGTGGTATAAGGAGGACCGGATGACGATGCTGGACGGGTTGCTTCTCTACCAATTCGACAAGATACACATTCACACATCTATTGCTCCGTACATCTTACACGTTTTACCTAATTTGTGCCCTTCGTCCTGCCCTGCGCCGAGGCATCCCATCAAGCACTTACGCGGACATATATATACACATACATACACCAAGTCCCCACTACTGCAGCACCCGAAAGAGCCATCGACGATTCGCGACAATCTTCACCTTCTTCATCCACCCCGCCTACATATAAACCACCCAGCCGATGACCAAGTACCCTCTCGGACGCCGTGCAACAGCTTCCTGAATCCTTCTGACTGCCAACTTTCGGACCACTTCCCACCTTCACACCGTCGGTACTACATAACCGACCGATCAGACCAAGATCAATCTTTCTTGCCTTCACGCAAGTCAGTCTCAATCTCCTCCGATGGACTTCTCAGAATTCTCCTCATATCCAGTCGTAGCAAACCCAGACTACTCCCCCACAATGGACTCCTTCTCATATCCCGATACCTACGACAAGGCGTACCTCGCCGACGCCTACACCAGCCAGCCCGACTACACCTTCGACTCCTTCTTCGACCAGCCCATGTCGTCGATCGAGCTCTCCTCCGGCTTCCCGTCAAAGGACCAGTCGGCCTTCAACCCATCACTCCAGAGCTCGACCAAGCAGTGGCCGTCCGCATCGAATGCCAACGACATCACCCCCTTCGGCAACCTCAACCAGTTCCCCTCCAACTCCTTCTTCGACCCCTCAAATACGACCCCATTCGAGCAGGCCTCCTTCAACGCCTCTCGACGGAACTCCTCGCCCACGCCCTCCCTCTGCGGCGACGCACCCACCCTCCAGCAGCAACAGGCTCTCCAGATCAACCCTGCCTCCGTGCCGGCGACGAGCACCTCCCAGTCCAACCAGGCCTCCCCATCGCTCTCCCCCCAGAGCCTCAAACGCGAGTCTCCCTCCTCACCCCCGTTCATCCCAGCCTCGGAGCCCAAACGCCCCCAGAGGAAGCGTGGCCGACCACGTCTGGACCGCCAGTACTCGGACTCGTCGGCCTCGACCAACAACGTCAACGGCAACTGCATCTCGAAAGGCAACGCCAATATGCGTCCAACCCACCGCCTCCCCCACAACCAGGTCGAACGCAAGTACCGCGAGGGCCTCAACTCGGAGCTCGAGCGCCTCCGCCGCGCGGTGCCGACCCTCCCCCAGGGCGCCGAGGACGGCAGCAGCACCGCCCAGCAGGTCCTCGGCCAGCCGAAGCCGAGCAAGGCCATGGTCCTGTCCGGCGCGATCGAGTACATCAAGCGGCTCGAGCGGGAGCGCGACGAGGCCCTCCGCGAGTGCGAGGTCCTGCGCCAGAACGCTGTGGCCAACAGCAGCAACGGCGGGTGGGACGCCGAGTGGGATCGCAGGAGCGGGTTCGAGGATCAGTTCATCGCGAGCGACGTCTACTAGGCGGCGAGCGGTGCAGCAGCTCCTTTTCTCTTTCTCTTCCTCTTTCCCCTTTTCTGTTTGCTCTGCCGGCGTCCTTTCCAGCTAGAGGATCGAGACGCCTTTTTCCTCACGACCGTTCATGACCAAAGACCAAAACAACTGTACAAAAACCCTCCACACACTCATACTACAAGAATCCTTCTGCGTGGCATATTACTCATCAACCATTTCCATCGCAACGGCCATGGTTTTTTGCTTCGTCTTTACAACACTACCTAATGTAACGGCCGCACTGATGATGTTCCGCATCATCTTCCCCTTTTCATCTACCAACCACCCAGCAAAACAAAACACTTCATACATACATATACCAAACAACAGCCCAGCCTCCCGGGGAGGGATGGAGCACATTGGGACTGCATAATTACAAGAAAGGGACTCCTCATTTCTTTTTCCATTTTTCTTATACAGGGGGTTTTTTTTCTTCTCTGGAATCATCAAGCGCTGATGAGTTTTACGGGATTTTTCAAGAGTAAAAAAGAGGGAACCAAAAAATATCCAGAATAGTTTCGAGAATCGATCGATATCGTTCGTACCCATTCATTATATCTGAGTGCCTCTGTCGTGATTACATTGATGCTTGATTTCATTTGATGATTGCTCTATTGGAGCATCACAGGAGAAAACATTTGCAATGAAGACATATCACTCTGACGAACCTCCAATCGAAACTTGCACGAATCCATTGGGCGGAACATCCCTCTCCATCATCCACAGACACTGATATCTAAGTCGTTACGGCATGACGTCCAACCCACCACAAAAACAGTCCCATCAACCCCCCAACGCACCACTCCATTCACGAAAACCCCCGAAAACCCCCCGTCATACTCCCGATATCAAAACATAACACCATCCCTACCACAAACCCGTTACATAGTCACTACTACATACCCGCGCCGGAGCCTCCCCTCACAATCAATCCCCCAACCCTCCTCGGCGCTCGCCCTACCCTACCTTATACGAATACGAGCGACTCACACATTCAAACCCCACAAAATCCCACACCACACGCGGGCTCCGAAAGAGGACTAAACTCCGCGCATCACTTCTGCCCTGCCCTGCCCTGGCCTCACGGGGGAAAAAAAATCCCCATTGAAATATCAATCGATCATTAGTGAGGGAAGGAGGATTGGAAATTACACAAGGCGGGTGTATGCTATGCTAGTGAGACGATTGAGCCGCGCGAGCATGGGGTTTCACGATGATTGGAATGGAAATGTCTCTCCACCACGCGACCTGGCTGGGTTTTAGGTGTCCCGGTTTATTATCTTGGAGGGTTGGTTTATCGATCTATTGATGGCGATGGCGATGGCGATGGCGATTGTCCGTGTCCGTGTTGATGTTTATGTTTCTCCGGAGAGCGAGGGCGAAGTTCGTGTTTTTTTTTTTCTGGCTGTTTTCCGCTGGTGGTTTTTCCGAGGGCGTTGGATGGATGCAGGTACGGGATTGGAGTCATATGTAATTATTGATTGAAGGTCGCGCGAGCAATTGAATTGTATCTCATTGTCATGAAGGGCGTTCGCCAAGGCTCCAAGATTTGGGTTTGACATTGGGAAGTTGGGAGTTTGAAAAGGTTTTTTTTTCTTCATGTCCGACTCACCACCTCTCCATATCGCGTCCATAGGTCAATACATTGTATCCCAATTCTCCGTCTAAAGCAAAAACAATAAAACTTGTGTGAATCGCAAAAGCTCTCCATCTGCAATTCTCTCCATTCCTACACTCCATCACAATCACACGTCTCTAATCCCACAGCCATACTCTTAAAAAAAAGTATTTTTTTCTCTTTAGATTTTTAAAAACAATCTCTATACTCCATATAAGATTATACAAGGATAAAATAATATTACCTTACATTTTACCTTTAGAAATAAATAAAATTAAAATTAATATAACAGAGATAAAAAGTGTACAAAAATGTCTTCTCTATAAATGTATCTCTTACTCCCCTCAAAAAAATCACCAAAACTGGAGGTTCAAAGTGTCCAGAGCAGTCATTCCTATTCTTCACAGGCGTCCAGGTTATCTCGATATTACCTACATCCGACCCTCGCGTTTCAAAACGGACTGACTGCGTTTCAGGAGGACTTGCCTCGTCTGCAAGAAAGTGAGATTAATGAAGTTCAGAAAGACGCTGCGTCAATGGAAGAAATGAGCAATTAGCGATGTCGTTATCAAAGTCAAAGAGGTCACGTGTCACATCAAATCACACGCACGCAAGATGACAACTTGAAAATATATCTTGAACGTTGAATGGAACTGCAGAACTATGATCGTGTGCTAGACACATTACTAACCCCGACGATGACGCCGCCTGGACCGGGAATATCGTGCTGCCTATAGCTTTCTCCTCTTCGAGGCCGTGGGCGCGACCTCGTCTTCCGGACCGGGCGTCTCGTCCACCTCCAAGCGTCCACTCGACCTCTCTGCGCGGCGCCAGTTCGACACGCTGTGCTGGCAATCTTCGAACATCTGCCTGGCGTCCTCGACCACGCCCTCCTCGCCCGCATTGAACATGACCGCGTTGACAAACATCCGCATTAGCTCCTTCTCGAGCTGTGCGCTGTTGACAATGGCTTTGGGGGGCATGACGTCCGGCGTGAGGGGCAGCTCTACGATACCACCACCGCCGCCGGGACTACCGGTGGGAGTGTCTGTCGCAGCAGCAGCAACGGCCTTGGCACCAGCCGCAATCGCCTTTTGTATGGTCTTGAGGTCGGTGGGACGCTTGATGATGTCGTAGTAGCCTTCCGCATCCTTGGCCTTGACGGCGGTCGAAAAGAGGGAAGCGTATTTGTGAGAGCCAATGTCGTTCATGATGGGGACGCACATCCGCGAGAAATGGCGTGGCGCAACGACAGTCTTGGGCAGATCTGGCAGGACGACCGGAGAACCAGGCTGGTCCTCGGATTCGGGCAGCGATGCTTCTCGAGCATTGCGTTTGCGAGTCCGCGTCTGGGTCGATTGCATGGTCCGGCCGCGACCGCGAGTGGTCATCTGCGTGGGTGTCTCTGCGGCGCTTTCTTCCACGACGTCCATGGACGTTCCCCGTTCGGTTTTCACGCGGGGACCGGTCTGAGAGTCGTTCTCGGCTGCGACCGTTTCGGTGTGTGAGATGACAGACTGGCTACGACTGCGCTCTCGCAACGATCCACCTGCACGTGACGAAGCAATGCTGCCAGGGCGAGCGCGTCGAGATGCTCCCTTTCGAAGACTGCGCCCCGAGCGAGTTTCCGGCTCTGGTTCCGGTTCGGGTTCTGGCTCCTGTTCGGTTTCCTGTTCTGGCTCTTGATCTGGCTCTTGTTCGGCTTCAGGTTCAGCTTTGGGTTCAGGCGCATGGTCGGAGGCTCCTGTTTCCTCAACTTCCGGCTCTTTTTCGACTTCCTTCTCCTTCTCCTTCTCCTTTTCCTTCCCTCTGGTCTTGGCCCTGGATTTGCGCGGGGTTTTCACTTTGGTCGAAGCATCGTTTGGCAGTTCCAGGGGTGCAATGTCATCAATGGGACTTGGTTCAGGCCTGGCCAATGGCGTAGCATTCGGCGGCTTAGCGCCAGCTTTCCATACCGTCTTTGCAGACCGCGGCGTCGAATTGGAGCTCCCAGGGGTGCGTACAGTCGTGGGCGTAGCGAAAGCGCCTCTCGCCGGGTGTAGGGCCGGTTGCAACGGTGGACCTGGAGGATACGGACCCCCTTTATTTGAGGGCGTTTGGCGTGCAACGGGCGTAGAAACCTGGGGGTATTGTGCGATTGGTTGCTGTTGAACTCGTGCGGGATCCTGTGGCGAGACTTGGAAAGGCGGAAGCATAAAACCTCCATGGGGAGGCGGTCCTTGTCCTGGATGTGGGCCTGGAGGCGGATATGGTGGGTGGCCAGAATACGGATGCAGATTCCGCTGCTGCTGGGGTGTGTGCAACCCCGCGGACTCGGGCACAGGTGGATAAGGTCCCGGGGCGCGCTGTTGATTCTGAGAGAAATGCGGAGGCTGGCCGTGCGCGGGTGCTGGCGCGAATGGTGGAACAGCGTTTCCAGGGAACTGTTGATTCGGTTGCGGTGGTTGGAACTGTGCGCCCACAGGTGAAGGAATGGGATGGCCTTGTTGAGCACGTGATGGATGAGATTGGACTGGCGTTTGTGAGCCGTCCGTCGGGGTTTTTCCTTGCGCTGGATGCGCCTGTGGAGGATACGGTGAACGGTGTTGGTGGTGTGGTTGGGTGGTCTGAACGGCAGCATCGTGAGGTAATGATGATGATGGTTGTGGTGGCTGCGGTGTCCGGTTCTGCGATGGGGATGGGAGGGCAATCGGACCTGGTGTTGTTCCGCTTGGAGTGGAGGGTTCCAACTGCTTGACGCGCGACGGAGCTCTTGAGGCCTGCGATGGTCCATTCCGGTCCGTTTGAGGCGGTTGATGGCCGTCTGGAACGTGCGCATTGGACGGCGTCGCGACCCTGCTCGTATCCTGGACCGCGAGCTGGGGTCGCGGACTCGATGGAATTTGTTTCTGGACGAGGACGGGAGACTTCTTGGGGATGCTCGGGCTGCGCGATGCAGACGGCTTCCCATTCGCCCTCTCCACCAGATCTGCATCCCTCTCGCCGCGCTCAATGGACTGCAACTCCCTCTGCAGCCTCTCGTATCGGTCCTCCTCCTCTCTGATCTCCTGGGTGATGGCTGTGCGATAGCGGGCGTAGAGTTTGTTCACGAGCTTGGGGATTAGATGCGCGTGCTGGGCGGCTTCCTGGACGGTCGGCAGGGTGGGACTGGGAGCTTTGCGCTTGCGCGAGTTCTTGGAGTGGCCGGTACCATTTGGGCCATCTGGCTCGGGAGAGCCATCGTGCAGTCGTTCGCTCCGGATCTCGTCCTTGAGGATCTGAAGGTAGAAGTTGCGCAGGGCGTCGGGACTGAGGCGGCCGGCCTGGAAGCGGTTGTCTGCGGTGATGGAAGGGTTGTTCTTCAGCAGATCGGAGATCCGACTGAAGATTTGAGGATTTACGCCATATGCATGGAGGGACTGGAACAGCAGAAGGGACTCAAGGTGTGTGTAGGCGGACAGGCTAGTATTCATCCCCCGGTACCACTGGACGACGGATGGGGCACGCGGGCGACGAGAGGGAGGCTGGATGGGAGCCAGCACGACGGCGGTGGTGAAGAGGTGACGAGGCGACGAGGCGCGAGGGCGACGAAGGTGGGCGGATGATGTCGTTGATGAACGAGATGGAGGAGTGGTGAAGGTGGTGAATTAGTGAGGGATGGGTTGGCGTTGGAAGGAGATGATTATTTGGAATTAGACTAAAGGCGGGCGGAGGAGAGGAATGGAGATGGGGAAGTGATGAGATGAGATGGATTGGGGGATGAGGAGGGAGTTGTTGGTGGTGAAAGGATCTGGGGTGGATGGAAGTTTGATGGAGAGAAGATGGAAGTTTGCGGCGGAGGATGGCAGATGGTGGATGGTCCATGGTGCAGGTACGGAAAGAGGGCAGGGCCAGTTACGCGTGCCTACCACACACGGCCATGTCCTACAAGTACCAACTACTTCTACTTTCAACAACACTCTTAGAACTAGGGAGTACCATATACCACCATCATGATTATTGGTCAACAGTTGGTAAGAGTACTTCGTAGTATGCTTAATGTTATTACTGCTTCGACCTTCTGATCCTGCAGTGTTCCTTCGACCAAGACTTGCTTCGACCTGCAAACAAAGAGCCTACAACTTACAAGTAGATAACAGGTAATAGACAAAGAATTCAACCAATGATGTCGCAGACGGGATACTTCTTGGCGGGACACATGAGCTAATCCGAAAAGGGAATTGTTCAAAACTAGCAGAGAATTCCTCTGATTGGTTCTCCCACGCTCTCCCTCTCCCTACACAAATTCAATCGTACATTAAAACAGTATACAGTTGGAACATACAAGGTGAATCAACGTACATGTACTCCGTACTTATCTATGAGAAAGCTCGTCACCGAATACATCTGATAGATGCTCTGTACGGAGTATTATCTGTGGCTCTTGTGATGTTGGCGCATGCCCCTCCCAAAGCATGCACAACACAATGTACGAGTATGCATGACACAATAGGCAAGGGGCTTGATGGGATTGGATCTATCAGGACGAGTAACTAGGTAACTCTTCCTCAGGAGTTGATAATGCTCTACAGTCTCTAGTTACTGTGTAGATGGGAGGGGTGGTATGAATTGTAGAGTATCTGGTTTCCATCAAGGAACTATACAGATATCTTCTCCTGTCCCTTAATTACTTACTTACTCCTACGAATAACTACTGTGTAATAGTTCATGCTGCATCTCCACCATTTATTATTGATCGGCCGCTACTCATCCAGGCACGGTCAAGTCTCGAGGGTCACCCTCCACGACCATACACAGTAGTAGGAATAACAGTAATAATTCAATACCTCCTTTTTCCCTTCCTTTGTGGCTGTCCCTCCCTTTTCCCTATCCGAATTCATCATCAACTAAGAATTATTGCAACCATCCAACCGACCGATCCGGTCATCTTCTTCCACAGCTACCTACACAGTACATAGGATATCAACCACCTGCCCAACCGCCCGTCCACCTGCCTGACTGCCTAATTCCAACTGCCTGACTGCCTGTAATTGTATCATGCTCCATGCCATCATCATTGCCATGCCACATGGTTGCGCATTTCTCTAAACATTGCGAAACATCCTTGATTTAACATCACACACCCATCCAACCACCATCCATCCATCCACCACCACAAGCATCTTCAAGGCCTTCAACCCAGTCCAGTCATCCCCGAGACCTTGTCCGCTTGCCTCGAATCACTCGGTCTCTCATCTCTTGTCTTTCATCTCCCACTCCCAATCTCCCCCTCTGCCCTCCCTCCCACCCCCGGAGCTCTTCTCGCCCAATCTCCCATCCCTCCCGCATTTGGCTACGTCAAGGGGGTCCATCCGTATATCTCAGGGTCCACCTTTCTTATTAACCTCTGCATATCTTCCTCCGTCCCGTCTCCATCTTCAATCTTCAATCTTCATTTCTTCATTGCTTCGTTTCTTCCATTCCCACCGTCTCCCAGCTTATCTCATCCTCGCTCTGTACACACGCACGCCCGTCCACCCACCTCTCCGCCTCACATTCTCACCGCACACCGCACACCGCCGCAATGGCCGCCCCGCACGACCCTGATGCCGGCTGGAAGCCAAACAACCGCCCTCAATCGTAAGAGCTCCCCCGCCATCCAATCTCCAAGCTCCGACGATAATTATCCCAAATGTCTGACTCTCTCCCTCCAGCACCATCGCGCGAAACTTCATGTCCGAGCTGGATGACCTCTTTAAGATAGACGGGGGCATCGACGACCTGGACAAGAACATCCACCAAAAGTAAGTCACATGCGCGGCTCACGCGTTGTCTCACCCATCACATCACCATCTCCTCAAGCTAACCCGCCATCCCTCCCCCAGGAAGCAGACCGTGTCCGACCACACGCAGCAGCTCGAAGCGCTCGAGGCCCGCCTCAAGGCCACGGAGGAGCGCCTGAAGCAGGTCAAGAACTCCCCACCGCGGAAGGACACGCAGCGACGGAGTCCCCTCCAGGGCACATTCCCGGACCAAGACAAGGCTCGACTGGGCGAGAACAGCTCTCCGACCCCCCGCGAGGTCACATCCGCAATGCCAGGTGCGCTACCAGAGACTCCCACACCTGACAACAGCACTGATAAGTCGTACGTTATGGTAGACCGACCACGCAACCCGGAGGCGGCAGGCAGCAGCGACGAGCGAGCATAGAAACCACCTGTGACACAATACACACATACACATACACATACACAGTCACAGGCACAGGCGCAGACACATCATAGCATCATTCTGTTTGGCGTGCGATACAACAACGACATTTAACGATTTCTGGAGATACCGGGCTACTTCTGGCGAACAACAGCGAACGCAGAGAGCCGTCTTTTTTGAGCATTGGATTGGATTGGATTGGATTGGAATTTGGTTCGGATCGGACTGGACATTCTTTGGAAAAAGGGGTGGGGGGAGGACATCGGACATCCGCATTCGGCGGGGAGCGGGCATTTTTCGAGACAGCAGGACAGGCAGTTATTATCATCTTTTTAATAGGCGGAGGTGGGCGGAGGTACTCTACTCGTACTCGAAGGTGGGAGGGCTTTGTATATCCACTTCTTCCCGGGCCGGCACTATCTAGCCATACGGCACGGCACGGCACGCTGTGTTGAGTTTGACAGCTACAAATGAGGCTATTTGTTAGCATCGCAGCATCGTGAAGACAGAAATACAATTCCTCAACCAACCAACAGCCAACCATACACTACCATCACACAACTAACCAATCCAGCCCGATTCATGCCATCAACAATTGATAAAAACCATCAAAACCCTCTAACACTACACCGTCACCAACTAACAACCCGCCCGCCCGTACCGGATTTCGTAAAGCCAAGAACCCCCGGCGCTTTTTCCCAAAACAGCCACAGCCCTCCTTTCCTCGCTCTCAACCAATCAATTCATGCATCGCAATCAACGTCTCGAACAATGAAAAACGAATAGGATGGAATGTAAAAGAAGGAAACAAGCTTATTCCATGCTATCAAAGGTAGTTAGGGTTAGGGTTGTCTTTGAGCGACTGTGCTGTATCTTGACGTTGGAAGTCCTGGAGGGAGGGTACCTATGGTGTACGGATATATAAATTAGCCAACGCGACGAAACTGGATCAGTTCTTGGTTTCCTTTCTTTTTGGTATGCTTGGGATATGATGTTTGACATTGGAAAGGATGGCAGAAAAGGTAGGGTTGTATTGATTCTACCATTTAAGTTCTCATTCTTTTACCATTCACAGACATAGAGAAATGGTAGTTTCATGAAAAGCGGCCGTCCGATCCAACTGGACAATCCACGTCACAGTGAGTGCACCATAGTACAAGATATTCAAAGATGGTATTCATTTTTCATCGAGACTCGTATATACACAAACATTCCACCATCTCTCTTTTCAGTCCGGTCGGACGAGAACACAATATACATACACATACACATACACCCCCATCAACAAACCCCCAAACCAAACAACCCCCAGCAAAAAAAAGTCGAAGAAAAAGATAATAGTACACACCCGTCCCTCACTCACCTACTACTCCACACCATAAAGCCAATACCTCGCCACATACCCCACCGTCACCACCCCTCCCTCCTCCCCCTCTCCCACACCCTCACACGTCTTCGGCGCAACCCCGCCCTCAGTACTCACGCGGTAAATCTGCCTCACGCCCGTCTGGCTCCCCGCGACGTCGGCCTCGAGACGCAGCCAGGGGACGTTGGCGCCCGAGGCGTCAGGCGCGGGCATGTCTTCTGCTTTCTTGGCGAGGGTGTTGCCGCCGAGGGCGGGGATGAAGAAGTCGGGTGTGAGGGAGGAAGTGAAGAAGTGGACGCCTATCATGCGGGGAGCATCTGGGTTCTCCTGCCGGGGACGTCGGGGGCGGGTGCTGGTGTTTGATGATGGGGAGGAGCAGGAGGCGTCGTAGAGGGTTGCGATGGCGCCGAAGGGGGTGGGGGTTGCGGTTGGGGAGGAGCAGGTGTAGTTTTGGGTGCCGCGGCCCTCGGCGACCATGAGGAGTTTTAGGGAGGTGTCGATGGTGCTTGGGGGTGTGAGGGTGTTTGCTGGGGGCGTCTGCGTGGTGAGGTCGCAGGTTGTGTTGTCGGCCTGGCGGTGGGCGAGACGGGAGCGTTGATGGACGGGGGCGTGTGGGTGCGCGGCCGTGAGGGTCACGGCGGCGATGAAGCTCGTTAGGAGGGTGAGTTTGAAGTGCATTGTGGTTTTGTTTGTGTTCTTCTTTCTGGGTTGAGGCTCGTCTTTGGGTTGAATTCACCAGATGTCGTATAGGCCGGAAATGTGGTATAAAAGTGGTAAGCAAATAATATGTACGAAGAGCTACCGGAGCCCAGAAAGAATTGAAGCTGAGGAAAAGAAAGAATGCGTAAGGATGGCTCCTTATTCTTATAGCGATGAAGAGCTATGTGGAATGAAAGTGAGTATCGTGGTGGTCAATTGGGCCTGATATATATATTCATATTTCCTCATCCCCAGGCTGTTGGTAGTACACGGACTTACGACCAGTACTAGCGACGGTTTCGACCGATATTGCTGGTCAGTTCTGAATTGTTCCGTCCCGGCTGGGGTACTCTGGAAGGATCCATAGTCAAACACAGATCATGACTATTTGTTTCTCATTCACCTCCTGGTGTGGTTCTGTCCGTCTGGCGGGAGCGTGACTGTGAGCACGGCGGACGCAGCTAGGGGCCGTGTTCCCGGCCCAGTTACTGTACGATTAGTAGACTAGCAGTGATGATCCAGTGTTGGTAGTTGAGAAACGGCATACTGCTCTGGAAAGGATGTGAGCGGGATCTTCGAAACGTTGGATAATTGCCCGACCATGTCAGGTCCAAAGGCAAGCGAAGCAGGACGGGGATTGCACAGACGCTGTTCCCCCCAGATACCCATTCACTGGTATCCTTGACAGCTCCAATGTGCCGTGTTCCTGTTCCAAAGAATGTACAGATAACGTGCCGAGATGTTCAAGCTTCCCGTAGTGATGTTTTAGCTCGCGTAGCACTGAAACGGTACCTGCAGATTCCGGTGCGCAACATGAAACGCGGAAGATCCAGCGAATGGGAAGGGTGCGGGGGGCAACGAGGAAACGTTCACCACTCACGACGAAACAACCGCATCTCGCTCTGCAGGTCTCGTAAAGAGAAAAGATCTTCACGGATATCCAAGATTTGTCGGAGTTGATGGGCCGCGAACGTACGCGATCTCGTACCTGACCTTGCGTTCAGCCCGTTTCGACTTAGACATGCAGATGTCGCAAACACTATTGAAACGCTGGAACGGGCTGGACAATGATCTGGCTGATATAAGGTCATTCTTGCATACAATCTGTTCCACTACTTGGAAACCATGGATTGCTGCAATGGCTGATGGAGGACAAGCCTACTCTGGAGAGTAATTTTCTCGAGTCACCAATTCTCTTCCTCGTTGATCTGAATAGAACTTAATATTCAGCGAAGAACTCACGGTATGATGACAAAGAGTAAAATGATTCAAGCTGGTAAGTATCTACATAGTAGATAGCCTGGGCTGATCGGTTGCTGTTCAGACCCATGCTATTAAACGGATCAACGAAACAACCAAATTCTCCACCATTGGACTTCTTGCATTTTGGGCGCCCACCTACTCTACGGAATGAGTCTCCGGTGCTAGAAAATATGCTCCGTGTATGTTTATCTATCTGCTTTCGCTCTGTGTCGCACGTCATAGGACATACGTGAATGCACATTTACGTGGATAGCTCTAGCAACTCCCACTTGGAGCTTTAATGACAGACATCGTAGAATAGACATGATTATGAATTGCACATTGCATCTCTTCTGTAAATAATCTCCGCAAGTCGTCGCAATGGTTCGTAGCCCAGTAGAAGCATCAACGTCATCTCACGGAGCTGTCCTCACAAAGTCCGAGACCAAGCTCATCCCAGGCTACCACACACCTACACCTCAACACCCAACATGACGACAACCAACACACCCCTGAGCTCTGAAAAAGTAAAGACGCGCATCCTCATAATCTCAGACACCCACACTGCATCGCTCTTCCCCTCAGACACCCACGATGTCCCCTTCCGAGAGCCTCTACCCAAGGCAGACGTGCTCCTCCACTGCGGGGACATGACCATGATAGGACATCTATGGGAGTACGAGCGGACGCTAGAATTACTGTCGTCCATCGACGCAGAGCTCAAGCTCGTCATCGCGGGCAACCACGACATCAGCCTGGACGAAGTGTACTACCAGAGAAAAGGGCAGTACATGCAGATGTTGAAGGAAGCTGATGATTCCATCCCCGCGCGCGCCAGGGAACTGATGACGGGTGCGCGTGCGAGGGAAGCCGGGATAAGGTATCTTGACGAAGGGACTCATGAATTTGTGCTGAAGAACGGCGCGAAACTGAGAGTATGTTGTCTTTTCACGACTGTAGTTATCTGATGATTGATGGATTGATCATATAAACGGAGAGTATACATGATGAGGCTAACACGATTCCCATAGGTCTACGCCTCACCATACCAACCAGAGTTCTGCGACTTTGCATTCCCGTACTTCCGGAATGAGGACCGCTACAACCCCCTCCACAAGAGCACCCCCAACTCCACCCACATCGCCGTCAACCCCGTGCCTGACTTCCCCGCCATCGATGTGATGATGACGCACGGCCCGCCCATGGGGATCCGAGATATGACGTCCCGGAATGAGGTCGTCGGTTGCGAGCATCTGCTCCGCGCGGCGCGCAGGTGCAAACCGCGGTTGCATTGCTTCGGGCACATTCACGAGGGGTGGGGTGCAGAGAGGGTGCGGTGGGCAGAGGGAGAGGGGATTGACGCGAAGTGGGAGGATCACGTGGAGGGTAGTGAATTGATCGAGTTTGAAGGGGAGCGGCTGCGACAGGATCGGGCAGCGGTGGTAGATGTCAGTGGATCTGGCGGGGACGAGTTGGCGTTCGGTCGCGAGACGCTGATGGTGAATGCGAGCATCATGACATTGAGGTATCAACCCCAGCAGGCACCATTTCTTGTGGACTTGGACCTAGAAAAGGCTTGATGGAATCATTCGTATCCGTGAATAGGATATGGATCGCTTAGAGTATTTACAAATGAAGGAGAAGAGAACAGGACACCGGGTATAATGCAATCTGCGCCCATCGAAACAAACGTGATGGGATCGTAGTACTTCAATCCAGTCGTGCGTAGCCAGAGCCCTGCACGTCGCGACCCTTGGACCCGACGAAACTCTCCCGCTCGAGCGCCATCATCTTCTTCGCCTTGTTCTTCCTCCGGCGTCTCAGCGGCCTCTTGAGCCTCGCGATCGCCCGCACCACCTGCCAGGTGTGGCTATTGCGCTTCTGCGGCTTGTCCCTGCCGAGCTTATGGTCCTCGACGAATGTATCGAAGGTGAGGTCTCGATTGCAGGATTTCGTCTTGCCGTCTGTGGGGTCGATCTCGTTGCGGAGATGCGTGCTGCGGAATCTGTCTCTATCCATGTCGATTTATGTATGAGTACCTGGGACTATCAGTATATTATGCCCACCCTGCGTGGGCTCGTGTGACCATCGACGAAACGTACCTGTAAGACCCTGCGAAACAACGGCTGTCCTCGCGAAACGAAGGACGGTGGTGCTGGGAAGTTCCTTGCTTGCGACGATTGGAAAGAATGGCTTTGCTCCAAGAAAAGCAGGGTACGCGCAGGGTAGGGTTGGTTCCAAGGTGGAGACCCGAAAGCGATGAGTGGGAGCTATCTTGAAAGCGAGGGGGTATGCGTCATATATTAATTCCACGGTCGCTTGTTTGCGGTAGCAGTTGTAGTAGTCTAGATCTATGCGCCTCGCTCGTCGCCTGAAGGATGGATGTGCTGTTGCGAAGATGTACGGGTTGGGTTGTTAGTCAATGGGCCTGGAGTTAGCTGGCAATGGGCAGGTATATATTGGATTGGCTCCAGGCGATTAATGCCTGGGGGAGGAAGCCATGATGGGAAATCAGCCGGGGGCTGCGTGGGGGCTTGCGATTTCCCAGATTTTCCCAGCTGCATGGATGATGATGGATGTGGACGTTGGAAGGGAATGTTAACTTGAGGTGGTTGGACGGGACGATGGAAGAGGAGCCAATACAGGAAACCGGTGAATTGCCATCGCATCGCGCCTTGCAAAGGAGCACGCTAGGCTAGAAATGGTTAAACTCCCACTATCAGACGTCAAGCCCATCCTCAGCAGAACATTGTCATTGATCAATCAGTCTGTGAATCAATCAATTTCGCCGTGTCAGCATACTATTGGCACCGAACTGGTGCATGCATGTAAAAGATCTATTCTTAATTGCAGGTATAGAAAGGCAAAGGCCTGGTACCGTTCAACCCCAAATCCAGGTATTCAATCACCCATCTCGTCTCTCTTCCGTGAGTCTGGGGGAAGAGGACAATATGCAATTGTGACTGTTAGTCCATCAGACAGACGAGAACCTCGGGATATTCTCCCAGACAGGCGAGCTCAAGACATTCTCCCAGACGGACGAGCTCAAGGCATCCTTGCTGCCAACCACTACTCGTTCAGCATGTGCTCTACGAACTCAAGTGAATTCGTGCACAACACTCACTCCGCCGACGGAGCACGCGGTAGAGACTCGCGTTGACCACCTGGAGACTTCCTGGTCTTCAACATGGGCATGCTCACCACTCTGCTGACGCGACGGAGCATTTTTATCGGGGACGAAGCTCCCGTCTCCCTCAGACCATCAGACTCCCTACCCTTCGCAAGATCGGAGGGCTGTGCATTATCTGCTCCTCGGAATGCCTCTCCCTTGCCCGAGGCGTGGGGAGCTAGGAAGGAGTCGAATGTGATATTAGGACGAGCTCGAAATGAAGTACTAATTGGAGTCACCGGGCAGGACGATTGCAGTCGTCCTCCGAACTCTGCATGGTCACAGGTATAGGCATTCCCTATCGGCAGCGAAAAGTAGTCAACCGAACCAGCCGCACGATAGTGACCGTCCCTCGCAGTATTCCCCTCCCTGGGCGTCTCCACGGAAGGAGTCATAGGCGTCGACACAGTCTGCACCGTCGTTGCGCTCGCGCTTCGTCGACTCTCCAAAGACTTCAAGTCCTGATTCAGGTTAGCAATGTACAGACTGGCAGACCTCCCCAGCAACGCCTTGCGCAAGCCACTGAACCAACGAACCTTGCTCCTGTTCATCTCATGGACATATCGCTTTGCCGCCTGGATATCTCGCTCGCGCTCCTCCAGCAGCCGCTTGCAGTCTTCGTGAAAGCGAGGCACGAGGCCCTTGCGGGATTCCTGGAGCCTGAGCAGATCCTCTGGGGTCCACGAGGGGTGGTTGTGGTTCCTCTTGCCCTTGGCTAGGTCTTCCTTGTCTTGGGTAGACAGTGCGTGGCTGTAGTATCGCGGCTTCATTGCGCGCTTCTGCTTCGCGGGAGCTTTCGCTGTACGTCCCGTCGGTCCCACAGTGAAGCCTTGCGCACTGCCATGTTCGGTCGGGGTCGTGCTCGCTGGGTGTTCCGGCGTCGTGTTGCTGCTACTGCCATTAGCCGGGTGATAGAGGATGATTGGTGTGAGTTGCCCTTGCAGTATTGAGCTGCCGTCTGACGACCATGCATGGAGATGGTCATCGTCGTTGAAATGAGTAGACATCGTATCCGTGCGATTTAAGCATAAAGGGATACTGAGGAGCCGCAAGTCTTTTGATTGAAGAGGTGAAACGAAAACGAAGTGAAGGTTTGGATGTGTTTTGTTGTTGGGTCGACGGTAAAGGACTTCTGTTGTTTGTTGTTCCGCCGATTAGCAAATAGTCTGCTTCACTTACAGACGATGCCAGGTAATCTATCATTCATCGTAGTGGAGGGACTATTTCATATAGCCCGTTGCTCATTGTGAAGCGATGGAGGTGTTCATTGCATTGTATAGAAAGGTCTACTATGCACAATGCGGCCTTCTCGATTTTGAAGAATTAGCAGGTTGCTGAGGTACAGTATTACTTTCGTCTCGTTGAGATTATAACGCCTCAAAACTGGCACTTGATGGTTTGCTATTTGAGAAAGTATTCAAGCCGTGCCATACCGTGACTTCACTACGAACATCTGCCGTAGCAGACCCAAAAGACTTCACTGCGTATCTAGAAGCTTCAGAGATGTACATCAGACTCTATTAAAAGCACATCATTGTTCATCAGAAATGGACCAAGATTAAAAATAAAATAAAATACATTAACAATCAACCAGAATCGTCATCCCAGCTAAATCTACTCTGACAAGGCGTGACAGCTGCCGTCATTAGCGCAACTGGCTTGCGTTTCTCGTCCCCAGTCTCATAATACACTGGTGGTTTACGGTGGGAGTGGGGGCCGTACGCATCTCGATATGCCTTCACATGTTGCACCATATCCACGACACCATCGTGCCCCCGATCGAGCAGGTCGTGGATGATGCGTGGCCTACCGTAGTCGTCCGAGGGGTCACACGAACGCTCAGAATATGCATCATTGCAGTTCGAGACATACCCCGAGTCTCTATGATCCTGGGAGCTTTGCATGAGCATTTCAACGGTGGACCCAGCTAGACTGCGGTCGCGTGAATTCAAAACACGTTCCTGCGGTACTTCTCTTTCATCACAAGACCCATCAGTAAAGTCAAATGAAGTACTCAGAGCCTTCCTCGTCGCATACGCCACCTGCGAACCACTCACCCGTTGGTCCTGTGTGCGTTGGAGCCTAGTGCTGGATTTTGTGTCAATTGTGCTGTGTGTAGATCGACGCGGGATGGATGGAGTAGTTGAGCAGGAGGAGCGACTGGGAACGGACAGATTGACGTCTAGGCTCGCTGTACCAGAGCTTCGGTACAGTTCCGATACCTTGTGTCGGTGTTGGGCATGTTTATGTTCGTCGGCAGGAAGGCCGTTTGTTGACGACAGAAAGCTGCCTTCTGGAGGGACGACTGTACCGCGGGATGACATGGCGGAGTTACTGTGGTGCATGTGGGTTTTCAATGTCGGTTCCAATGGAATATACTTATCGCCGGCAGTGTTATGTTCATGAATGTACCAGGTGGGTGAACAATGTGGGTTTCTCAATCGGCTTTTTTTGGGGGCGTTGTACATCATTAATTTCTTTGTGGAGCATGTGCCAGGATCAGATGGACTATCGCCACAGGTGAATACCCATACGCCTCAAAACATAGTCAAGTTGTCACATCAATTTATGGACAGCCTGTAGCGAGGGAAAAGCTCAAACATGATCATCCTCCATCATAGCACGGGCAATTATCTTCGCCTCCTCGCAATCTTCGTCCACGTAGAACTTCAGGCCATACGTTTGCATGAAGTTTACCGCTGTGCCAAAGTTACGCTCTATCCAGTCGAGCTCCTTCTCGGAGAAATTGTAATCCACTTGATGGCCTTCGAAGGAGCTGAATTCGTCGACGTCTTCGTCGTCCTCTTCGTCCTCGTCGTCCTCGCCCTCACCATCCATGAGTCTGGTGGCACGTAGCAATTCTCGGCCTACTGCACGGTCCTCGTCCTTGTAAATGCTGAGACCATGTTGGATGAGGAGGTGGTATTCGTCGCCCCAGTTCCTTTTCAAATAGTCTTTCTCATCTGATGTAAGGGGTGGGACCTCATCGCTCACTGTCGTACTGGTCGGGGCCGTACTCTCTGGGGCATCGTTTACCAAACTCTTCCTAGCCAAGAAGCCCAGCCATCTGCGCTGTTCACTCACATCCCATTGAACACCAAGCATATACATATGGCCTTTCTGCATGGAACTTGCTCCCAGCCGCGGCCCTACAGGATGGCCCCTCACTTTGAGTCGAAGCCATTTCTCCCCGGGCCGGAGATACCCCACTTGTCTACCCCTCTCATCTGCAATTGTGCCGTTCGACTTCCCTTGCCCTGAGCGAACTGACAATGTGTACCCATCTCTTTGGCACATCGGTATCCCGATGATGTTGCAGACAACGTTAGGGGCGTGCAAGACTTGCTGGAGGTGGATAGACCCATAGTTCGATACGCCCGAACGATTAGGCGAGCGCTTAGTAGGGATCTCAACGGTGCCGACACCCAAAACGTTCACGTCGGTGGAAGAGCCGGCAAAATATTAGCTCGTCAATTTCGTGGAGAAGGGTGTATATGTTTTGAACCATCCGCGGTCTTTTGCAACGCTACTGGAATGTCAGTAACCCTTCACGTCGTCGCCTCCACTCTCTAGTCTCCACCTACTGGACGTTGGCGGAGGAAACAAACACCCAATCGGGGCATAGAGGGGCGTCAACGCTCGTAGCTAGAGACATTGTTGCTTCGTGGCCGGCGAACGCGAGAAGGATTCTCTAATGGTACTAGTAGTGTAGACTTCGATATTAGCTGTGACTATGGATTGGCCATCTTATCTCAATCTCTCGAATGGTATGGAGCTGAGCAACTGCGCACGAGCCACCTGCATCATCCCTGACGATTAGGTAATCAATTGCCGAAGTGAGCAATGAGACGGTTGGATTATCTACATTAGGAGCACCGGTTCCATGATGCTCACCTACGCTTCAGCGACTAGACCCTCTTCATAGTCTAGATTACACTATCGTGCTCGATCTGGTCTGCTAGTGCCCGTTTCTTGATCTTAGCAGGTCTTAACAGATCTTAGATACGCCAATGAACGGCTTGCGATCTCCTCACTCCCGCCCTACGAGAATCTCCTCGAGAATCTACAATTCCTCGACTTTGCACATACAAATCTATGGAATAGGCTAGTGAATTCGAATTTCCACCGGCGTGGTCTCCGGGACCTCTCCGCTCCCCATACCCCGCTTACCTCGGAGTCGCGATCGCCTGAACGCTTCTCGCTCACCGTCCTCTTCAATCCACACGCATCCAAACTATCGATCATACTGTTCCTGGGCAATAATGAGTCGGTGGGATAGTATGGAAAGTCAGTCTCCCGTATCTCTGGCAGCCAGAGGTGCGGCGCAGTCTGCGATTCCCATTCGGAAGCGTTCAAGCACGGATGCATGGGCCTATGCGGGACATACACAGTCTTGGTAGCATTCGCATGGAGCTTGGGATACACGGAGGTCGTATGCGTACATTCTTCGTTCGTCGTGTTGGATCTATCGTCATTTGTTGGCGATCTCTGCGAGGGCGCCAGTGGACATGGTCGAGAGATCCGTGTGCGCAATGGCATGTGCTTTTTCATAACCTTCAACATGGCAGGACCGTTCAACTCGAGGGATGTATTGACGCTTATAATATGTTAGCTTACAATTTTCTAAGCCGTAGAGATGTGGCAAAGTTGTCCTCAACGTGACAAGGGATTTCCCTTCGATGCAAGAATAGGTAGTTCTTTCATGGATAGAACAATAACAATGCACACATTTATGAGGCCAATATCATTTCTGGCCCTTGATATGAGATGATGAAGTTCAGAATGCATTTATCAATGGAATCAGAAAAACACTAGTGGGCCGTGACACCTTGGTTGCAATGCTGGCCTTGTTGCATGATTGGCCTAGGCGCACGACTTAGATACATAAAGAACACATCCTCGACAAAGCGACGTGAAAAGCCCCTAAACTCATTGAATCACTCCCCGCCCTATCCTATCTCAGTACGCGACTTTGTGTTTCCTTGCCTTCATCTTGCAACAAAAGCTACTCAGTCCACGGAAAACTTTGCAACCTATACAATTGGATCTTGCCGGGTTTGTTCGTAATTTAACGGTATTCAATAGCTGTTGGCAGTTTTGTTAAGGAATTTCCCCACATAATCGGCGACGAGCCGAATATCAGCGTCCATGGCTGTGAACAGTAGCCTTTTATCCACTGGCCATCGGGTATATCCAGGATCAATATACGCAGGCATCCAAGACATGAACTCCCAATCAATGATCACTATGTCTGGATCTTCCAGATCATTTGGATTATTGATCAGGAGCACATCCTCTTCTTTCAGACCAAAATGGGTTAAAACAGGATTCGTTCCGTGTGCATTGCTCATATCCTCCTTGAAACGCTCGAGCGCTATCCTCTCAGTTGGAAGAAAATCTTCTTCCTGCTGAAGTGCACACATTTTGAGGGATCTCTCAAATATCGCATTGACGAAGTCCTCGTGTCTTTTGAACGGCCCCACCATAGTACTAGGGATAGAGCAGCGCGAAATTACATGTGTCCATGGATGCCAGGGCTGGCCGTAGATTCGACCATAGTAGGGCTCTGCAGGTGGAGGTACCGAACGAAGGAGCCGTAACTGCTTATCAAGCTTCTTCGAAATGTTATCTCTCTTTCTCTGGGTGTAAGTATCCCAGCTGCGTTTACGGGTAAAACGCGTTTCACCCGGGGAATACGTGTTTAACGGCGTTCCGTCGATGTATTCCATGATCAGAACATGGTAGATGGGCAGCGAATTACGGTTCGGAAACTTTCTTGGAAAACTGTGGAGATAATTATAGGGGTCGAGGCCTTGGCTGCAGTATGCGGCGTAAATCTTTGGCACTCTCACCTGCGAATGCTTCTGGAGAAACAAAAGATTCTCTGCTTCCTGCAGGACGAAAGGGTATTCACAAATTTTGACGACGAAAACACCATCTATCCTGTACACGGGCTTGAGGCCGCCTGTTCTACGGGCTAGATCATCTTTCGTGTTCCGGGCTCCTTCAATCTCTGTAATGGTCGGCAAGGGACGAGGAAGCTCGCTCTCGGGGGCGTAGTACGGAATATTCATGGTAGTCCATTCTTCCAATTTACTTATGTCCATCTTGCCTTCCGCCTCATCCAGACGCCTCCAAGCCTCGCGGCGATCAGTCGTTCCGTAGAACTTGAGTAACGTTTCTTGCTTGTTTACGGTGTTCATGGTGTTGTTCGAATGAAAACCTAGGTTTTCTAAGTATATAATCGGCGGAGTCGCTGCGTGTATATATAATAAGGCGTTTGATTTTTATAGGTAGGATATATAGTCAACAACCGGAGTAGAGTTTGACGAAGATCTGTTCAGGAAGTTGTCATGACTTGGTTATATACTTGCTCTTACTTGATCCAAGCGCCACTGGATGGATCGTAGCGGCATTGGATGGATCGTAGCGGCATTGGATGGATAGCAGCGGCACTGGACGGTCTTCTGTTGTCTCCTTCGCCTGCAATGGAGTGACGCAGGCGCGCGCGAATTTTTTCGACTGCTTTTTCTCATCGTCTGCTAAATGTTGGAGTAACGGAACGCGTAGCGGCATCATTTTCCGTTTGAAGCTACTCCAATCGTAGGTTCCAATTCTAGAACGTCTTTGTGGTGCAATTCGCTTGTCTCGGGGTTGGCAGAGAGCTCCGGGGACGAACAAGATCGTGACCCATAAACACTGGTACACTGATGGCGGCGGGAATATCACGTTGTATCCGTGTATATATAGGAACGGGTTGCAAACAACAAAGAGTACGCCGGAACACCGAATGTCGGAAGAAAAAGGGAATTCATTGATCTATAGAACTAAAGGCGCAACTTCCACTCCTGCTTGAACGCATTGATGCTGGCTAGCGTAGTACCACCAAGTGGCGTCTAGAAGCGAACACCGCTCGTTGTAAAGAGAAATAAAGAAACAAAGGAAAATGAACGAGCCTGCAGTCGCGTGGCTCATGAAAGGGGATGGATCCGATGTAGGAATGGAGTAGAAGCTCTGTGATGAAGGATTCATTCAGATTCTACTCCTTCCAGAGAGAAGACACGAAGAGGGAGATGAGAAAAGAAAGTCCGTGTTCTTTGTACCCAGCTCAAGGCGATCCTGCAAGCCGGTGCGGTCAACATCGTGATCAGACTCCACAACCAAAGAACCCATTGTCTCGTCCTCCGTCTTGTCCTTCGTCGCCTCCATCTCGTCCTCTGTGTCGTCTTCCGTGTCGTACGTCGTCTCGGACTCTACCTCGTCCTCCGTATCTTCATGCTTCGCCTCGTTCGTTTCAACATCTTTATCGCTCTTGAGGGCCTTCCGCACGGCCCTGTACCATTTGTGAAAGCGCCGATCAGGGTCGTCACTGATTGGCGCGATAGTGCTCTCAATAAGCTCTTCGGCACGGGGAACGGCCGCCTGGCGCAGGTATCCCTCACTATTGTACATGTGGAGGGGGGTCAACACATTGACTTTTCGTGGCGTGATTGAGTCAGCGTCCAGATAGAACATCCAACAATTGCAACGCCGTAGTGGCCCTCCTTCTTGGGTTTTTTCTCCCTCTTGGGTGTCTTCTTGAGTGTCTTCTCCCTCTTGAGTGTCTTCTCCCTCTTGAGTGTCTTCTCCCTCTTGAGTG